ATGCAGTCTAATTTCTGCGTCGCCCATGCTCTCTCCTCTCCCTCCTCCCCTCCCCCCCCCTCCCATGCACGCTCTATCTCTACCTTGAACGATCTCTGTGCCATCCGCCTCCCTCCGGCATATGCCTCCCCTCTTGGACATCAAGCATTTGCGCTAGGAGATACTTCCCACTGCAAGCCAGCCCGATCGTCGACATCAGCCCCAGCCCCACATCACCCTGAAAGACTGCTTTCCGTAGGTTTAGGGAAGATGGGCGGGGATAGAGGAGAGATGGGTGGATGGGTTGATGGGTTGATGTGAACAAGGAAGGGCGGCGGGCGGCAAGGAGTCATGTCTGTGTGCGCCCACATTCCCTTCTGACTCTGGCCGCTTTCTGATTCTATTACAGAGCACAATCGACGCTGTATTATCTTATGCGCTTATGGCAATCTGAACCGTTCCAAAGGGCACGCTCCCAATGCAGCCACGCTCTTCTCTATGGGCGCAGCCAGCTTGCGGAAGAAAAGGCAGCCATGTCCGAGACAGGAAGGAGGATCGTTCATGTTGGGAGAGGAAAGGGTCCCCGACATGAGCGAGCGCGCTCCTGGTTGCAGCCGATAACCCTTCCCTCCTCACCGCACGGGGTGCAGACGCATGCGCCAGAACACGTCTATTTCGCCGATCCAAACGCCTGTCAGGGTTAGGGTATGGCCTGGTTTTAGGGTTGGGCGACGCTGGACGCGGAAACTGGACCCTTAGGCAGGCGGCAAGCTCGACGTCGGAGCCGTCGTCTGCGATCGGCCGTTCCTCCCTCGTCTCCTTCTCGGCGGACGCCGACCTTGGGAGGCCTGGCAGGCGAGAAGGCGGCGAGCCGATTTCATCCATTGGCGCGGCGATCGACGCCGTTGGAGGGGGGCGAAAACGCGAAAAGCGCGGCGAGGCCGAAAAGGGGCCCTTCAACGGCCCGTTGGCGCGGTCGCGGGGGTTAGGGTCCACTTCTTGCTTCCAATAGTCCGGTCCGGCCGAGTTCGACATGTCGTTCGAAGAGGCATTTGAAGGTCGGATTCGAGCTCGAAACTTGAATGTGCAGCACAATAGACGAAGAGTTGCTTGAAGAGATGGAAGATGATTGGACACGGAGGCTTGCAAGCTCCAGGAGAAGTGTGGGTTGGTTGAAGAGGTTGATAGGGTCGGGGAGCTTTCTTCTGTGAGTGGAGAAAGATGTTTTGGGGTGGATGTCGCGTTTGGGGTGAGGATGAGCTTCGGGACTCTTGAGGGTGCCAGAGTGGTAATGACAAAGCAGAGATAACAGTAAAAAAGTGAAAGGGCCTCAGCATAGGCTCTCACTGATGGTCCAGTCCAATGAAATATCACTCAGAAGTACTGTTAAGACCATTCTGTATTAGAGAAAACGTCTAGATACAGTTTCTAATGATGATGGTGAGGAGAGAGTAGACTAGGACCGCAAACAGGTAGGGCCTAGCAACGGAAGCAAACAGAATAAGGGGGACCCTTACAAGCGATGATGCATCCCTCTTCACCTTTGTGCATTATTCCACATCACGGGAATGCCAGTACCTTCCTGTTATTCTTCACCGCTCCTGCCATTTCTCCACATGCAAACCAAACCATCACAGCCTGTAGTTCCCCAGCTACTCTCCAGCCAATTCATTCTTCCATTCTTGCAGTGTGCATACAATTGTGTGTCCGTCAACCCAGTGTTCAAAGATATGCACCGAACAGAAGGTCAAGAATGATACTCCACACGCTCGACGTTGACCTTCCATGGCACGTGGCCCTGGTGGAGGTGGGACGACAGACTTCGCTGTCGATAACTTCTTTCTATATCAGCCAATCTGAGAGTCTAAAGCCCTGAAGGTACTGCGAATGGCACGAGCTGTGTCAATTCGCTCGAGGAACCGAGAAGGCAGATTCCGTGGCAGCATTGGCGAAACTGCTTCAGACGGTCGATCTTTGCGTCTCCTGGCAAGACAGCGAGGACTTCAAGAACGCGCAGCTCATCGCTTTTCCGGTCAGATGCTATGTTCTGAAGGCCAAGCATCTTCGCACGCGTTTGATTTTGTCGGTGCTTAAAGATAGATCAGTACTTGACTTCCACCTTTGGGGACGCGTACACACGGGAGATGACTTGTAAATTTGTGCGGGACAGACAGTGCTTGCTCCGTCCTTCAGTTCCTGTAGCGGTAGAAGCCGGGGTGTCCACTTGCATTGCACGATAACCCAGAATGCGTTGCCGTCTGCATCCCGTAACAGGAATATGATGTCTCCGCCGAAATACTCATCGGGTCGGCAGATGGGAATTCCATCTGGGTTCGTCAGCCACTCGTCCGTCTCTGCAAAGTTGTTACAGTAGCGATTAACAGAGGTAGCTGATATTCTCTTGCTGTCAAAACTGTAGATTGAATATGTCGATGTCTTCATATTGAGTGACACAAGTTCACATTTGCGATTCAACTTGCAGTCTCCCAATCCAGCAAGGAAGATATCGGAGAGTGGCCGTGGCTTGCCAAAACATGTGGCGAAGTGATAGACACATGCGCACTCAAAGTGACCGCCCACACCGCCCGCCTCCGTCCGGGTAAGGTCGTGGCCCGGCGAGTCTTCAATGCTTTCCCTGTTGTTTTCCAGGTATGCAAGCACGCTCAACAACACCAAAGGATCCCCTGGAATTATATCCCAGATGTCCGGTTTGTCCGATTCTCTCCACCGAAGTCGTACAAATCCTCGATCCACTAGTTCAACATCCGTTCTGTTTGCACCACCAGCGACTTTCGTATGGAGGAGCCATTCGAATAAAATTTGCTTGAACCTGGAAAGAAGCGAAATCCTAGGGTTTGACGGAGATTCTGCATCCTTGTAGTGAGACTTTCTTCATTTGTTGCATATTCTGGATGCAGGACTTACTGGTCTGATCCAATCTCTCAACGTTCAGCCGACGAGGTAATGGCGTACCTGACCACAGGCGCTTGGCTAATTCTTCAGCTGCCGGAGATTGAGTGAGTATAGGGACCGTATAGTCGGTGATGGTGAATACGAATTTCTGGAGAATGATGCGTGGGACTTGAAATCCTGTCGCCAAAAGTGTTTCGACCGCGCCCGCAGCAAATCGATACCTGAATAATTAGTCAATATCGCACGAAACGCTCGAGCATAGCAAGATCCTGACCTGCCCGACAACCATGTGTGGAAGAAGTTCAAAACGGCTTCCGAATCTTCCGTTTGAGGAAGAAAGCGAGTGATGTATTGTCGGATATCTTCCCTCTTTTCGAAAGCACCCAGTCTGTTGAACATGGTATAGGCTTGAAGTTTTGCGGTGGCCCACCTCGGTGCACCTTCAACGGTATTCATTGTGAGTCCCGTGCCAGACACAATGATACGGTGTCCGGGTAGCTTGTCGGATAGCGCTTTTAGGAGTCCAGAGAGCAGCGGTCTTGTTTGATCCGGCTCTGCCGTTGATCGTAGACAATGTTCCGAACCGAACACGGCTGCCTGAGCCTCGTCAACACAGAAGAGCAAGGAGTCGTGAGAGACCTTGGCTTTGATTGATTGTAGTTCTGTCGCCAACATCGCCCGCAGTTCTTCTTCATGTTTGTCGTCGATCCGTATGTGATCAGTCAATATTTGAAAGATGTCAATGGCGAAGCAGTCGAGGAAGAAAATCTGGATACATAGCCAGAGCAGCAGCTGTTGGTCAAGCGTGAGGTCGGCAGCGACGGCGAGGTCCAGGTACAAGTTCATCATAGATAGTCGCGCCAGGAGGAATGGCAAGATGCGCTTGCGTATAATGCCTGTGTTGGTCAGCACGGCTTTCTTCAATACGGCAGGGTCTGCGTTTTCTGTCTTGACCCCGGACAGGTCGTTTGTAAATGACTTGTCTTGCTTGATTTGCAAGATAGTTCCTTCAAGATCCTGAGAGCCAATGTCGCCGCCTCCCGGGACTTGACAGGGGATGTATACGCCCCACTTCTTCCTCAGCGCTGCGAGCACGACAGCCGTCTTACCGCTGCGTGAAGCACCGTATATGACGCTAAGATGGGCGCGGTCAGCCAATAGGCTAAGAATTGCTGGAAGTTTATTTACGCACCTGTGTCGCGTCGCTTTGAGAAGCGCTTGCACCACGTCATCTGCAACGATGTTGTCCTGCAGTGCACCATGCAGCAGGACGCTAGGTTGCTTGGCGAACATCGGTAGGGATTGATTCTGCCAGAGCGCCTCGAGTTTCGGATGAGGCTTCTCGTGCCATGACCAAACTGGAAACGGAATACCTTGCCGTTTGTCGGCAATGAGTTGCTGTAGTCGCGGTTGGATCTCATTCTTGAGGTAAGATCGCCAACGGAGTGTGCCCATTGGTAAACGTGAGGGGGAAAGGGGTGGAGTACAGACGGGTGAGTGTCGTGGTGTAGAGTGTGTATCTTTTGGATTCATGTCAGATGACTCAAAAACCCAATCACTTTGGGCTGCTGTGCTTACCTCGACGAGGTCGCTTGCTTGTCCTTTCATCCTCCGAGACGGGACTGTGGCGTTTACCTGGATTAGGTTTTTAGTCTTGGTAGGCTCCACGATGCCAATGCAGAGAAAGCAAAACTCACTCGATTTGATTACGTATACATGAACTAAATCTTGATTAACATTCTCCGGCCAGTGCTGCCTGACAGTGGGGAAGGGGACGATGAGATCTTTTTTTTTGCAGATTTCGCTCGTACATCTGAGTCTTCAGGTGGTTCCAGATGGACGGGAGAAGTGATCTGTACGTTGGAATAGTCAGTCAAGCTTGCAGCGAAACAGAGCATAAGACCACGTACTGCATAAAATCTTGAGGATAGGTCGATATCGGGCCTTGTCTTTGAATCTCTAATGGCGGTTACTACGGCTTCTGCTGTGACATCTTCGGGCACAGCGATTGTGAACAGTCGGGAGTAGTCTTCACCTTCAACGGTGACCCACAATTTGATTAAAGCACTTGCAGAGCTGAGAGCGGGACTGGCAACTGGAATCATTGTGATATAGACGTGGTGGTTGATGTGACCATGAGTTACAACGAGCTTGCTCTTTTCGCGAGGAAGCAGCTGCTTCGTGAGCGCGTGAGTCAACCCATGATGTCAAGTTTACAGACAATGTTCCTACTGCGGGATGCTCAAGGCAAGGCTTTTTGGGTCATTGTACAGTGCAAGTGAGTTGCATATTGAGCGCTTGGTTGAGGGTGCACACACAGCCTGTCCTAAGCAAATCTATAGGAGTACATAGACGTCCTTATAGCCAGTAGTCAGCCCTAATGTATTCTTGAGTCACGTCAACGTAAGACGAGGGCGAAGATGCTTGAACTTCAGAACCTCGTATCAGGTCTTCTCTGGCTTCCCCCCTAGATCGAGCGACACACGAAGCGCGAATGCAACCATGACTTTGCCTTTTCCAATGGCAACCATTAGTCGATAGAATTGACACAACTCGTATCATTCGGGATCGGTTCAGTATACTGTTTAGCTAACCCAATACATTGTGAGTCCCTATCAAACGGGAAACACCGACTCGCATATGCGAGGTGGATGCACCGCCCAACCGCTCAGGGCTATAGTGACAGGGTGCTAGACCCGTCGATGTCGGTGTCGGTGTATTCCTCCCCTGTGCCAACGTGAAGCCCAAGAATAGCAACAGTTGCCTGCGTTCGTACACCGATGGCGTCTGCCAGCAAAGCGACAGGCAGAGGGGGAAAGTAAATGGCAGTCGGTATTCGATGGAGTGGGACGGTTGCCATCACACAGCCATGATGTTCTCTCGCCTCTGCCAACCGGTGGGACACACCGCATACACGGCACAGTGCCTTGTTTCGTCACCCCCCTTCGTCTCAGCTTGAAATACCTTCTCTCCTAGCAGGTCTAGCATCTTTTTATATTCAACCACCACCCTTCCCTCTCTCCCTCCTCTCGTCATCCTCTCATTCCCAATGGCATCCTTCAACGAAGACGAAAAACCATCCAGATCACCCTCCCCTCGGCGATACCCAGATCCATTCAATGAAGGCATACAACCTCACGTCGGCTTTGCTGATCAGAGAAGAGTTCCCTACGGTCAGAGCACCCTCTCCCTCTCCGACACGCTCCACGATGCAGGTCAACAACCGGGTTACGAGGGCATCGAAGAAGAAGAGCTTCCCTTGACGGCAGGGCAGGCATACACTTCACGTGGCTTTGGGTACGTTCTCACTCCCTCCTTTCCCAGCATTCCTTAGCTCTATTTAGAAATAACCCACGCCCCGGTCAACTAGACGACCGCCCACTCTCTACCGTATCAGGTACTACGGACGAGTCCGAGGCATGGCGTCGGCGCCAAACTATTCGTGTTCGGGGTCGCACCATCAAGGTCAAGCTCACGCGGGGCAACTTCATCAATGAGTATGATGTGCCAACCGCCGTGCGCAATGCCGTAGAAGCGAAATGGATGGATAAGAGTGCGTGTCGTCCATATTTCACTTTCTTTCTCTGACTAGCCCCCAGTTACCACCAGCGAGTTCACAAAGATGCGATACACCGCAGCCACGTGTGATCCGGACGAGTTCACCAACGAGAACGGGTGGTCGCTCCGCCAGCAGCATTACAACCGCCACACCGAACTGCTCATTGCCGTGACCTCGTACAACGAAGACAAGATCTTATATGCGCGTACCCTCCACAACATCATGCTTAATATTCGAGACATTTGCAATACCAAGGCATCCAAATACTGGAAGCGCTCCATGGAGGAAGGGGTCCCGGGCTGGCAGAAGATCACCGTCGCCCTTATCATGGACGGTATTGAACCTTGCGACAAGGCCGTCCTTGATGTTCTTGCCACTCTCGGGGTCTATCAGGATGGTGTCATGAAAAAGCAGGTCGACGGCAAAGACACAGTGGCTCACATTTTCGAGTATACCACACAGTTGTCCGTCGACGCGACTCCCCAACTCGTCCTCCCACACGGCGACGACCCCAACAATCTTGTACCAGTCCAGATCATCTTGGTCCTCAAGCAGAAGAATTCCAAAAAGATCAACAGCCATCGCTGGCTGTTCAACGCCATTGGGAAGTTGCTGCAACCTGAGATATGTGTGCTCATCGATGCTGGTACTAAACCCGGACACAAGTCCATTTACTACCTTTGGGAGGCTTTCTACGTGAGTAACCACTCCGCCTAGCAACATCTGGTTTCATATATCTGATATGGGATAGAATGATCCCAACCTGGGCGGCGCATGTGGAGAGATTTATGCGATGCTTGACGGTGGCAAGAAACTGATGAACCCCCTCGTGGCTGCGCAAAACTTTGAATACAAAGTGGGTTGTGTCCAGCCGAAGGGACTCGTCGGCTAACCAGTGTCTAGATGAGCAACATCCTCGATAAGCCGTTAGAGAGCTCGTTTGGCTAGTGAGTTCAGAAAGAGTAGTCGTTTTCAATACTAAACACTCGTAGTGTGTCGGTTCTTCCCGGTGCATTCTCCGCATACAGGTACCGAGCCATTCAAGGCAGGCCTCTGGAACAATACTTCCATGGTGATCATACTCGTAAGTCTGTGTGATTTCAATCATGCAGCTGCGTCTGACCTGCATGTAGTGGCCGAGCGTCTTGGGAAAAAGGGTATCTATGGCATGGACATCTTCACCAAGAACATGTTCTTGGCCGAGGATCGGATCCTCTGTTTCGAACTCGTTGCCAAAGCAAACGACAAGTGGACCTTGACTTACGTCAAACCAAGCAAAGCGGAGACCGATGTGCCTGAAGCAGCAGCCGAGCTGATTGGTCAACGTCGTCGATGGCTTAACGGGTCCTTTGCCGCGTCAGTCGTGAGTGAGCCTCACCTCTGTGCTAGACACGCGCTGAGTTCGTGCAGTACTCTCTTGTCCACTTCTTCCAACTCTACCGTTCTGGCCATGGTTTTGTCCGTTTGTTCTTCTTCCACTTGCAGGCTTTGGTAAGAATTACCCTTCACTTAATTATCTATTATCCTGACTCAGAACAGTACAACCTTTTCAACCTCTTGTTCAGTTGGTTCGCGTTGGCCAATCTTTGGTTGACTTTTTCTATCATTATCGAGCTCTTGCCAAATCAAGGCACCTTCATTTTTGGCAACCAATTCGTCACCGACTGGATCAACCAAGTGTTCAAATGGGTTTACCTTGCATTCCTGGCTCTGCAATTCGTGCTCGCCCTGGGAAACCGGCCCAAAGGAGAACGAGCGCTCTACGTGACAACCCTCTGCGTCTACGCCTTCCTGGGCTTATACCTTATCGTGGCATCTGTTTGGCTCACCGCCCTGGCCTTTTCTATGGTGAAATTCACAAATGCCCCTACCGTGGCTGACAAGATTTTGGTTCTCATCGACGGCAACGGTGGCGCAAACGGCATTCTACTGGCCGCGCTCGCAGCAACGTTTGGCATCTACTTGTTCGCGTCGCTGTTGTACACGGATCCTTGGCACATGTTGCACAGTTTCCCGCAGTATCTGTTGATCGCCCCAAGCTTTACAAATGTGCTTAATGTGTATGCGTTCTGCAACCTGCACGACGTGAGTTGGGGAACAAAAGGATCGGACAAGGCGGATGTTTTGCCAGCAGTGAAATCGAAGAAGGATCAGGCGACTGCCAACGCGATTGTGGAAGATGTGCAGAAGCCACAGGAAGATATCGACGCGGCGTTCAAAGAGACGGTGACGCGGGCCGTTGCACCGTTCAAGCCGAAGAATGATGTTGATAAGCCGACGATGGACGATCAGAACAGGACGTTCCGTACGCGTCTGGTGGCGTTGTGGATGTTGACGAACGGGTTGATAGCGGTTCTGATCGAGAATATCAGCGGTGTTACAAACAACGAGAACGAACAGCAGCTGGTGGCGCAACAGGCGGACCTGACGAATAAGCAGCACATCTACTTTGCTGTTATCCTGTGGACGACGTTTGGGTTGTCGTTTGTGCGATTCCTTGGTTGCGTGTGGTACTGGTTGAAGAGGAACCTATTCCGCCTGTGCCGCCGCAACTGAGATTACCTTTGTTTTTTCTGTCGTTTTACATGACTGAGTATGGATCGTGATTCAAGGACACTCTGTTTTATATGGTTAGGGGATTAATTGTATTGAATTGCTGCGGGCCTGGACCCCCCGTTGATGAGGCTGTGTTGAGTGGCAGCGCCTATCAACGGATCACGTGTCAATTATATTCCAATTTCAATTTACTCTTTCAAGTTGTCCCCGTTTCCATCGTTCCTTCCTTATCCCTTGACCACCATCTCCATCCTTCACCAGCGCATACATCCACCTTTCTCAACATTTATACTCACTTCTATCTCTCTACCTCACCATATCACGCTCTCTCAGTGCTACTCACGCTCATTATCATTCATCTCTTACTCTCAATTCTCTCATGGCGCTAGCACCCCGTCAAAGCTGTCCAGGCCTTTCATGTCCCCAGACTCCACCAGCCTGTCCAGCTTGCGATGCAGGTCAAGAATGCCAAATCATCGGTACATCATGTACCCGATGCGCATACACCATCTGTGTCCCCGTATCCTCGGCACCATCGGCAACCGACGGAGGTGGGGGTATCAGCACAGGCGCCCTGGTGGGCGCCATCGTCACCGCCGTCGTAGTCCTCATCCTCGCTGGTCTTGGAGTTGTCTATTTCCGGCGCCGTGCAGCCGCAAAACGTGCCCGAGACGTACGCAAGTCAACATCGACAGGCGAAAAATCAACGCAGTCGGGGAGAACAGCCAAAGACGGCTCACCTGTCGTTGCTACTCCTGACGCGCGCAACCCATTCAGCGACTTGCACACCGCCGAGTCCGGTGTGTCCTATATGGCCCCTCAGGGCCTTCCAGGCACGGGGGACGAAGCAATGCCCGACCATCCATATGCCCGAGGAGGACGCCCTGTGTCCGCCGCCCCAGCCAGGCCCTCACGCTCCCCCGATCTCACCCTCAAGGCACCAGAGCCCTCGTATGCCAGGCCGGACAAAAAAGACAAGAGACAATCGACCCAAACAACTGGATCATCGGTCATGTCCGACTCTGAGTCTACAGTCACCGTTGAACTGTACGATGCTCGCACTCAGTCCGCAACGAGACACATTTTTGGCGCTCCCGCAAAGGCCCTTGTCGTCCCGATCAATGCTTCATCGCCCAGTCTACCTTTACAGAGGTCACCCTTAGGACAAGCATCTTATTCAGCAGATCAGTATGAGCCCGGCACTCCGACGACCCACCTGGATCCATTTGCCGACGGGGATAATCGACCTGTTTCGAGAAACAGCATGAATACAGTGGCCACATACGACCCGGACAATGTTCAGATCATGAACGCCACTCTTGCGACACGCCAGTCTGGAAGTTCAAGCAGTACAGGACACGTCGTGGTAAAGGGTCCCATTGCGGCGAGAGCCAACCTCTTGCCCATTCGCGTTCCTCCACAGTCCATGCCATCCCTGGTTGCGTATCAGACTGCGATTGGCCAAGCCGCCGCCCGTGCACCGCCCAGCCCGCACGACTCTCTGGGACATGCTCGCCATATGTCGACAGCTACTATGGCGACGACTGCGTCTGGTTTCTCTACCTCGTCATCACTGTTGTCCAGTTTCCCATTCGTGCCACCAAGTCCCTTAGGACTCCCCCGCCAACGCTCCCCTGAAAGCATGACATTTTCTGTGCGTGAGGGCGAGGAAGGTATGCAGGCGATACAGGTTGAGAAGCCCACGCCTCCGCCACCCCAATCCCGGCCGACAAGTGTCTGGTCCTCTGTTTCCGGTGCATCCAGCGCACCTGCTCACCCACCGCTTCCCGGCAGCGTTCCCCCTGTTCCCGCCATTCCGGCAGGACTGCCGCGACGAGCGTTGTCAACTACAACATCACGCGCATCAACAATGACCACAGGTTCTATTCTTTCGGCATTCCCCTTCCACATTCCCGCATCGGCACACACAAGCGCAGTGCCACTGTCAGCTTTGCCTTCCTCAGTTGCACTTCCAGATCATCATGGGATGCGTGACAGCATGCGTGATAGCATGACTGGCACAGATAAGACGGGCCTGCGTTCAAGGCGGGCCAGTCTCGATTCTGTTATGCTTAGCAAGCAAGTCGGCGAATTAGGCGGACTGGATGATTGAAGGTATTTTCATTATTTTCTTCTTCGGGTTAGTTTGTGATATATTTCATCGTGGTCGTTCGAAGCAAGGCCGGTCCCTTGATATATCCGCCTTTTATTCGCTGTGGATCTCTTTTTTAGCGCATTCGTCTTGCCAGACTATTCTGTCATTTGTGACTCTACCATTCGCTTCAAGTTTTTTTCCCTTTACATTTAGGCTGTTCGAGTGTCAAGGAGCATAGAGTGGGCTGCAGCTAAGTATATATATTTCATTGTATCGCTACTGCAAATGAGAATACTAGCGATAACAGCTGACAGGATCCGACTCCTTCCTGTCCATTGCCTTTGTTGGACACGGATGTTTGCCGGATCTCTCCACGTTTCCTTTGAACGACAGCGCATCAAGATTAAATCTTTGGCAAACATCTCGTCCCTCTCTTTGTGCTCTCCTCCATCTTGATTCTCTTCTATGTCTGTCAACCTTGTTGAAGCGACAGGTTCTCCTGTCTACATGGAGCAAGTCCACGCTATCAAACAGCGTCGAGACAGCCAGATCCCAGCCTCTTTGCGGCTTCCCAAAGAGGTCATCGATAGTGCGCCACTGGATGTCACCAGTATCCCGGCTTCTTGTGGCCTGCTAACGGACAAGGAGTTGGCTATCACTGAACTCGATGCTACTTCGATTTGCCAGAAAATCGCGGCAAGAGAAATAACGGCCGTCGAGACTGTCACGGCCTTCGGGAAGAGGGCAATCATAGCTCATCAGCTGGTGAATTGCTTGACGGATATCTTTCTGGACGAGGGTATTTCCCGAGCCAAAGAGCTGGACGAATATTACGAGCGTGAAGGCAAAGTCGTTGGGCCTCTTCACGGGCTACCCATCTCCATCAAGGTTATCATGGTCTTGTATGATCTCACTGCCCTTCTTAATCTGGAACTAGGACCATGTTCCTTTGAAGGGCCGCTGGGCATCTGCCGGTTTTCTTGCCACTGTCGAGGTGTCTCAGGATGATTGTCTCATGACATCTACTCTCCGCAATCTTGGTGCAGGTACTGTGTTTTCACACCACCACAAGCGGTGTCTAGCTTGGATTAACACCAGAAAATGCAGTGTTTTATGTCAAGACGAACCAACCACAGAGTATCATGCATCTGGAGACAAACTCCATGTATGGTCGGACAGTACGTTTGCTTTTTCTGTGCCGAGAAACTGTTGAGTTGAGTCCCCCAGCTCAACCCTTGGAACACCTCCTTAACTCCAGGTGGCTCGAGCGGAGGGGAAGGTGCCCTGATTGCCATGAAAGGCTCCTGCATTGGGGTTGGAACGTAAGGATCAAATGTGTGCTAGAAAGTAGGCCCACCTCAAAAGCTTCTTAGTGATATCGGGGGTTCCATCCGAGGCCCGGCCGCGAACAGTGGCATTTATGGAATGCGACCTTCCAGCAAAACACTCCCGATGAAGGGATATCTTGCTTTGTAAGTTGTCTCGATCCATGTTGTGCGCATATGTCTAATGCAGCGTGTGAAGCCAATTTGGTGCAGATGGTGTCTTGCCGTCCACCGGACCAATGTGCCGTTCCGCAAGAGATATAGATCTTTTCATTCGTAACGTTTTAGCTTCCAAGCCGAGTCTTATCGATGTTTCTTTGGTTCCCGTGGTGTGGGATGTGCCAACAAGCTTCGAAAAGAAACTTCGTGTTGGTATTATGGAACATGACAGCGTCGTCCTGCCTCATCCACCAATTTTACGCGCCCTGGCGGCAGCCAAGGCAAAGTTGGCCGCATCTGGCCTCGTGGAAGTAGTCAACTACAAGCCATTCAGGCACGACCTGGGATACGACATCATTGTATGTGCCAAGCAGCTAATCTTGCACCCGTCACCTGATCGTCTCCTAGAGAGAGCTGTACTTCGAGGATGGGGGAAAGATTGTCCGCGATCTTCTCAGCCAGACTGGCGAGCGCATGTTGCCTTTGACTGAATGGGTCATTTCCCCTCCTTATACTAAGGACCACGATGCGACGTCTCTACGTGCCGTGCGTCACGAATTATAATCTCCATGGACTTCATTCCTAAACCTATTTGCAGCTCCGCACACAGAGAGATGAGTATCGAGATGCATATTCTGACTATTGGAACCAGACTGGATGCGATGTCGTGTTGTGTCCGCCTTTCCCGGGCACGGCAAACCCCCATGACACAGCCAAATATTGGTCGTGAGTACGAACAGTATATTTTTCCCGGGTCGTCTCTTATAACCGCGGAAGATACACCGCTATTTGGAACATCCTCGACTATCCCGGCATTGTGTTCCCAAGCGGCGCCCGATTGAATCCCTCGGTGGATGTTCTGGAGAGCAGAACCCACTTTCTCAGCGATGCAGACAAACTTAATGAAGAGCTATGTATGTCGTGCCCCCTTCTCTGAAATTTAAGCTGACTTGTGCGAAGACCATGCAACAAAGATGGTCGGAGCACCGGTTTCTTTCCAATTGGTGGCACGTCGATTCAACGACTGCCTTCTGGTAGCGGCACAGAAGGTCATCGAAGACATCTTGAAAGCGGAGTAGATATTTCTACGTACAGAATCAAGCGATGCGAAAGGAACAATAAAGAAAGATGGGAGCTTTCCCATTGGAAAGTTGCATATTGAAGCCCCCAGGCGTTTTCTCCCCAGTTCCCAGTCAATCTGAAAGGTTGAAATCCTATGCATGCATATGTGCCAAACGGGATCACGACTCGAGTAATGGTACAACAATGTTCTTCCATCCTTCCATCCTTGATTAGTTTACAGGGAGCCAAGCTTGCTGATGTACCTCTAATCCCGGTCGTCCTCGTCAGTGGAGACGTGAGAGACCGCACCAAGAGAAAGGCTAGGATTACCAGGGAGCGGCTCCATCCCCTGAAAAATCGGATAAGATGGCGTTCGCAGTGGTATTCACAGGTGTACTTACGGGCACCGGAACGGTTCGATAGAAGTGCTTGGAAAGTTTCTGGATCACTAAGCTGTAGTCGAGATGAGGAGTTAATTTCCTGTGCAATTTCGTTAGTGAAGCATTCTTGCAAAGTGTAGCCAACTCCGGCATACTTCTTTGGTTGCACATTTAATGCATGGCGAGCATCCAAAGCCGAATCCAATACATTTGAAGAATGTGCGCCCTCGCTCAACGACAGACGGATGGAATACTCCATGTCTGTCCTGCCACGGCCACCATTGCGCTCGTACAACTCAAACCTGCAGGGGGATGTGAGAATCGCATTCAGAATGGAAGCCCATTAACAGACGTTATGTGTGATGCATAATCCAGTTCGGGTATGCGAGGTTGTGCCATAGGGAGTCCCGATAATAGTATCAAGTTGGCAAGCGTATGAATGTGGCTTTCCTTCGTGAAAAAGACTGACAATAGAGGTTTGCCTGTATTTCGAGAGATCTGGAGGTCTTCCACAACCTTCTTGAGCAATGGCAGTGAGGTCAAGATACCAATCTCCTCCCTGCAGGCAACAGTTAGCTGCAACAGAGCTTACGTCGCATCGTGACCACATACTTTTCCCATGGTTCAATTCCATATTCTTGGGGTGCCACCAGGTCGAATAGGGCCTTTGACCTAGCGTATAGCTCATGCAAGCGCCTGTCGGGAATTTTATTGGGAGGACCTTGGCCTGCTTGCGAGTCGAATATCGCAAACAGGAAAGGTCGATGGTGCAGCGCACAGTACTAGTCGATAGGTCAGTGGCCAAGCCAGACACTTGAACGAAAGCACGATACCTTGATTGTATCGTATAACTCGCTCACTCTCGACGGATCGAACTTCTCCTTTTTAACATCGCAGAAGTCCTCGAAAAGCTTCTCCCAGCGCTCATGGAAAAGAAATGGTTCCTCTCCGCAACACCTGGCATGAGTGGCTAAGCCGAAGGCTCACCAGTCCAACATGTACATACCATCTCTGCTGAATCTTGTCTACGTCCGTTGTGGCAAAATTTTTATGCATAATTTCCCGAAAGGACGTCAAGAGATCGATCACTTCGCTGACAACTTCAACAGGCTCTTTCTTTAGTCCTTTTGGCCAAGTCAACTCTGGCCTCTTTTCAGATTCTCCAGGACGAAGCAGGATCTTCAGTCGTTTCTTGACATCGTCTGTCAACTCCTTCGCCGCATTGGAGTCGTCCAAAAGATCTTTCCGCACTATGAGTGCATGTTGATAATCGACTGCCTGCGAGTTCTGACGCTTCATGGGGGGAGGAGTTGATGAAGCACGCAAAGAGCCGGTAGAAGGCGAGTTGGTCAGACGTGCCGAACCACTGAGTCGCGGGCTTCCATTCATATGGTTCGCAAGGAAATTAGAGGTGTAGGATGAAACTGGTGTAGGGTAGGCGGTCGAACTCGCATGTGCGCGCAAGGGTTCGTCGGCGCCTTGACTCGTGAAAAATGTGCCTTCGAACAAGGCAGCAGCAAATATATCGGCGGATGCTACAACACGCCGCTCGGAAGATGTGTATATTGTGACGTTATTGAGCAACTCCTTGTCTGGAGAGTAGAATCAGCCATAACTTGACAGACGCAAATTAGAGGACACACTCATAATGGAGATGTCCTTCTTCAACTGTTCGCCCAAATCTCTGCTTTGGTATCGAGCCGCATGGGTAAATTCGCCGCCCCATTTGAAGACAAGTTGGAGCTTCTCGAGCTTACCCTTGCCTCCCTTTCCCTTCTCCAGGGCAGGTTTCAATTGCGCCTTAGTTCCAGGCATATCAATCTTACTGTACAACGCCTTTTCCAGCGCTGCAAGCTTTGCCATTTCCTCATCAGTTGGCGGAGGCTTGATCTTCTTTGACGCGTTGATTGCCGTGCTGATGAGCTGCAGTTGCTCGGGAGACCGAAGAATTATTTCCTCATAAGGAGCATCGGGGGAAAGTAACGCCTGAAACGGCTTTGTCCACGCTGCGGCGACTGGGAAGCTGAACTTCAGCTTCTGCTTTGGAGTTCTATCCGCGTGCCGGAACACAGTGACGTTCGCCTTTAGAACCCAGGAAGAAGACATGGAATCAGGATCTTCCAGACTGACAAGTTGCCGTTTTGTAGAATGTGATACACGCTGGCATAGGTCGGCGAGAATCTCGGCAGCTCTATCTGTTTATCATAAATACGGAGAACATACACAACCAAAGCTCGAGTGACGTACCATAATACGCATCGTTCCCCTTGACAAAGCTCCAACCGTTGACATCGATAACCAAGCTACGTTGCTGTCCGTCTGGACCATCGCAGCGCAAGACATCAAAACCGCATACCCTCTGTCCAAAGGCATTGCAGATTTTCCGCGCTGATTCGCGCTCCTCTTCCGTGAGAGTGGTTACAAAACGAATTTCCTTGCCGTCCGTATTACGGCGCACAACGCCATCGACAGTGGGAGACTTTCGTGTCTCGGCATGGGTGAAATCGTGTCCAACCGTGTAGACTTTGATATCTTCTGCGTTCTGGGTGGCCAGAAATTCCTCGTAGATATAAGATCCGTCCGTTCGAGGTTGGATCATAGCAGGGTCAAATTCGGAGGATTTATTTCCGACCTGCAATGGATGAGTTGTGGTATGAGAGAAAAGTGCGAGATGGCGAACCTTTCGGAACAAGCGTCGCCCGCCACCATCTCGATAATAAATATACACATTGTGGTCCTCCCCACTGACCGGCTTCTCGACGTATGGTTTCTCCATTACTTGTCCGTCGACAATGATGGCGTTGCCATCCTCCCGTAACCGGACTTCGGACCGAGGTGGTGGGGCGTCGCAGAGCTTACCAAGATCCAAACCAAGCTTGTCAAGCACCTTGGCTCGTAGACTTGCCGAGACCTTTGGTCCTTTGTCGCGGGTTGCGACTAGGCGATTTGGGGTAGGTACCTTGTTGTGGTCGAGAATGGCGAGGACGAGGCGACGGTCCCAAAGGAGCTCCTGTGACTCAAGGTCGTTGATGAGAACAGGATTACGAAGATGTGAGTACTTGACAGCTTTGGGTAGGGGAAAGTCTGTGGAAAAGAAGGAGATGAGGATGTCGCAACGAGGCCAGTTCTCGACCTCTGGGTGTGACGTGAACAAGGCAGAAATGGTGGTGAGGTGATATGGGCATACCCTCGTCTAAAATGGCCTTATCACCAAATATCTTGATGTCTATTGCGCCCTGACCCCTATGCACTAAACGAGTGAGAATTTCGCGCATCGCCTTGCTGCGTGCTTTTACGTCCATTGCGCATATGCCGACGATGACGCTGGGTGAGGAGTGGACGGCTGATGAAACGGAGGTGTCGTCCGAAGCAGCGGGTGACAAGGGCCGTGATGGTGCCATGAGGAGGGTGTCTACCATGGTGGAAAACAAAGGATAAGAATGAGAGAGTGAGAGAGAAAGAAAGAAGACAAAGAATTGAGGACCAGAAGAGCGGTAAAGCTATAAAATTAAGCGCTGGCTGAGAAGCGAAGAAGCGGATGAAAGTGACGTGAGTGAACCCTTGTTTCCCATCAGTGGCACTGTAACCTTCTTTGATTCCGCGCATTCATCCCCCATCTAGCGCAACACTACCTCCTTGCCGACCTTTGGTAGCAAGCGATGAACGCACAGAATCGACTGACCATCAATGCTGTCGCTCTCATATCGCCCTCCAACTCACCCATAATAGTACACACTTACAGGTCACATCCCTCTTCCCTCAAATATCACTTCGTCGCTCATACCGCACTCGACATTATCGAGGAACGTCGTAAGTCATCATCCTACTCCTCCACACCTGTTCTATCACCCCTCATTACGTTCTCATTAGTCGCAACCGGTACAGATTGTTACCTTGGACTTCTTCACACACTCGAAGATCAGGCTGTGTACGGCTACGTAACCCCAACACGCATACGAATCGTCATATCCCTCGCCCTCACCGACACCCTCGTTCGAGATGCAGACGTGATCACGGTGCGCATCCTCCCTCTCATGACCCGGTCTCTCGTCCGCCCTGATACCTACATCACCCATTGTAGACATTTAAATCCCTACACACCGCCTATGCCCGAGCTCTGGCTAACCCATTCCTACCCGCAAGAGGCACTTTACTCTCTCCTGCCGCTGAACAACAGAACGGGACTGGTCCAAACCCACTCGATTCATCCTCCCTTCTAGTGGGTAGCAAAGCACTCCAGCGAAGATTAGTAGAGATCGGTGATGCTCTTGGTGTTGACGAACATAGCTGAGTTAGCATATATCCCGGAGTGGTTATCCAAGTTCTCTATGTCTGGCGATCACATACATCAACGAACTCGGACATGTACTATGCTCATCTTGCCTTCCCATGGCGTTTTGAGCAAGATACTACGCGACTTTCCCAAGGGTCAAAGTCCGAAAAGTCGAGCAACGCCCTTCAATGACTCGCGCTTGGCTCTGAGAGTACAGCCCGCGAGACAGATACGGGGCGAACATGTGTCCGCGAGGACGGAAGCACGTGCCGCATTACCGTGAGTTAATTACCTAAATATACCTGTTATACATTATGTTGCTTTACAAGAATCGTCACGGATCGGGTTACTGCGGGGGTATTGTTGTAATCATAAGAACAAACTCGTTGTCATAATTGAAACAGCGCAACGTTCAACTTCGGAGCCGCCAGCCATCCCCTTTCCTCTTCTTGTCAATACCACCGAAGCTTTCCCTCACAACCAGCCATAGGCACGTCGACGCGATGATATCCTTGATATCTTCAGCTGTTAGTAAGAGCCCAGCCTCTTCCACATTATCCACTCCATCCACTCTTGGCAAGAACTCTCCGCGATCCACAGCAACATCCGGAAGGGGGAAGGGTATCTTGACCTGCCCTAAGAGTTTGGGATGGTGAGGCGCGGGTATCAGAGCTGCGACACGCATCTTTGCTTGGGTCGGCGAAACATGCAGGGTGCAGGTCCACGGTGTATCATCGTCCTCAGGATCGGATTGCGAGTTTGTCGAGCTCGTCTCGATTGAGGTTGGCGCAGGGGGTACGTGGAGCGCCGCTGCTGAAGAGCGCGGAGACACTGACCGACGCTTGAAAGAAGGTGCTGGACACCGCTCCAGATTAGGAGGTGCAAGGCTCGTTGCGTGCGGAGCAACAATGGAGTTCCGGGCACTTGGAGTTGCGGACTCTGCCTCTGTTACACTTCTTCTCCGACCGCCTTGTCGATGATCCCCAGCCTTCGTCCATTCAAATCGCAGTTCAATATCAGCCATCGGATCAGCTTGATTAAGCCCGCCCATCCGCAAATTATTCAGGCCCTTATTCAGCCAGTTCTCACCAGTTGGCTTTAACCATTTTCGGACGACCCACACGTATGAGATTGCCCGGTTATGATTGTGAGCAGCCATCTTTGAGCCTTGTGTTGGCTGTAGTCCTAATGTGGGCGCCAGAAGCCGTTCTTCTGAAGTTGTGATAGATGGCGATGTGGGCATAGTTTCGGTTCGTGCAGGGGAGGGAGGTGGCTGTTGAACCGCGGAGAGTTCGGAAATCGATCCATTCCGACGTTTGAAGAGGTTTCCGAACGGCCTCTTTTGCTTCTTCTGTTCCGGTTGAGGTGGGGCAAGACGTTCAGCGCGCGGAGTGATGGGAGGTGCTGGATATGGATATTTGTCGTGGGAAAAGGATGTCCGAGGTGTGCGATCCCCAGCAGACTCTGTGTTGGTGATATGGCTGTTGTCCGATAATCGCGTTCCTCTGTGGTCCAGAAGATGATGTGAATGCTCCCAAAATTCGACCGGTTCAATATATACGACTTGCATGACCTCGAGACCCTTTTTCATGAACTTTGCAACTTTAGCATCGGTCCCCGCGTCCAAAACTGTGTTTTGAATAACATTGTGCGCAGAAAGATCTGAAAGAAGAGGGTCAGGGGTGAGAAGAGTTGTGATGCTGGGCAGAACGAACTATATAAGGGGATGACACGCCGGCCGCTCGAGGTGGAAGACAAGGAGGTGACTGAGCTTGATGCAAAAGAGTAAAGAGAAGCGCTTCGATCTGAACGGATGGATGTTCGACGGGTAAGGGTAGACCCAGCACTATCTGGTGTTACGGGAGACTGTATATCGTCTCTGGAGAGCTCGACGCTTCGACGTTGCTGTTTTTGCAGATTTGGCGGAATAAGTTGAATTTGGAGATTGAGGGGATGGTTGTTCTTCGCAGGTGGAGGCCGGACTATGATGAAGGTCTGCAATGACAAGATTAGGAGGGGACGAAGAAAGGACAAGAAGAAGAGCGCACCTCATTCGGCTGCCTCCTTCGGCGTGTGCCAAGGTCCTCATGAAGTTCAGTGTCTGACACGGCATGCTCGACATGGTCGTCTGTATGTGGATGGATCTCACTGGGTTGGTTCTGGACGTTGGTATCAGGCTGAGGTTGTCTTTGGGGCTCTGGAGGCTGTTCCTCTTCCTGCCTTGTTAGGAAGGCGATTGGGTTGGGTAGGGATGGTATGCGTAACCCTGTGGGGAGTATGCTCGAGAGGAAGGTGGTCATTTTTGAGGTAACCACGGGATAATTGTAAGTGAACGTTATATGGTGAAGCGACTTGCCAAGAAGATGGTGGTAAGAAAGCAAAGAGAGAGAGAGAGAAAATTGAAATAAGGTGAGGAATGTGTGCAGTGCGTGGCTGATGAATAGATGTCCGATGGGCTGGATTGGCCCTTTACCTCTAAGGGGCCGCTGATGTCATGTGCGCGTGTATATATCTTCTCCTCTTTCCCCCATTCATATTGTAAAATGGTCTATTCTACATCTTCCTCTCCTCCTATTTTCATATTTATTCTACTTCAATTTGTTTCATTTCATATCGTCATGTCTCTTGAGCATATTGCCTCTCGATATTCATATCAAACACAGTTACAGCTTTCCATGTCATGTCCCTATCCGCTCCCCTTGTACGCGCAGCAACCGCGCCTATCGACCTCGCAGCATCCCTCGAGGGACTCGCCGTCTTCGTCGGTCAATACAATGCCATTCAACGTTTCCTTGGCATTCCCGAAGTATGCTGCGGTTATGACCTTCTCAACTGCGCAAGGACTTATCGGTCAAATCCTCATTCTCACTTCTCACGCTTCGTCTTGTGCACTCCTGACGTAGAGCTGCGCTCCCTCTGACACCCTTAGTCCAATATGTTATCCACAAAGCTCACCATCACTTTTCCCCGCGCATTCCTCTACAATCACTTCGACCTCTACGCTGCCACTCTCGGCGATTATATTTCCCCCCCCAGGCTTCTCACCCGGCGCCCGACGTATCAGAAACATCAGACAATCGCCTCATGTAAATGGTATTATTCCAACAGACGAAGTGACATCGAACATTTGACGCATTGCAGACACGAATGCATCGGTGTCATCGGCCACCTGTTAAGTGTCAAGTCCCTGTGATGTGAACAGGCGCTCGCTGACAAATCTCCGGCACGGTGTGTACGCGTTCCTTCGGAGAAGGATGACAAACGCTTCTTTCACCCTGACCACCACACCCTTGGCTTTGAGCAGCACCTTTCCCACAATCTACATGACACGCTGTACAATAGTGCAGAGCATACGGGTCTGAAAGCAGCACGTATCGGCCGCATGTACTGACTTTCTTGAAGCGGGCGTAGCTTAACTTCATCATCGCACAAGGCTCTCTCCCGCCAGACTTGGCTAGACATCTTCAAACTTGAACGCATGTGGTCTGTTCTCCAAAGTGGGGGACTTCTAAATGTACATTATTGCATTTGCCTGTATAGAGTAACATCGTCTCCTGGAGCACACACCCTGCCCAATCAGATTGTCCATTCGCAATACCCAAAAACTATCAATACGACATTGGTATGCATCGAGATTCGCACCGCTCCTTCACTGGGTTTTTCGCGTCTCTGCAGGCGTCTGCACAGAGGCACCACTCTGCCCATTTGAACCTCCTTCGGAGTCCCTGTGGTGAATCAGTCTCAATGTCCTGGGCTTGAAAAGTGTAAACGCACTCCTCGTCGTCACTCCTTACGTCCTCTGCCCCCCTTCCCGTAACAACCCTCAGTGCCACCGCAAGGATCATCCAAAACCAGATCAGCATGAGGACTTGTAAAATGCTAAGGAGCACAAGGAAGATCGTCCACGAGCTGTGGCTCAGGTATAGCCCATTCGACGGTGACCACCGTAACGGGATATGTTGAGGGGCGTGGCGATATGTTGAATAAATGAGGGTAATAAACAGCAGGTGGCGAGTTAAGAACCAGGAGGCAAGGAATATGACAAAAGCAATGTCCGTCCCAGTGGTAAAGCCCACGTAGCGCAACATCTTTGCAGTCTGCACAGAAGCATCAGGATCCGGCAAAGACGCAACACTGCCAAACATACTGGGAATACCCAATCACAAAAGTCCATGAGAAGCAATATCATCGTCCCAATGCGGGTGAGGTTGCCCATGTAGCTAGCTATCATAAGCCCGATGGTTATGATGTGGTGTGAAAACATCTGCCAATGGTCTTTTCTCCGGGCCTCAATGTTGAGGATAATGAGCTGATGACACCATTCGGCGAGCTGGGTAAGATAATAGAATTTGACGGGACCGGGTAGCGGGGTGTGGGGATAGCCTATCCAGAGCTCGTGCAGTTTGTATGGAGCCCAAGGGCTGTTGACATAGATATACTGGATTACTGTGAGCGCGAGTCTGCATATACTAGGAAGATCATACCATGCCAAATGACCAATATACCACGTAATAGATCAAACTAAAGCCTTGTTCTGAGAAACGCGTGATGTTTCGTGCTCGCTGCCTTTCTTCCCTCTTCCGGTGCGATTTTGGACGTTGCCCGACCCCGTTGGAGGGGGTCGGTACGGTCGGGGTGGTGCCATACAAGACGCGTCGAGCGATTGGTGTGAGGATATAAGACATGGCGACTTCCCGGGTGACAGAGAAGAAGATGATCCAAGTGAGAACAAAGCACGCATCGAGGTAGCCTTTCCCGTAATGCTGCCATTGGGGCAAGAGATTGGTATTATGCGGGGTGGGGACAGGATAGGAGAGAGAGAAGAAAGGTCGTGTGCGATCTGCCAGGCCGGGATAATGCGGCAGGGAGTCGTTGACAAAGCTCATTAAAGGCGTGAAGCGGTCTAAGGGAGGATGAGGGAATAATGAGGGTCAAATGTTGTTACGGGAGAGGAAAAGCAGACAATTGTGCGCACCTCCATGCATTTCTCCCTCTTTCAGACAGCTATAGACAGCAGCCTGTGACCAGCAGGGCTAAAGTGATAGTGATTGATTGGAGGTCGATGAGAAGAGATTAATGCGTGGTAGTAGAAAAAGGAGCAAAAGGAATGGCTGAAACGGTCATATAACTCCAATTTTGTCAATCCATCCCCAAACGGGGGTATACACCCGCCCAACAAAGTCTCTTCCCTACGGACCCTAATAGTCCCCTAGTCAAGGAAATACACCTCTCGATTCTTTCTTTACGGGTCACCATCCTCCCAAGCATGTCATTACCCCCAAATACTTGCTTGTATATCAACAACCTCAACGATAAAATAAATAAAGAAGGTGCCCACTTACAATTTATCTCTCTGGATCTGTTTTAACCACAATTCAGAGTTACGCGCTCAGTTGTATGCCTTGTTCACTCCTTACGGCAAGGTAATCGATGTGGTCGCCCGTAAAGGGACAAAGATGAAGGGCCAGGCCTTTGTTGTTTTTGGAGATTTGGCGGGCGCCACGACTGCCATGCGAGCAATGGATGGAGAGTTCTTCTATGACAAGCCCATGGTGAGTGGATCTCGGACTTCATTTCAGGACATTGTTGGCAATGTTCTCACGATGGGGAAGAGTATCCGTCGATTCTTTCCTTTCCGCAACTTGGCAGCTTGCTGACATAGGATATCACCAGCACATACAGTATGGCAGGACCAAATCACACGCGACAATCCGCATAGAGCAGGGCGCAGATGCTGTACCCTTTGGAGCAAGATCAAGTACGACTGTAAATGGCAAGTCCGAAAAAATTGTCATGTCAAGAGCAGAAGGAGAAGCTGCGGACCGGGAGCGGGCAAAAAAGGAGGAGTTGGAAGGTGGCAAGCGGCCGAGAGAGAGTGGTGTCGAGGATGGAGCTCCTCAGGCCAAGAAGAATCGCACGGAAGACGAGGATGACGCGGTGGAGATGGAGATCGAGGACGACGAGTGATACTTGGCGGTATGTGTGTACCTTCTTTCCAGTGAGTGATGTCCCTTGCATCAGGAATGAAATCTCCCTAATTTGTTGGGTGCAGAGACCGATCCCGGAAGGCACCATGGTCTTCTGATAGTAGTTGTCAACCATCAGTACCCGCCTTCACGGGTTCATGATTGTAATGTAGCAATAATGACATGTGCTGTGGCTGATCGTCTTGACCGTTGAGAATAAACAAGAAAAGGTACAAAAATAATAATAGATCACGTGAATAGAGTGCACCGCCACTCATGCCGCACTTTAATGTCGACCCCTGCGCCCCTCTTTGTGCCTCACCGCGCAGACGACTGACTCCTTCAGTGCATTCCTCTCTTTCTACCGACCACCCAGCCCACAATTCAACAGGATTATTTCATCTCATTGTTCTCCCATACGCTCTGCCTTCTATATTTATAATGTCATCCTGGCTAAATCTGTTCGGCGGAAGGAAGGATCCAAAGAGTACTGCCCGTGATGCTATCGTCAACTTGCGTCAACAGCTCGGGATGCTGGAGAAGAAGGAAGAGTTTACACAGAAGAAGATTGACGAGGCAATGAGGACAGCAAGAGCGAATGCTGTTTCAAATAAGAGCGGTGCGATCAACATGGGACGTGTGAGATGATACAAACGACTGACACCATGGGTAGCTGCGACCATGGCATTACGACGGAAGAAAGCGCTTGAGACCGATTTGGAACGCATAGCGAATACCCGGTTGACTCTTGAAGGCCAAGTAAATGCCTTAGAGAGCGCCAATATTAACCAGGAAACAATGGGGGCAATGAAGCGTGGTTCAGAAGCACTGAAAGTTATACACCAAGGATTGTATGTTTGTTCCATATTCATCCTTGCACATGTCGCCTCTGTGCATATGGCGTCACCGTGTCTTCTTCTGTGCCGTTGCTCACGCATCTATCCAGAACTATTGACAAGGTCGATGCCACTATGGATTCAATTCGCGAACAAATGGAGCTCACGAACGAGATCTCGGATGCCATTGCCAATCCTATCAATATGGGAGTTGATATAGACGAGGTAGGTATCTGTCCATTTCCTAATGAATCAGCAGTTCATTATTTCGCAACAGGACGAGCTGAAAGAACAGTTGGCGGAGCTAGAACAAGAAGAACTCGACAACAAGCTCATGGGCGCGGAACGAGCTCCAGTTCATGCCCCTAGCGAGCCATCACGGGTTGCTGCAGCACCACAGAAGACTTCCGAAGAGGACGAGGAGGAAGCACAACTACGCGCATTGCAAGCAGAGATGGCAATGTAGGCGTTCGCGTTTTCATCTCTTTGTTTATCGCCTGGTCCTCATGGCTGCAGTGTGTGGCCGTCCTTCCTGTATTCCTTAACCATATTTCCGTGTTCTTTCTTTGTCACATGTTTCACTACGCATAATGAAAAAGACAGAAGACATCAGCTATGTTATGAGAGCTCTGATAATTTTCAACAGCCTGTGTCTGGAAACTGACGCTTGAGTGGGCAAGGTAACAAAGTGCGGTCTGTTATGGCAGTGGGTATACGAGAACACGTCCATTGACAAATACAAACCTTGGGGGACTTGCAGTTGACAGAGTGTAACATGTGCAAGTATTACACATGCGAAGTGCTCCAGAAGCATGGTAGTAGCTGGAGGTCGCACTACACTACCTCAACTTCTCTTCAGTAAGAATTGATTCATTGAGGTCCTCCAATGGACCAAGCTCTCTCTTGTCGATCAAGTCAAACTGCAGACATTTCAACACACTGGGGTGATGCTAGAGGAGCCTTCGTACCTCATGAGTAAAAAGAAAGAAATGTCGATAGCTTGTGTTCAGATGTGCTAGCATGATATCAGTGGCATAAGCTGGCTAGTTGTCTGGTGGCGAACCATCAATCCCTAGTGCGGCAATTTGGTCCAAGTGGTTGGTGTATAAATGCGCATACACGCGGAAGAGTCGTCGCGCAATTGTTCGAACAGTATCACGAAAATGCTTAGGGAATGGAACACCTGAAACACTGTTGAATGTTGAGGTCGCACACAGCAAAATCAGGATACGTACCCAGTTTGGTAGGGAACAAAGTCTCGTCGTCCAGGCGCTCTTGAATCCAGTTCATGAGCAGATCCACGTACTTAGGTGCCGATACTTTTGTGGGCCGTTTATAGTCCTGTCCGTCTTCCCATAGATATTCGTACCTGCAGAAAGGAGCCTGAGCCACTGTGAAGGCTTGGTACGATGATGGATTGTGCATACCGAGGACCAGCGGACATTGTTGGACACTGAAGGTTGAGAGTTTGCCTTGGAATCAACGGTGCAGAACGTACGTACCTCCTGCGGAGTGCAAAATTCGGTGATAGTTCCATACAACATATTTACGTGGTTGAAGAAGTCCACGACTGGCCAGCATGAGGTCCAATCTCGTGAAGTCAGGAGGTGATAGGTGCGCACTGTGAACCGCCAGCCACTCGTTAACATCTTCCCCCTCTGGAAGCTGCACAGCACTCCTAAGATTCCCGGAACCCTGTCATATTATAGAGGTAATCGAAGTAGTGCTGGGGGAAAAACATACCAGCGTCGCTTGGGCATACTTCCTAAGCTGGTACTGAGGTGTGCCTTCAGGCACGTCTTTCTTGGGCTTGAATGTACGGGTTTTCCCGCTGTGATAGTTTCCACGATTCAGCCATGACATTAAACGCAGATGAAGAAAGCTTACATGTTGAAAAAAGACGACATGATAGTACAGGAAAGGAGGTCGCCAGGTATGACAAGGGGGCACGCGCCACATGTATTTTACTTTATTTAAGGACTGCAACGCGAGGTAAGAAGGCATCAAATCACTGCCACTGTCCCAGAGTTTGTGTTTAATTGTTTACAATTAAAATCCTCTGATCCCCAGTATACGGCGTACATCTGTTGCGAATCGCAAGCTATCGAGTACAGGCAACAGGTCCAGTAAGGCCTCATCTGACGGGTCAGATATCCATCCTTCGATGGGAATGCCATTTGCTGCACATGGGTCAGGTCAACACAACTCTCGGAATATGCCAATTCCGAGAAGCGCTTACCGGGATGATTACTGTAGCTTATGGGCGAATTATCGATCAGGCATATCCGCCGAAGGTCCTCGTCAACGAGCGCCAGGTCTTTGCTGTAGGAGCCACCCTGTTGCTGTGTGCAAGACTAACGCAGAAAATCAATCGACATAGACGGCACGTGTGCCAGAGCTTACTTCACGAAAGAACCGACGCGAAAATAGTCCTCGTCCGCCATCCAACCAGTCAATGACGGGATCCGCGTACTCTTGCATTGAGGCAGTGAAAATGACTAGCGTGTACCATCCCGAAACCTGATAAGGTCAATCACGACTTGTGGATATGGCTGGATCCGGAACCGCACCTTGCGGAGAAAATAGTCAACGAAAGGCCGTTTGTACACATGGTACAGCATGCTTCGCCCGTTGAGAATTACCTCCACCATGTGCCCAGCTCCATGACTCCTCTTTCCAAACAAACCGCCTAAACCGAGCACACCCGTGCCGCCCGTGGCAAATGAGAGTGGATGCGATGTTGAATGAATAAGAGTTTCATCCAGGTCAAGGACGAGCGTCTTCTTCGGCGGAAAGTGGGAGACTGTGGTCGAACTTCTTCTCCGGGAACTGGCCTGTGGGGCAGGGGAAGATGTTAATAGGGACACGGACAACGGGTTCGGAAGCAAGGACTGAGATTTAGAAACGGTGGTTGATGATCCTTGGAATAGGCGCAATGGAGATATGCCGAAAGAACTGGCGAGAGAACGCGAAGTGGTCTCATTGACGGGTGTAGGCGGGGTGACATCGATAACTGCGACAGAAGAGGTGGGAGAGGGTGGAATTGGAGGGCTTTCGACAGTTTCGATCAGCAGCGTTGGAACATCCACGCTGCCTGGAGAGAGGGATAGGTTGCCAGGAGAAAGGGAGAGGATGGAGGTCGGTGCCTGATCGTGAGAATCGGAAATAAGTTTGATCTCCTCGATGGATCCGTCACCTCCATCTTCAGAGCCAGTTTCATCTGCGGTGACCACTTTGTCCTCCCCATCCATGGCGACGTGCTTCACAGCTCTGGCAGCGGTGGGGATGGCCCATATCAAAACTTCTTGCATCGCACGCCGCACAATGGGGTAGCATTGTGCCAAGAAGCGGTGCCTGACCTGGACGACGGCAGGTGCAGATAGGGAACGAGATGGAAAGGGAAGCGGAGGGGGTATCTCTAACAGGGGTGTGGAGAGCCGTGCTGGTGTCGAGGGAGAAGAGGCTGGTCGCTTGGCCTGCACTGGTCTGGTCGGAGGATGGGACGCTGATGAAAACGAGAAGGTACGTCGACTCCGCCGTGATGTGCGAGAATCGGGAGACGGCGGTGAGGAGCGAGAGGTAGAGGCAACAGAGGAGAGGGCACGCGCATCGTATCTCCGAGCGAGCAATGTGAGCGAGTTCATCGCCAGCCACTGGGTCGCACGATGAGTGTGTGCTGCCCGTCACTAGGAGATGTGTGACGACGCCGAGCTGACCGCCAAATGGCAACAAGAGTGAAGTAAAAGAGAGAGAAGAGAAAGAGAGAGAAAGCAAAGTAAAAAGCCGAGGTCGTCGTCGTCGGTGGTTGAGGGACGTTGAGCTGTTGGGGTTGGGGGAATGATGAGCGCACCGCCCACACCGGCATTAACGGCGAACCGCACCTCCGCGTTCTCTCCGAAGGATTAATTGCTTCTTCCGTCCTTCGCATTATTATGAAATACACACACACATCTCCGGCTCATAAATTTCCTAATATACATTGCGTGAGGTTTAGAATTCCCCTTCTCACATGCGAAATACACCAAATCCGGCGTCGTGTCCGTCCCAACTTGGTCGTAACCGTGAACCACCAGAAAGTCGCCCAATCATGCTTTCTCGTTTTGCCAGACTCAGACCGAGGCCTAGCACATCGCGAGAATCAGTTGGCTTGATAATGCCGTCATCCCATAGCCGCGCGCTCGCATATAAAGCTGTTGACTGCGCCTCTATCCTTGACTGCAGCTCAGAATGCTGGCTAGGATCTCTAGAGGACGTCTTCAGCACAAGTTCAAGGAGATCGTGACTAGAGTCTACTTTGATATTCCCGCCATTACTTGGGAAAGCTGCCCCGATCCCATCACCAAAATTTTAGCGTTCTATGAGCGATCAATCAGCTGGGAATGCATAGGTTCCTCAGGATTTTACAGCATACCGGCCACATCCACAAGAAACGAGGCGAATACTAGGTAGATCAGCTGTGATTATCTTCGCCCAACAAAGTAAGAACCTACAGCCCGCCCACACATCCCTGGCGAATTAATTGTGAATGAATACCAACATTCCTGCTCGGTGTATATATCACGCACCATAATTCCCGGCTCCGAAACTCCCACCAATCACCATTGTCAATTTGGGAACGTCAGCACAACTCACGGCGCGAACCATCTTCGCCCCATCTTTTGCGATGCCGCCGCGTTCCGCCTTGCTCCCAACCATATAACCTGATGAGGTCAGCGGACATCATGAATAGCATTAGGCGTCTCACCAGTCACGTTGACAAGGAACACCAAAGGTATTTTCCTTTGACTGCACAATTGGATGAAGTGGGTGGCCTTCAGTGCAGACGGAGAGAATAGAACTCCGTTGTTAGCGACAATGCCACAATGATAACCATGTATGTGGGCAAATCCCTACGCTGCTGTCAAGCCCACCACGCTCAACGTTGGACAAAACAGATTTCTCACAGTGAGAAGTGTTGTTCCATATTCTGCCTTGAATTCTCGGAACCGGCTCCCGTCCACAATACGGGCGATGACCTCCTTCATATCAATCGCCTGGCGAACATCATCGCCGACAATTCCATGTAGTTCTTCAACAGAATAAAGAGGTGCTTCTGGGGCCTGATCAGGCTGTAGTGATCGGTCAGCACAACAATCTACATGACCTGCTCGTTTCTCACACCTCTGCTGTTAACCCTGCTGCACTTCCTAGGTCACCAACTGCTGTGCGAGCCAAGGTGATACCGTCCTCATCATCTCTTGCTAAAGCATCCACAACCCCGCTCACGCTCGCATGCATCTCGCCACCTCCCAGAAACTCTTCATCGACAACTTCTCCGGTAGCAGCCTTCACGAGTGGTGGCCCGGCCAGGAAGATATGCCCTTGATTGCGCACGATAATAACATAGTCCGACATGGCTGGCGTATATGCACCGCCTGACAATCATTCTCGATGCTGGTGACGATAATGACTTCGCCTCACTTACCCGCAACGGAGATGCCATGAACAACAGATATTTGTGGTATCCCAAGGGCGGACATTTGAGCCTGGAGCTTCGTCAGAGATCTGGGATGTGTCAAAGACGTCGCGCAAAATGGACCATATTATAGAACCCTCGCCCAAAATGGTTCACATCAGGAAATACCTGTGCAAGTCAGGTTGACGTTATCTTGGTATGATACAATGTTGTATGTACCTCCGCTTGGTACGGCAATGCTGCCCCTCCAGACTCGACTATGCCGTACCCACTCGCTCAGTGAGAGTGACAGAAGAATGGAAGGACACATACCAAGATAGACGCAAGGCAGCAAGTTCTCTCGGGCAATTTCCTGTGCTCGTAGATGTTTCTTGATTGTTAGAGGATAGTAGCTCCCACCCTTGACGGTCGAGTCGTTGCAGATGATCATGCATTCCTTGCCGGAGACACTACCTATGCCAGTTATAATACCAGCGCCTGGTATGGATTCGCCGGGGTACACCTCATGGGCTGCGATGGAAGACAGTTCCATGAATGGGGTATTTCGGTCCAAGAGAGTAGCAATTCTGGATGCCGATCGCATCAAGCTTTGAAAATACGACGAGACAGCACGAAGACGAACCGTTCTCGAGGTAACAACTTGCCCTTGGCCCTCATACGTTCCATCGCCTTTTTGCCGCCTCCCAGCCTCACCTGGGATGTGATATGATCTAATTCTGTCACGAGAGCGTCCATGGCCGCAGACTTAGACATGAACTCTTCGGACAAAGGCACGACCTTTGAAGGTATAACAGACGGATGGTACGCCCTACTTGCAAGTCTATGAAGTCGGCCAGGGAGCGATTGGCCCTTTAGATGCCAGTATAGCATTATATAGTCTATCAAGCGTGATGTGTATAGCACGCTCTCCGGTGAAGCAATGCGCGAGAATGCGGGGTAAAGAGAAGCTCTGCGTTGGTGGTGTGAACGTTCGGTGTGGTTAGTTGCCAGTGGCTGGGCCAGTAAAGGGCGCTCAATTCACGGGCGCCCTCTGTGACCCATGGTCTTCTCTTGCCTTTCATGTCTGGTGCAGTAAAGAAGCGGCGTATCTGTGTGCTTGGCTCCCGTTCAGTCGGTGAGCTCCTTCCAGGACTCAATGCACTGCATATCTCTTCTCTAATCTACTCCCAGGCAAGTCGGCACTGGTCGTTCAATATGTCGAAGGCCACTTCATTGAACCGTACTTTCCCACCATCGAGAGCATTGTCTTCAAGAATGTCACTTGGAACGGGGAGAACTACGAGTTTGAAATCATTGACACCGCTGGTCAAGATGAATACAGCATGCTGTCTTCTCGCCATGCCATCGGTATTCACGGCTTCATCCTTGTTTATTCGGTCGCCAGTCGCCCAAGCTTCGATATGATTCGAGCAGTCCATGATAAGATCCTCAACTATCATGGTGTTAGTCAAGTGCCTTGCGTCATTGTAGGGCAAAAATCGGATCTTCCAGAAAAGAAGTAAGCCTGTCTTGTGCTCGATTCCGAATTGCTGATAATTTCTGAAGGCTTGCTCCACGACAAGTAACACCGCAAGAGGGCCAGACGCTTGCGAAAGAATTGCACGCTGCTTGGATCGAAACGTCTGCTTCATCGAATATTAACGTCTGTCCGTGCTATTTCTTGTCATCACCCGAGGTCAAACACTCAATCTTCAATGTACACAGCCAAAGTCTTCGATCTTCTTCTACAGGAGGTGGAACAACAGTACGGCGCCAAACCAGAGAAAGCAACAGCGCCGGAGAATAAGTGTGTGGTTATGTGATATGCTCACGGACTTTCTTGTATTCCAAAAACTTTCCGTAACTGTAGATGACGGAGTGTGGCTGCAACGCGTATGCCCCGTTTACATTAGTTTATGTAGTAATATACCCATGACCGGCAGAAATGTCAAGTTTTTTCCTCGTTTTATCATGAAGGAGACCATGTATCAGACCGTGCCTGACACGATGGCCATGGCCTAATGTTTGCCTGTACGTTGAATTACTGCACAGCATCCACAAGCTTGACATCACAAGCGCACCCACTGCAGTACCCGGGTACATGACTGCTGCTATGTTCCGATTCCCCCGACCGGAGGGAGGAAGAAAAGCGGCATCCCCCACTGGCACGTTGCTGCAGAGGACGGCCCAAATGCACTGCGGCATTGTATGGCTCTACAAACCAGGATCATGCACCCGAGAGAGGAGAGAGCAGGAGCTGCCGCACAGAGGGCCAAGGCAGTCAATGAGCTGATGACCAGACAACTTCTTGAGATCAACTTGACAATAGTCAGGTCTATATGGAGGTGACAGGATGCATAGGAAGCAATGTGCAGAGCCATGTACATGCAGCCTGAATATCTTACCAGCATCAGAAAGATTCCCAAAAAATCTGAAAAGTTCCAAAACTTTTCAAAACTTCTTACCCTTGTCCAAATATAGTAAGATTCTATGAAACTCCCATGCTTCAGTTGCACTCCGGAGATCAGGTACATTCCATTATCCTGGCAAGGTAAATTGCCTTATGCAGAATAATCTATATTGCTGGCTAAGGATGACAATTTCCCAGATGTTCTGAGAAGTGTCCACACAATATCACACATTGCAAGAGATGGGTTGTTTTGGTGCAGTTCTGTGGTTTATCTGGCAATTTACTCATTTTCCCAGGATTTTGTGTGCCATTTTTGACCTGACTCAGGACAACCATATGTTGTTTTCCCCAGTTTTTCCTCTTCTTTCCCAGTCAAGTTTGAGTACCCATCTAAATGTCTATGATGATATACCATCATTTCATGGATTTTTTGGAGTGTATACCAATGAATACTGAGGCAATCTTTTTTTCTTTATCATGTGAGTGAAGTAACAATCCATGTATCCTCCTCAACATATGCCGTCCAACTACCATCCCATACAATCGAACATCAAACTATGAGCATTTCATCAATGTGCACCTACCATTATGTCCAGCAAATGAAAGCCTACTGTTGTCAGAATACGTTTCTAGGGAGAAAGATCACCATTAAGCATCACAAGCAGAAATGAGATAAGGCGACGTCAGTATAACCACAGATCATATTTTATGTCTATGTTCATGGTGTGATCGATATCAAACTTGTGGCAGCTGGAAGGAGGGACAACACCATGAAAATCCCCTACATTCTGGTTCTGCCTCCCACTAAGTTGTATGCATTTATTGCATACAACTTGTTTTGGTAGTGGTCAGGCGGTCATTCATTGGAGGTATGTTTAAGATCTTCACTCTGTATGTATGGTGCAATATTGTCTATTTGACTCCTCCTGATTGGAAAAAATTCTCACACTTTGAGCAAATCCAACAGATGTCTGGTTCCTAAGCTATCAGGATTGGGCAAGAATTTGTCCTTGACTTGTGTTTGACTTCTCATTGTTTATTACCTTCCTCTTTGTATATGTTCGTTGAGCCACATGCTGTTGACCTGCCTTCTTCAGCATGTCAGTACTGCAATGGGATGAAGCAGGCAGTGCACAATGGTTGCTATATTGTATATGTTCATTGAGCCACATGCTGTTGACCTGCCTCCTTCAGCCTGTTTGTGCTGCAATGGGTCATGAACCAGGCCTGCAGTGCACAATGCTTGCTATATCTCGCCATAGTTGTCAATTTCTGAGAAATAATTATTTGTTAGTCAGATTATGTAATTACTGGGTCACGTGACTTTTTTCGAATCATGTGACCGCGACCAAGGTCACGTGATGTTTTTCGGTGGCTATACACAAAGTTCGACGCGTCGCTTAATATGATAGGCAGAACAGTAATCTGTGTCTGCCTCGTCATGCTATCATCATAACCACACAGTACTAGGAGCAGCCAGGCGCAGAACAGGGAGATATATGCAGCAGTCTGCTCCTCCCGAAGTTGTCCTTTGTTTCAGTATGAGCAGCACGCCCTGATGCCATCTGCACAATCAGCGTTCTCACCCAGATCTTTACACTACTCTGTCCTCTAGGCATACTTAGAACGCTTCTGCACCAGTGAACGCCTTTGGACATTTTCCCCCCAAGATGGGCGACAGCCCGGGCTAGGATTTCTGTTGGTTGGTATTAGTTGGCACCGATTACCCGCTGTTGAAACGCGTTGAAGCCGGAGGGAAGAGATAGCACTGACCGGTTCATTGTGTATACTGGCGCGTGGACAACATCATCAAACGAACGGTCGCACGCATGATCATGAATGCCTGGGGCTGTCCTTCAACGCGGTTCGTGCCGACAGATGGGCCAAGCCAATGCTATGCAGCGATACCACATGCCCACGAGCTCCAGTCCGATTAGATGGCCTATGTGGTCAGCGTAGGGACGTCGCGCTGTGGAATATCCGTCACTCTTCGCTTCCTACACTGTAACCATCGTCTACGAGCAGCTTCCCATTATTCGAGGCCCTACACTACCATTCCTGGAGAGGCAAACTGGAGCTCACAACTACCTGCGGTTCGCAGCAAGAAGCCAGGCATGCATGAGGCACAAGGTCAGAGAACGTGTCGCATTGTATGCACGACCGAACACATCAACTATTCTAGCCGTGGATCTGAAGAACACGCATGATACTTATCATCCTACGATCGGAAGCATTTGATATGTCCTTGACCTCACCGACCCACTAATCTTCTGTTACACGAGCCATCCGAACGGAGAAAACGCTGCCGGAGATACCCTTCTTGGTGAGCGGTGACGTCTACGAGTCCGAGTGACCTGTTAGGTCCTCGTGGTGAGAGAGCCAGAAGTGCATATATGCCGTTACGACTCTTGTACGCTGTCAAGTGTCTCGAGGATGCGGTAGATCTGTTGGAGAAGGACAACCCGCCGTGTCGTGTTCGGTATCCTGTGGCTATAAATGGTTGCGGTTGTGTTTGTTAACAAACATGACAAGCTCTCGGCCCTGATCCCCACATCAACCGGCAAGTCCGATCCGGACAACTTCACTCCTTCCAGAATGCGATCGTTTGTTTATCTTTCACTCCTCGCCATCGGTGGTAGTCGTTCTACGCGGGCACTCACAATCGGTAGGCGTGCTCTTTGCCCCTCTGTAACGTGAGCACAGCCTGCTTTCCGTACCCTGTTCCCGGGAGCTCACACCAGGTAGAGGTACTAACATTGGCTTTGCACCAATTCCCGCCCTTGCTCCTGCGACGGTCGCTTCACAGACATTTCTTTCTACTGATCCCGATGGCGACTGCGAATCTGTTTGCGCAACTGCGGGGTACACGTATTCGGCTGCCGCCGACGGTGGTCTGTTCTGCATCTGCAGCGACAACTTCAATAATTCCGAATTAGTTTCGACGGACGATTCCTCATCTGTGCCAGCTGGCTTTGTGAGAATATTCAAGTGAGTGAAGATTGTTTTGGTGATGTTTGTCTTCATCCCCACTCCCCCCAACAGCTTGAATTCCCTTAGTGGAGGCGCACGAGTCCCTGATGAAGGAACACCTGTGTCACCGCACCCGAATGGGGGTGGGTTTCTAGGAGCGTCAGGAAGCGGGGGAGAAACAGGAGGGCTTGCGGGAAGTGATGATACTGGGGGCACCAGTGGTACAGGTGGAACTGGGGGCAATGGTGGCGAGGGCGGTACAGGAGGCACTGGAGGCACAGGGAGCATAGGAGGTACAGGTGGTTCTGGCCCGTCACCGCCCGGCCCGCCCTTAACCACGACTTCGACTACCACGGCGATCGCCGCAGCATCATCATCTCTTGGCCCCATTACGCCCACGAACAGGGTTGTCACATTTGTGGAGCTGGGGTGTTATGTGGAGCCACAACCTGGAGATCCCAGTGTTCGGGGTCTCACCGGTTCGTTCAGTGGACTTGTCCCTGATCTTACTATTGACGGCTGCTTGTCGTACTGCGATTCTCTGGGCTTTGTGTTGGCTGGGGTGGAGGATGGCAACGAGTGCTACTGTGGCAACACAGTTGAAAACGGTGCTTCGCCCATCGATGAGAGTGAGTGCGACACCCCATGCGTCGGAGATGATGCCGAAGTATGTGGCGGCAACTATCGCTTCAATCTCTTCGCGAAGTAAGTTCACAACTTGTCGTCGGACGCCTGGTCTGAAGATTGTACAGTCTAGTGGGAGTTGCATCGGGAGGACTTCTCGTTCCGACCACTGCGCCCGGCAATCCTGGTGTAACCACCACCGTCGTCCCTACAAATCCTCCGAGCATACCCGTCTCCACGACCGCCACCACATCTTCCGCAAGCATAACCAGCTTCTCTGCAACGAGTACTATCCTTACAACTGCCGGAACAACCACTGCTGCCCCTACTGCTCTCGCTTCTGGGGTCATTCCCATTGTGACCGATAGCTTATCGGTGTCCGATGGGGTGACGGTCACCGTACCGGTAACTGTTTCTCAGCCGACGGGGACCTCGACAAGCATACAGACGGCTCCAGCCCCCGCTTACACTTATGCTGGATGCTTCTCTGAGCCAATCGACCCGGTCACGCACACAGTCATTCACAGCGTGGCCAACCTCACCGCGATTGAAGCTGACTTGACGGTCGAACTCTGCGTGAACGTCTGCGCCGGTCTCGATTACCCGTATGCTGCGGTCGAGGCAGGCGATGAGTGTTACTGCTCGGACGGCCTTTACTATGGGGCAGTGCCGGCAAGCGCATCCGCTTGTACTACTGCATGCATCGGAAATGCGGAGGAGACCTGCGGTGGCACCAATCACTTCTCCCTATATGCCGAGTAAGTTGTTGCCGCCTCACTTTATCACGTCTTCCTGAGTTGACGATGTTCTGTAGCCCGGACATCACCTTGGCGCTGGGGGCTGGTAACGGGTTGCCACCTGGTACTCCAGGACGACGATCATGGTCACACCAGCCTTGGTCAAGATTCGGAAGGCGACCGCAGGAGAAACCGAGTCACGTTTATTAACCCACTCTTCACTTGTTATTGGTCCTTGTAGATTCAATGTCTATATGTTTGATCTCTGCGGTTTTCAGGTGCCGCCATCCAACGTTTAGATGGGGCAACAAGATGTGTTAATATGGAGGAGTGGAGTGAATGGAGTAAACGGGTAACCTCGAGGAGATTGACCCGCCTGGTGGTGAGAACCAATCGGATGGGATGGCAAGAACCGCCCGGGACTTCGTCGTCCTTCAGGGTTGTGGACCATTACTCCGAGTGCACCGCGTCACATTGCCCATCTTTACCGAGATCTATCCTTTAAGATGCTCCCAATCATTGTCCTCTATATATACTTGCCTCTCAACAAGCACGGTGCATGACCTGGCAAGTGCACTCTTGTCCCGTTTACACCTTGCCATATCCTCTCTCCAACTCGCTACTCATCATCACGCGTCCATGGCTCTCAAGATTCCCGTCGAAAAGGGCTGGCAGTATGCCCAACTTACGCCTTCCCACACCGAATGGGCCACCTGTCAATCCTTCCCCACTTCAGTCCATGTCGAGCTGCTCAAAGCGGGGAAAATTCCTGATCCCTACATCGGGTTACACGAGTGGGACGTTCAGTGTGAGCCAGCCATAGTTTTGGGGGTTGATTGACGTCCTGAACCCCGCGTCCAAGGGATCGGAGAGTCGGACTGGGCATTTAAAACGGCTCTCGACTTAACGAGCGAACAGTTGCGTGAGCCTCATGCCGATCTGGTCTTCGAGGGATTGGATACGTTCGCGACCGTGTTTATCAATGGCCAGGCGGTGCTCGAGACGCAGAACATGTTCATGACGTATCGTGTCGGCGTGAAGAAGGCTCTGAAGCCTGGCGTCAACGAGATCTATATTCGATTTGCTAGTGCCTTCAGGAAAGGAAGGGCATTGGAAGAGGGGCATGGCAAGATGAAGCTCTGGAATGGCGATTCCAGCCGGCTCCACATCCGCAAGGCTCAGTACAACTATGGGTGGGATTGGGGCCCCGTCCTCATGACCGTCGGGCCTTGGCGACCCATCATTCTAGAAACGTATACGTCGCACATTTCCGACCTCCGTGTGAGCTCTCTTGTCGACCGTGACCTCACTACCACTGTTACCACAACATTCGACATTGATGGGGTTTCCTCGCCAGGAGCTACGGCTCAAATTGTTCTGAAAGCACCCTCAGGTAAGGTGGTAAAGACCGAGGCAATCAAAGTCGAGGGTGGGAGAGGAAAGGTGATTTGGAAGTTTGCTAAGGGTGACCTCAAGCTCTGGTATCCCATCGGCTATGGGAAGCAGCCCTTGTACATCGTGGACGTGCAACTTGCTGACTCTCAAGGAGCGGCTCTGAATGCAGCTAGCCAGAAGGTCGGTATAAGGCGTGTGGAAGTGGTGCAGCGACCTCTGCAGGACGATGAAGGAATGACTTTCTTTTTCGAGGTTAACAATATCCCGATCTTTTGCGGTGGTTCTAACTGGATTCCTGCGGACAACTTCCTCACCGACATTACACCCCAGCGATATCGTGACTGGTTGCAGCTGATGGTGGAAGGAAACCAAAACATGGTTCGGGTTTGGGGTGGTGGGATCTACGAGCCAGACGTCTTCTACGACATCTGTGACGAACTTGGTATTCTAGTCTGGCAAGATTTCATGTTTGGCTGCGGTCAGTACCCTGCATATCAATCCCTGATCGACAACGTCAAGCTTGAACTGGAATGCAACGTGAAGCGCCTCAGACATCACCCATCTCTCGTTATTTTCGGTGAGTGCTCTTTGGAACCTGCTCTTGAGGTGCTTACATCTTGCACAGCGGGGAACAATGAGGACTACCAGCTTGCCGAAGCTTACAAGCTCGATCTTGACTATGCGGACAACAGTGGCAAGAAGGACTTCACGAAGACCGACTTTCCAGCAAGAGAGTTCTACGAAAAGATCATGCCAGAGATTGTTGGACGTCTCAGTGATACGCATTACCACCGCTCCAGTCCCTACAGTGGATTTGGCAAAGATACAAGGGACCAGAAGCATGGCGACTTGCATCAGTGGAACGTTTGGCATGGCTCACAGGAACCTTGGCACAATTGGGACATACTGGCCGGCCGATTCGTCTCGGAATTTGGGATGCAGGGTTATCCAGATATACGAACCGTTGACTACTGGCTAGGCGGGGATGCTGCTGAGCGCTTCCCTCAATCTCGCACCTCCAACAACCATAACAAAGCTGACGGCTTTGAGCGGAGACTTGAAGTTCGTCTTATTACTCCCATGAATTGATTCAAGATACTTACCCCAAGATGTAGCTGTATCTCATGGAAAACTTCAAGCACGCATTCGACATGGAAAGCTATGTGTATTATACCCAGGTTATGCAGGCGGAGACCCTCGCTGCGGCATATCGCTTGTGGCGACGCAACTGGAGAGGACCAGGGAAGGAGCATACGGCGGGAGCGTTGGTCTGGCAGGTCGGCGACCTGGATGCTATCTTTGTACTCGCTCTGACTTCATCATAGATCAACGACTGCTGGCCGTGCACTTCGTGGGCCATTGTGGACTACTTCCTACGGCCGAAACCCGCGTTCTACTCTATCGCGCGTGAGATGAGGCCATACACAGTTGGCATGACGCGAAAGGAGCACAAGACGTACCAGGATCCACTCAGTGCTGATCAGTTTATCATCAACACGGAGCTGCAAGTCTGGGGTTGCAACTCCACTTTGGTGCCGAAGAAAGTCAAACTCCTTGTCGAAGCGTTCGATTTGAACTCAGACTTTACGCATTCTTCCTCCCAGGAAGTTGTACTGGCACCGAACTCCAGTACAGAACTCTACAAGGGCGAAGTTCCAGGCCAACCAGTACGTACCAAGTTGAGCGAAGTTCCTAGAACCATCGTCATTTCGGCACGGATATTGGAACCAGACGGCACCGTTGTGGCTCGCTACGCTAACTGGCCCGAGCCATTCAAGTACATCCATTATCCAACCTTTAGCGAAGTTGGGTTGAACATCAAGACGGTCGGGGATGGTGAAACGCTGGAGATAAGTGTAAAAAAGCCGATCAAGGGTTTGATATTGGATGTTGTTGGTGAGGAAGTAAAGTGGTCTGACCAGGCTTTGGACCTTATTCCCGGCGACGTTCAGACTGTGAAGGCGGTAGGGCTAGCCGGGCGCAGCGTCAAAGCCCGCTTCCTTGGGGACGGCACCGCCTGAACCAGAGTCGTGTACAAGTGCAAAGCGAATCAATGAAATGCCGTCATATTTTTTAATAAGTTTGGGGTCTGTATCCGGCTGCAACATACAAGAGCTCGTTTGCCTTGCAAAACTTTCGGATTATGTGTCGTCAATTCGAGACTTGGTCGAGGCGAGGCTGCACATGGAATTGTGCTTCATTCTATTTAGCGACAGATTCAAGCTGCACTAATACAAGGGTGATTCAGGCAGATTCAAACACAAAAAAGATATGGGTGTTTGCCTTAAGCGGCGGAAGATGATGCGCCAAGGGACAGGCCCCCAACGTCCGGCAGCTGCTCAGTCGATTCGATCAATCTCGTGATCTGCCATTGCGTCAATCAGCATCACGACACGATGGTTTACTACATACCTTTCCGATGGCAATAGTCTTCCCCTCATCTCGCAGGGTGAAGCGGCCTAGTTGAGCATAGTGATCGAATCGCTCTACACACACAGGTGCTGTAGTTTCAACCAATGCAATGATCCGTTGTCCCTTCTTTGCAAATTGAGGTGGCTTCTTCGACTTACGTCCAGTCTTCTTGTCGAAATAGTGCAACAAAGCCTGTGTGGGAAGTGATGAGAACGATAAAAAATCGATCCATGTAGCAACGTACAGCAAGCGTTACTTCTTCCGTCAGAGTATGCACATGCATGACAGCGCTGTAGCCAGCACAAATGATGTTCTTATGATCAAGGATAGCAAGTTGTGCCTCAAATTGGGTGACTGCGTGGACGGGTTTGCTTGGAGAGGTCAATACGAAGCCAGGGCTGATATCTTCGTCGTCGACTCCGCGCAGGCGAATTCGCACGTTGTCGCCGCTGATAGCCTTATCCACCTCTTCCTCTGTCTCGTCCATGATAGCGGAAACCTCCACTGGTGTCTGCAACACGCTGTCAGTATTGGGTGCACGAATTGAGGCCAATGCACCTTATTTGGCATAAGAAGAAGGGAGTCGCCCTTCCTCATACGACCAGACTCGATTTTTCCGACAACAATAGGTCCCATAGAATTGTATTTTTCAGAAATCGGCATCATGACAGGTCCGTTGACTTTGCGGTCTGGCATAGGCATAGTATCCAGCAATTCCAACAGGGACGGGCCGCTGCCAAAATCGTCAAAACCGTTCCAGGTCAGGCAAGATATAGTGTAACTCACTCCCACCAAGAGGCTATCTTCTTGTCAAGGCGCTCCTTGATGTTCTGACCAGTGTATCCAGACACTGGAATAAAGGTTGTATCGGTCTTTGGGTTGAATCCAGCAGACCGGATGAAAGGAATAAGCTTGGTCTGAATTTCATCGTATCTGCAACGTCATGGATGATGAGTGGATGCGATGTAAACTAGATGTTGCGTCTCATACCGCTCCTTGCTCCATTCCACAGTGGGCTCGTCCATCTTGTTGATGACTACGATGACCCTGTTCACCCCAGCAGTCTTGACAAGCATGACATGCTCTCTCGTCTGACCTCCACGCTCGAATCCAGTCTCGAATTCACCTCTTCGAGCGGAGATAACAAGAAGCGCAACATCCGCCTGAGCAGCACCAGAGATCATGCTAGGCACGAAGGTTTTGTGCCCAGGAGCATCCAGAATTGTGTATCGGCGAGCGTTGGTCTCGAAGTAAGCACGGCCGACTTCAACAGTCTTTCCCTACAATGACGAGAATTTTAATAATGTATTACCAAGGGGATTCATACTGACTTTGGCACGTTCTTGAGGGGTAGAGTCGAGGGCCCATGATAGATACCAAGTGTCCCGCCCGGCTTCCTTTGCCTCTCGCTCGTACTTCTCTAACGTACGTTTATCGACCATGCCAGAGAGATACAAAATCTGACCGCCCATGGTAGACTTTCCCGCATCGACGTGCCCGATGAAGACAATGTTGAGATGTTCTTTGCCTTATTGTTTGTCAGTCACGCAGGGAATCTGTTCTGCTGTCTTGCCTCACCGTCATCCACTACCTCCGTTTCCTTCTTACCGTATAAGTCGCGGAGAGTTTCTTCATCAGCGAGCTCATTGTGCTCCTTTTCGATTGCGTCCGCATTTGTCTTGGCTCGATCCAGGGAGAAGTCGAAATCTTTGGACTTGGCCTTCGAAGCAGATGCAGCAACAGCAGCTAGTGCAGGAGTGTCCGACCGTGACTGTGAGGCTGAAGCTACTGGAGTGGGCTTTCCCCCAGGAACAGCTGTGGGCTCCGCAGGGGTCCCGCAGGAAGCAGGGGGGCGGGCAGTAGCAGCCGCCTTCTGGGTGGGTGCTAGATTTTCCAGCTGCGATGCTGGTGCAGACGGTTTCACTGCAGTTGTAGATGATCCACCAATGTTAAGCTTGATGGTCGGGGGTGGCTTCGGCGGGTCGTCCGAGGTGGATCTCTCTACGGGTGCCGCAGGCTTCTTGCCAATGCTCAAGCTGATGGTCTTTGGTGGAAGCGGATTTTCAACTACCGCGGAACGCTCTTGAGGTGGAGCAGCCTGAACGGGCTCTACTGGGGCGTATCTCTGTTGTTGAGGGGCGTACGGGGCCTGGTACTGGCCAGGATAATACTGCTGTTGGTATTGGTTGTAGTACGACTCGTACTGAGGTTGATACCCTTGGTACTGTTGATAGGGCGCTTGCTGCTGATAGAATTGGCCGTGCTGCTGAGAAAATCCATTCTGTTGATTATTGGGCTGCTGTTGTCCTTGTTGTCCCCCTTGCTGCTGCGGCGGCTGCTGCTGTGGACGACCAAATTGGCCCGGAACGAAAGAATTCGCCCCAGGGTTGAGATAATTGCGGGACATTCTTCGAGCTTTCACAGGAAAACTAGATGGTACACGAGGATGAACACCAGATGATCTGTTGTCAGATGGACGTTAAAGAGGAAGAGCAATGCGTGACAGAGAACAGACTCACCAGTTTTCAGCAGGACGTCGAGCACGCGGACAAGGGCGATGCTTGCCTCCGTACTGTCATCATTGGTCGGGATCATTCCACACCACCGTCGTCGTTGCCCCGCATAGAACAACAGCTTGGAACCCTCGGCGGCCCTGTAGCTTGAACTTCGATCATGTCTCCTCTTGCCTTGGGAGTCATAAAGGCACTCTATGACTATGAAGCACAGTCCGACGATGAGCTGACCGTAAAGGAGGACGACATCCTCTACCTCCTCGATAATTCAGATTCAGAGTGCGTGCTACATCCCTATATGCAGGGGTCTTATCTGAAACAGAGCGCCTCAGGTGGTGGAAAGTGCGGCACAAAACCGATTCTTCAGATGACGAGGGGCCCTCCGGGGTTGTGCCTGCTACTTATGTCGAGGAAGTACGTCTCGTATCCCTGTACAGTCACCACAAGGTTGCTAACCGCGGCGTAGGTACAGCCTGTTGGCATTGTGAAAGCCTTGTATGACTATGAAGCCAACGCCAACGGGGAGCTCAGCATCAAGGAGGGAGACGTGCTGATCATGTATGAAAAGGAGGACGATTGGATCCTTGTGAAGGGCGACCAGAGAGATTCAAAGGTTGGTTTCGTTCCCGCCACCTACGTGGAGGACCACAATCCAGACGAAGCGCCGTCAACCGAGCCTGCAAGTAGCCTCCTCCTTTCAATATGTACATCATTGAACGGGCCCATTCTAGACGCCTGCTCCAGAGATGCCAGCGAGCAACTATGTCGATCCTCAGGAGCGTGTTCTCGCTTCTGTAGCCAAAGCGTCTCCCTCGGACAACATCGAGACGTGGCCTGTTACTGTATGTGGTCTTACCTGTCAACTAGTCTCTGCCGTAACTGATACCTTGTAGGAAATCGATTCGAAGGGAAAGAAGAAGAAAGGTACCTTGGGCATTGGCAAAGGCAACGTGTTCTTTGCCAGTGAATCGGACAAGGTGTGCCATTGAGCTCTCTCAGACCCGCTTAGATTGACCGCGCTTGCAGACCCCAGTACAGCAGTGGAAAGCTGGCGACATCACTTCCGTCATTGAAGACAAACCAAAACATGTCATGTTGATCATTGGAGGCGTGAATGCTGCTGAACTCCACTTCAACGCTGGGTCCAAAGAGATCGCCCAGGCGATCGTTACCAAAGCGGCGACCAGCGGTGGCGCTCTGCAGTCTGGATCATCGAACATCCATCCTCCGAAACCTGAAGATGAAGCGGAACCGTTCGAGGACTACGCTGTGGAGGAGGGCAAGCCGAAGAAGAATGGGGTGCATTGGGCTCCTTCGCCAACGTCTCCAGTTGGTGTATCCTTCCCAACACCTGATCCTACTGAAGGAGAGTCTGCCATTGCGACGTATGACTTCGAGGCCCAGAGCGAGGACGAGCTTACTGTCCGAGAAGGCGACGCTTTAGTGGTTGTTGACCGAGTCAGCAGTGAGGACTGGTGGAAATGTCGTAACGACAGGGGGCAAGAGGGTGTCGTTCCTAGGAGCTATGTTGAGGTGAGCAAAATACAAATTGCTATAAAGCGTGACTTATACATCACAAGCTCGAGGCCAGAGAAGGCGCGGCACGCGCGGCTGCTGAGGCTGAAGAGGCTGAAGAAAGAGCAAGGCAGGAAGAAGCAGCCCAAGCACAAGCTGAGGCTGAATCTGAGGCTGAGGCTGCTGCTGCCGTCGCTCGTGCTGCCCGTGAGCGCGAACTCGCAGACGAACAGCGTCGTCAAGCGGCTGCTCTAAAACGACGTGAAGACGAGAAAAAGTTAATTGAACAGCGCCGGATCAAGGAAGAAGACAGGGCTCGCAGAAAGGCGGAAGAAGCCCGAGTCATCAAGGCCGCAGAGGCGAGGTACGAACAACTTGCGTTTCTCATATGTGGTGTTCACGGCTTTATCAGGCGGGCCGAAGAAGCCTCCCGGGCACAGACTTCTACCCGACGCCGAGATGATGGTCGCCCCCGGTCAAAATCTGGACAGAGCGAGAGATCCAGTATGTACAAATATATTATCCCGTACACAATTTCTGATGATTGAATGATGCAGAACCCACAAACACCCGTATCTGGCACGACAGAACAGGACAATTCAAGGTCGAGGCTGAGTTCTTGGGTCACAATAACGGGAAGATCAAGCTGCACAAGATCAATGGCGTCATTATCGAAGTTCCTGCTGAAAAAATGTCAGAAGAGGATATGGCATATATCAGTGACATCATGAACCCAAGAAGGAAGGTGTCGATTCGAGCTGATTCTGACGACAACATTCCTTTAGCTACCATCGCGGATCAAAGAAAACAGCCAGAGCCGAAAGACAGACGAGCATCTATTGCCAAGCAGGGGAGCATGTCGAAGAAGCCTACTGTCGACTGGTTCGAGTTTTTCCTGAACGCAGGCTGCGACATCGATGATTGCACAAGGTACGCCAACGCTTTCGAACGGGATAAGATCGATCAGTCTATTCTGGGTGACATCAAACCGGAGACCATGCGAGCCCTTGGTCTGAGGGAAGGCGACATCATTCGTGTCGCAAAAGCTATTGAAGAACATAGATTCTCTCCCAAACCCCCAACTGCGACCAAAGATACAGCTGGTGCTGAAGATCAGATGCGCCGCGACGAGGAGTATGCCCGTCAGTTGCAGGCAGAAATTAATGGCAACCGTCGCTCCAGCCCATCTGCCACTTCACCGCCAAACCTATTCACCGGCCCGGGCGGTGCACTCAAGACCAGCCAGCGTCGGGGGAGGCCCCAAACGAAGACTTCTGCACCCTTAGCAGTGGATGTATCTTCCATTGCGTCTGCCAGCGACCGCCTCACACAAAGCCCCGCTGCTGCAAGTCCCTCCCTCATACCTTCAGCCTCTCCTCCTGCCCCCGCTCCCGCACCGAAAGCAGCACGACCGCTTACCCCTGCGCAGAGTGGTTTCGATGATAACGCATGGGAGCCTAGACCTCTAACAAAGCCGGCGCCCGAGGCGCCAGCGGCTCCTATGATTGCGCTCAGTCTACCGCCTCAAGTACCCGTGCCTCCGACACCTCCAGCCTCAGCTCCCTCTGCTCCTCCGCCACCTCCCCCTGCTCCGACGGTGACCCAGACGTTGGCAGGAGGGCAAATTGCAAGACCGCAGACGTCTAGTGCGGCACTCACGCCAACACAGACAGGAGAATTTGAGCTGCTCGCAAAGCTGAGCCAAATGAGACCTCCATCGGCCCCTGTAAGTCAGATGACACCGATACCTTTCACTGGCACTCCGCCTTATCAAGCTGGTCTCGGCATGGGCGCATCCCCGATTCCTCTCGCACAACTTCAAGCGCAGCAAACTGGGATGTATTTCCAGAACAATGGCCCTCGTGGTCCCTTGGTTCCTGTACCGGCAAATCAAGGGCTTCTTAATCCACTAGTTCCTACTAACACTGGGTTCGCGGGCTTTATACCCACACGACCTACTTCAACCCCCATCATGCAACCGCCTGCCCTGATGTCACAGCCCACTGGATTTCCCTCAATGGCTGGCGGCATTCGGCCGCAGCCAACGGGATTTCCAACTTTCACCGCAGGGACCTTACCGATTACTGGCCTACAACCACGTAGGAGTCCTTGCGTTGCGTTGGGCACACAATCTGACCGCCTTTTCAGAGCCAACTGGTTTCAGCCCAGTATTTGCGCAGGTTCCTCAGCAACAGTTCACAACATCTGTAACGCCAAATCAATTTATTCCAGCACCCGCCCCTTTACCTCCCTCCCAGCCTGCTGCCAATCATTCGCCTGCTAGCGTCTTTGCATCAATGAAGTCAGGTTCATTCGCCGCCGGAGCATCCGACGCACAGCCCGCAGGTGCGCTGATCCGTATCGTCACTGACATGACATGTCTCTGATGCTTGGGCCAGACAAGTATGGTGCGCTGAGGTCGCCCAACGGTAAGCTGGTGAAGCTTCATGTGCTTCTGCATGAACTGATCGCAGAATGCAGGTGGTGTGGGACAGCCATATCAAGGGTTCCTCACGGCTCAGCCAACTGGCTTTGTGCCTAATAGCGGAACTTGGACAGTTCCCACTAACACATCTGGATACGGCCAACCTGGCTTTGCCGGTTACCAGCCTCGATGAGGCAGTGGATCGACTCTTTAGATAATTGGACCAATCGTACTTTTGTGTGTATATGGTGCAACGGTTGAATATCCCGCAGGAGGATGCCAATCACTGCAATGCGATTCATTGAGATAGATCAAGGCTTTCTTGTAAGCTCCGGTCGAAGGCCGAGAGACCATTCAGTCCATTCAAAAAAAAACTGTGAAATTGGTGGTAACAGGGTGAGAAGACTGGCGCACGTTGGGAGTATCCAGGAAGATGTAAGAAGAAGAATTGTGCGATATACAACGACCCGTGTGCCACCACGTGATGATTTACATCCGACCACGTGCCTCCAACATCGACGCCCCCTACTCACTCGAGGGACGCGCCTAGGGCCCTCTCCCCCCTTGTTCCTCAACCACCATCTCTCCACGAAAACCTCCCCTGTGTTGTATCTTCGTTCATTCACGTTTACAAAACATTACGATGTCTGCCTCCTGCACACCATCTGCCACACCATCTCCCCACGTCGAGCCCCTTCACCACCCAGAGCAGGCCGCCCTCCAGCCACGCAAGGAGCCGTTTTCGAACGTCACCAACAAGCTGGATAGCCAGGCAGAGCAGGTCTCTCTCGGACAAAAGGCGCTACTTGCAAACAGGATGGCAAAGCACAAGTGCGCATGAATGATTCGTATTCTACATGACGGTATCTGACCTATGACCAGCAATCCTAAAATGATCTCCCCTACCGACAACTTCATGACTCCCGTATCGGCCAAGCTGTCACAGGTGAAGAAGAAGCACTTCGCCAAGTAAAGTACCCTCTCCTAATTGTCGACTGTGTTGCTCATTTCTGCCAAGGGGAAAGCCGACCGATCTGGCAAACAAGTTCAGCATGCTCGCACAGTCTCCGACGACCGCGTCCTCTCAAGGGGACGCGACACCCCAAATCACTGAAGAAGGAAGCGACAAGTCCGAGTTCGACTTTTAGAAACGACTGGACCCTTGGAACGATTATGCGCTACTCTCTCACACGCTCTGTCTGTCTCTCTTTATCTCTAAAGGTGTACGACCAAGATGTGCCATGCGGTCATGTCCTTGTGTACGTTGGTTCATGTACGAATACCACCCTAAATTCCCACGCATGGCATATCCTCCTCGCATCACACAATATGCATATAAAACTTTTTACGAAATGATATACGGGTTCGTTACCACAATATCCCTTGTGACTCTCTGTGTGATCCTGTTTCTTGCAAGTAGGGGTATGGCCTTCAACCTACCTGTTTTGAGCGCTGTATTCTAGCGCGTGAGTCAGGAAGATGTTATTCATATATCCTAGTCTCTCCCGACGTTGATAATGTCCCATCGGTGCTATTGGAGATTGACGAATGCCCCTCCATCCACCAATACAGACGCTCCCGTCACTGAGGATGTGATCAATATTTGGACTACTTTGAACCCCCTAACCGTGCTCACCATAGCTTGACATTGTTGAGAGCAAGAAAATTGTCGGTCCTGCCAGATCTTCCGGTCTACCCAGCCGACCCAGGGGGACGCGTCCTTCCATATGCTGCCTCTTCTCAGGACGTGACAGGTCTTCGGCATTGATTGGTGTCTCAATCGTGCCAGGTAGGACGGAGTTACCTGCATCATTATTCTCAACTTGCGTTATCTTGGAATAAGGAATGTGGAAATGAAACATACAACGGATGTGATACGGTGCGAGGGAGATAGCACAACTTTCCATGAGAGATTTCACACCAGCTTTTGTGGGAGTGTAATGTCTGGTGATCATCAACTCGTGCAAAATAGGGGTTGGGTTGGAAAGGCCCACGCTTGCTGCCCTCCTCCTACCAGGGCGGATATTGACGACACGGCCACAATTGACCCGCCTTGAGGAGTTTGTCCTTTCATCTGTTTGGCGCATGCTAGGCGCCTGCTTTCAACTACCTCGCAACATCAAGGCGCAGGGAACGCGCGTACCTTGGACAACGTAGAATGTACCATCGAGATTGACACTTCGTGTTAAATTCCAAACGTCGTGTGGAATATCAAGAAAGGAGTAGAATGGGCAGATTCCTGAATCTGATTGAGCATCCTAGCTAAGAATACTCCAAGGGCACGCACCGGCATTGGAGACAAGGCAATCTATTCGCCCGAACGTCTTCAGCGATTCTTCCACTATCTGGCATCTTCTTTCAATTGCAATACTTGAATAGGAGGTAATGAAGCAATCACCCTGGTGGAGGTGGTCGGATTGCTGATATCTCCGCCCACGACCACTGTCTTCCTCGTCGGATCGATGTTTCTGATCTCCTTAACTATCTCATCGACGTCTTTAGCTGTTTGCTCGTTTCCCAAATAGTGCAGGACTACGTGTGCGCCTTGGCGAGCACAACCAAGGGCGATCCCTTTGCCGATTCCTTGGGATGCACCAGTGATAACTACCACTTGGTCACGCAGCAGGCCAAAGGAGGTGGTATTAAAGTCCGGTCCAGGCATTGGTGGTCGATGTTCAAGTCGGGATGTTGGTCTTTGGGCATTGTCCCTGCCCTGAAATTGCTGAACGGAGCAAAGATGCACCGGCCAAGTTCACCGATGGAGGCGGTGCGTGGCGTCGGTATAATTTGATGAAGTTCGGTATAATTTGATCAGTTCGGTGCGATGGCAAAGTTGGCTCTTGGGGGGATACATAAGGCGAGGAGGGAGTACTTATACAGGTCGTTGGCGACAGAATGCATGTCACCAATGGATGGATGAACTCCTCTGAAGACTATGATAAACTGACATATAACTCGGATAAATTGACAATAACGCCGACTTCATACTGATTAGAGAACATTGCACTCGTGGAGGGCAAACACATAACGAACCTCGGATGTTAGACTGTAAATCCGACGTCAAGTGAATACGTGCTATTTGGAGCAAGAACTGAGTATGGCAAGAACAAACCAATGATCAAGGTGCTTCTGTCATTGCAAGTAAACTCCGGGCCGGGAGCACTTCTCCGCACCATGTGAACGCTCGTTCAATGGACTTGCGGGGTATTTCCCAGGGACCGCCGCTTCCCACCACCACATCTCATCACTAACCCCCCCGCGGTCGCTCGCCCTTGCTTTTATTATTCTCTGTCTATATCTATTATAAAGCATCGGTTTACAGCAGATATCCTCCACAATGCCCGCGGATAGGCGCAGGAAAAGCATGATACCAGATGATGGGGAGCATCGACCAATGAGCTCGACGTAAGCAGATTCTCGCTTCTTTCCCATCAATTTCATCTACTGACAGACGCCTATCTCGTCTCTTCAGCTGCCTAGCCTGCGTATGTTATCTATGCTTTTATAACCGCGCAGCAGTGTACTTACTCCTGTATCCAGCGACAACGCAAGGTCAAATGCGACTCGGGCAAACCGTTATGCGGGAATTGCATCCAAGCTGGCGCATCAGAATGCGTCTATAAGTGCGTCTTGCTTCATTCATTCCTCAGATTCCCCTCTGATGCACTTCTACAGAGAGCGACAAAAACCAGGACTCAAGCCTGGCATCGGCACAGCGCTCGTAGATCGCGTGGCGTGCGTTGTTACCTCGCCCTCTGATGGAGAGCTCATCCGTCCTTTCATGCAGAGCCCTCGAATCCGCCATGCTACACCAAGCAAGCCGAGTTGACAAAATTTATGGTCTTCTGGACCAAAAGCTAACCCCGCCTCCTTCAATCGCATCACCAGCACTTCCGTCCTCAACGCTGGACTCGCACGTCTCCCCACCCGCACCGTACCTCGCTGCAGTCACCCCCGTTCCATCTATGCCATCGCATCCGATGGACATCTCACACTCAGTTATGGAAATACCCCATGTGGAGCCAACACCGACTTATGCGCAAAATCATGTCACGCCGGGGATGGTGGATAACAGAATGAGCCATGAGTCTCCAGTATCGACATCTTCTTTCGTCGATAACGCGGACTTACCGCCGAATGATCTCGTAGCTCATCTGTATGTCAGTTTCCCGTCACCTCCGCCTGATTCCCTGATCTTGTTGTAGGATTGACCTGTATTTCAATCATGTTGCACCCTTCGCGCCGTTTCTCCTCCGTGACCATTCCTACGTGCACCAAGACACCGACATGAATGGTACTATTCCGCGCGGATGGCCAGTGACAGTGTACGCAATGGTTGCAGTCTCACTCCGCTTCTCTTTCGACCCGCGCTGGCAAATGCCCGGCTTCCTTACAAAAGAACAATACTACAAAGCCGCCAAACAGCGCGTGGTTATGCACGCGATCGAGAGCACCTCGTTCCAATCTCTTCAGGCACTTGCCATCATCGCTCTCGATACTATCGGGACAGGTGCGGGGCCAAGTGCTTGGGGCGTGCTGGCTCTTCTGACAAGGAGTGTGATGCATCTCGGGCTGCAGAGCGAAGAAGACCCCGGTGCGCAGAGCAGAGTTGCCCCGCTCAGTAGAGTGTCATTGTTGAAGAGCCCGAAGAATTTTAGGGAGGAAGAGGGCAGGAGGAGGCTTTTTTGGGTCATATACGTGCTCGGTGCGCAGACCAGACAGGGATTGAGGACCTTGTACTCAAGCAAGAAACAGATCGATGGGCCAGCGTTTCGACTGGGTGGGATTTTGCTCTAAGCGACCAACAAATATCGAGGAATCTTCCCTGTAGAGAGGATTTCTGGTTGAGTGATGTGCGAATTGTTCCCATTTGACCCAGACATGTAAACTAATCGGCAACAGAGCCGTGTCGTGACACGCGAGTTTCGGTCACCATTATTTGATGACGGTTTAATGCACCAAGAAGAGTTCCTTGATCCTCTAGCATATCTGGTTGAGATCGCGGATCTTCTTGGCCGAGTCCACCAGCTTCATCGGCATCCACTGAACCCGACGAGCGAAGTTGAAGTAACGCACTTTTACGAACGGACACGCACGCTGGATGCTGCAGTTCGACGATGGTACTGCCGGCTTCCTCCAGAAATATCCTCTCCCGCTCGGATTGATTCTCATCCCATGATCGTTCTCGTCCAAGCAATGTACCATGCCACCTTGATCAAGCTGCAGTCCATTGTGGCCCACCCACCGGACCTCTCGTCCTACATGCAGCCGAACGCGGAAGCAGGGCAACATATTGTCCAGTCAGCGAAGCAAGTGGCTCTGCTTGCAAGGGCGGTGACACAGACCGGGTTAAAGATACCACACACGAGCCCGTTCTTAGCTTGGTGCATGTGGGTTGCGGGAAGGGTGATCTTCAGTACGTGTTTTCTTTAGCATCGATCTGATATGCATGCTTAAGGGATCACAGTGGAGGCATACCACGGGGCTGAACCGGTAGATGGCGACATACATGAAATTGTGCAGGCTTTGGAAATGTCTGGAAGATATTGGGATGTTGCTCGTATGTGCTTGAAATTCCATGAGGGGCATTTGCTGAATTGCGCCCTGGCAGGGCGATATGCGTCACTGTTGAAAAAAGCCATCGACAAAATGCAAGATCATAACCCCTTCGGCGCCGTTGCGACTCAATCAAGAAGCCGAGCGACAGCAATCTCGGCTCTCCTTGATCTCCGGCGAACAGCGTTCGGTGCTGATCTTGCCGTCCCGACAAGTGGGACGCAGACACCGGCCAACCCTGTTTCTGTGCAACAACCAAACGACGATTATACCAAGATATTGGACGGCATGTTAGCGACATGGGCGGACCAGCAAAACGTGTTAGATTTGCAGTGGTTTGAGATGCCGAATGTCGTCATGTAGCTTTTACCCCTGCTCCTTGATTAACTCTTCTTTTCTTTTCCTTGGAGGACTGAAGTTTGTAGTGTCGCCTGTTCTGTTCAGGGACATGGTCATGTGTATGATCTAACGTTGGAAACGAAACCGTCACGAACTATTTATGAAACCATGTGAAGGTATCATCTAACTGAGCCGGGACCTGGGTAAGTCAAATAACACCCGGAAGGAGCCGGGACATTTTCTTCGGGGCAATCCTTCAGACTCGGCTCGTACAGCTGCCGACAAGCGAAAAGTCACCAACCGAGCTGAGTCGAGAAGGATAATCATAGGTTGATTATGATGACCCATGCGAACTTTGTTCGCCTACAGCCACCGGAAAGGTCTTTCGTCACGAGACAATGGTGACCTGCTTCGAGCAGTATCTCAAGCACTGCGGCGTGGGTTTCGCTTTGCGGTAGTGTATCCGCCTCAACAAAATCAAAGACCATTAATGGAACCACTGAAGTTGGGCTTGGCCAGAACGTTGTACCAGTCGATGTACAATTCATGGAAGTAGGAGTAGAGAATTCAATTGAACATTAGGATGTCGGAAGGTTAGTCCTGTACACAAATTTCAAAGAAACCCCCAGCCCTGCATTAGTATTGACGCTGACCAGGACGTTCGAAGCATCGAGACGATCGCGGAACTGGACCCTGGGACGATAGGAAATAGGGTGTGGTGTGCATGTGTTCTGGCCGAGGTGAATGAAGTGATTTGAGATCGGCAAACTGCCCCACACGAACGTAACCGGGGTAGCCCGGCGGTGAGGGTGGGTGAATGTCCGGGAAAGTATGTAATTTCTGACAAGGCGCTGATGGACCGTGTGGGCAAAGTGAGTCTTTAGGGTGCAATAACCGACTAGGTCGATCGCTGTATTCATTCCACTCTGACAGGAGGAGCACGCGACCTGGTCGAAGATATTTGACAGGAGGTGTGGTTGCACCGATGAAGCGATGAAGGGCACACAAGGCGTGTGTGTGGTGACATACAAAACACTACTTTGATCCCGAACGGATTCAAAGCTGTGTGAAAGGGACTAGAAATAGTAACCACGCGTGAAAATGGGTCCGTGGGAATGACGGCATTAACGGAACATAAACACTTGAAGCGGAAGAAGAAGCAAACGAAGCCTATTTCTTCTCTTATTGTCTCTCATACACTTTTATTACCAGATATAGTAATAACACACGAGGTAACTTTCGGCGGTCGGCTGTGCTGTCAGCGCACAGGAACATGCATCCCATGCGGAGAGCGTTTAAGGCACGTACTGTCCCCCTTAGAGCACCTCACTTCTTCTCCCTTCTTTCCTCCCCTCCATCTCCTTCCACTCCATCCTCCAATCCGCCGATTTCCGATTTCCCTACTGCCGTTTTCGATTCATCACGTCACCAATCCACTAATGCACACCGATAAAGCAGCAGCAGGCAACGCCGATAACGGTGTCGGCACTCAGCAAGCTTCCGGCTTTGCTCAGTGGTGGGCAGACCTAAAGCCAAAGAAGATACACGCAGGCAACGACATTGCTAGCAGTATCAGGGCACTGAAGAGCGTCACTTTGCTGCAATGGGCCTTGTTTTTCTCTGGGTATGTCACCTGCCGATGGAATATATGGGATGCTGTGCTCATCGACTTGCAGTTTCCTCGCTTGGACTATTGATGCGATCGATTTCTTCAGCGTGTCGCTCTCTGTGACCGCTTTGACGAAGCAGTTCAACAAGAGCACGAATGACATTACCACTTCGATCACGCTGACGTTGTTGTTCCGTTCTCTCGGTGCATTCATCTTCGGCATGCTTTCGGATCGTTACGGACGGAAGTGGCCTTTGATTGCGAACCTTCTTCTGTGCAGCATCTTCTCCCTTTGCACGGCCTTTGCTCTCAACTACGGGGCCTTCCTCGGTGTCCGTTGCCTATTCGGCATCGCCATGGGTGGCATCTGGGGTCTGTCCGCCGCGACTGCCCTAGAGAACCTGCCCGTGCAGGTCCGTGGGCTCGCTAGCGGTGTTCTCCAAGAGGGTTATGCGGTCGGATACCTTATCGCAGCTGTGATCAACCTCACGCTCGTGTCATATGACCCCTTCGGTTGGCGCTCGCTCTTCTGGGTGGCTGCAGGCATCTCGGCATTCGCGGCTGTTGTTCGGCTCTGCCTGCCTGAGTCAGAAGTCTTCCGCAGGGCTCAGGTCGAGAAGCTTGCTGCCGAGGCACGCGGGGAGGTCGTCCATAACAAGACACAGGTCTTCTTGCAAGAATCAGGTCGTATGATTAAGCAACACTGGGTGAGGTGCATCTACGCCGTCCTGCTCATGACTGGTGAGCGCTTGCACATGTCGTCACAACCAGCGAACTTATTGCCGTTTAGGTTTCAACTTCTTGTCGCACGGCTCGCAAGGTACTTATGGTAGCCTAATAACAGCTTCATCAGATGCTGATGAGAGCTGTAAGATCTATATCCCACCTACCTGCAACAGACGAAAGGATTCTCTCCTCACGATTCTAGTATTGCAACCATCATCGGAAACTGCGTAAGTGTTTTCGGAGCGCCGGCGTTGGTGCTGTGACTGACGAACTGATCAGGGTGCTGTTGCGTACGTATCAGGGTAAAGCGACATACGATGTTATAATGACCGTGCTACAGTGGCGGTATTTTTGCCGGTATCACCTCGCAGTACCTCGGCAGGCGTTTGACGATTGTGATCTTCACGCTTTCCATCGGAGGTGAGTTTCTCGGAAAATCCGGACCCTGACAGTCTAAACTGACGTAACTGCAGCTTTCATCCCTCTTTGGATCTTGCCCAGCACCTTCTCTCCCCTTGCGGCCGGTGCCTTCTGCGTCCAGTTTGGTGTCCAGGGCGCATGGGGTGTTATCCCTATTCATCTTTCCGAGATTTCCCCGCCGGCTTTCCGTGCTACTTTCCCCGGTGTCGCCTATCAATTGGGTAACGTGAGTATTTCGGTGTATCTTTGGGAATTGACGTCACGCTTACGATTTTCCATACAGATGGTCAGCAGTGCCAGCGCCCAGATCGAGGCCACGGGAGGCGAGCACCAGCGTACGATCGTCAACGGGCAAGATGCACCTGACTACGCCAAGGTGGGTGTTTGGTACTCATGTCGAGCCTATCTCTGCCTTCATTTCTCCGACGTGGTTCTTTCAAATGTTTTTGTGCCTGCTTGCGGGAGAAGGACAGCCCCTCGATACTCTCCCGCAGAGATCGCGATTTATTCCTTTCTGTTGCCGTGTCTAACAATAGCTAATGGAATTTTGTCCGTAGGTGCAAGGCATCTTCCTCGGCGTTGTGGCTGCTTTTGTCATTTTCATGACGCTCATTGGAGCAGAGAACCACAGTTCTGGTACGTCACTATTCTTTTGCATTCACGCGATCTCGAGGCTCGCGCCGGCAGCGCCGAGCTGCGGTTCTTGTGCTGCTATCTATAGATTACTGACGATTCATTGGGCTCGGCCCGACGATTTTTACAGAATTCGAGAAGCACAAGGTTGCATACGAAGTGGGCGCTGGCAGGGACGATGCCTTCGACGAGTCGCCTGGCACGACCACGCCCCAGGAAGAGACTAACGAGAAGGCCATTGAGCACCCTGTCCTCCGCGAGAATGTGTAAGACTATGCGATACGAGCCGAGCCGAGACGATTTGCGAGTTACGAATTCTGGAACGGATTGTCGAGATGTGCTTGCTCTCTTTACTCGCTATCTCGGACAGCCTGAGGGTGTTCGTTTGTGCGTTATAATGACCTGGGTGATGACTAATTGGTTAGCTGCTCGTTTCGTGGAACTTCGGGGCCGAAACTCGACGTAGTTGTGTTTTCTTCTAATATGGAGTTGGTTTCCAGTCCGACTGCAATGCACATGGATCCAATGATTCTGTAGCCCCTAAATCCTCCGACAAACTGTGATAAAGTGTAAATGGGCAGAAGTCAGAGCGAGACCGATGTTGGCGAGCGTCGGACACAGGCCAGAAAAGGCAAATCAATTCCGGACCAATAGGCGCAAACCACCTGGTGTACGCCGTGCCCAGCCGGACCTACCCCGCATTCTGCCAGTTCGGCAGACTCGCGGCTGGAAACCTTCGGCCGATTTGAACCAATCGGGGACTTTTCCTTGACTCCGGCGCGGAAACAGTGTGATATGAGCGTGAAGTCGGCAAGGGTTCGCTGTTCCGGGCCGATCTCCGGTGGTTATTCTGTCCAACCGGAAGCCGTTCCCCCGGGTAAACAAGGCACAAGGGTAAATCTCTTCCAAGATCGCAGGACAACTCCGATGCGAATTTCAATGGCATCCAAATGCAACAATTCTTATCAAAGTAAGAATGTAACAATACAGATGCTGTACTCCTCTTGTTACAACGGCAATTCGGCACTGAAGAATAAGATGGACCAAGAAGAAGCAAAACGAACATCACCTTCTCCGACAAAGTATCCATGCTTTGCTGGGCTCATATACAGGGGGGGATGAGAGGGGGGCGTGCATCCGAACCGCCCGTGACTCTGTCCCCCTCTCTAACGTCAGTCTGTCATTGTCGAACAGACTGTCCCTGGGAGCTAGTCACCAACCCTTCCTTCGACCAACACACCCAACGGTCCGCTCGAACCCGGCGCCCGTTCAAATACCCAAACAAGCCAACTTCTGACAGCACAATCCCTTTACCTACCCTGCACGTTTACACTCACGCTCTCCAACTCATTCATCCCGTGCTCTCAAGCCGTCACTGCCGTACTCCACTCCGCTTCCCGCCCCTGCTCTGCTTATCCTCCATCCCGACCGCTGACCTCCGGTCCTCCTTCGTGCCTCCAATTAGCACATCGAAGAGCCCTATATCTCCCCCTTCAGCTCACTGTATTTGCCGTTACCAAACCTCGGAGCAGCGATGCCACCTCAACAAGTTCTTCGCCCCGCCCGGAGAGCGCTGCATCGCCTAGGCACCTCTTCTCAAACGTCTTCAAGCGGTTCCCCTTACAATTCACCCACTCATGCCCATACCCGCGTTCGGAGCGGCCCTACCGCCCTCTCTTGGAGACGCTTTAACGCCAGACTTGCCTCTGATATCCTTGGCGGGCCAACAGCCACCCCACTTCGTGCCGGCGCTGCAGGCGTGGTGGTCGGTGGTCTTGCAGTCTCTTTTGCCTTGCTGGGGTATAATGGACTCAGATGGGAAGATACAGTGAATACCAAGACACGGTCGTTAGGGGAGACCTTGCGGTCGGAAGCACAGGCGGAACCCAAGGAGGAGCAGGAGAGCACGACAGGAGGAGGAAGGGTGATCTCCTTCGACGAGGTGCAGCGACATAACACGAGGGAGGACTGCTGGGTCGTCATCGAGGGACAGGTGTATGACGTGACACGCTTTTTGGAGGACCACCCTGGGGGCATTGCGAGTATTCTGAGGATGGCGGGCAGTGATGCGACGTGAGTCTTCTTTCCTCCTTGTGCTTAGACGTTTCCAATGACTGAGTTCGTGGGCTGGTACAGCGATATGTTCAAGCCTATTCACCCACCAGGTACGCTGGACCTTCTGGATCCAGTTATGCACCTAGGTCCCATCGACCTTGAGACACTTCCGAAGCTGGAGTTGTCCGAGCAGAAAAAGCTTGAGCTGGCGCGGATCGAGGCTGCTCGGAAGGCGCTTCCTCCACCCGATGCCGCCGTAAACCTCGCGGATATCGAGAAGCTCGCTAAGACGGTGTTGACCAAGACTGCATGGGCGTACTATCGGAGTGCGGGGGATGACGAGTATAGTGCGCGCCCCAATCAATGAGCTTCGCCAGGATGCTGATGTGACGTTCTAGCCTACAGAGAAAATATTGCTTCATTCGGACGCTTCTGGTTTCGACCTCGAGTGCTGAACAAAGTCTCCCAGATTTCGATGGAGACGACGCTCTTCGGAGGTATAGCCTCCAGCATACCCGTGTATGTCTCCCCGTCTGCAATGGCGCGCCTGGGTCATCCGGATGGAGAGATGGAGATTACACGCGCATGCGCGAAGGAGGGGGTCATACAAGGGGTCAGCGCGAACGCGAGTTGTAGTCTGGACGAGATCATGGGCGCTAAGGCGGAGGGGCAGGAGCTCATTTACCAGGTGCGTGCCCCGTCCATCCCTTGCAGCTCCGAAACTGAGTCGAGGGGATAGCTGTACATGAACCGCAGCCGCCAGAGATCTCGCGAAATTATTGAGGCAGTCGATAAGATGGGCTTTAAAGGCATTATGTTGACTGTAGATGCGCCGGTACCAGGCAAGCGAGAGAGGGACATTCGAGCGCAGGGGGAAGACTTTCAAGGGCCGTCCGAAGGGAAAGCAGAGGGCAAGGGAGTCGCACAGTCCATTTCGGGGTATCAAGATCCAGATGTCAATTGTAAGTGCCTGTGTTGAACCGCCGAGCTAGCAGCGAATTGACCCCGGGCGACGCAGGGGCCGATATCGCGTGGATAAAGGGTATAACGAAGCTCCCCTTGTACATTAAAGGAATCCAGTGCGTGGAGGATGCTGAAAAAGCGTACGAACATGGTGTAGATGGGGTCATTATTTCCAATCATGGCGGGCGGCAACTCGACTTGTGCGTGTCTGCCGGCTGAGATGGGTCCACCAATGACTAATCGACTTCCCAGTGCTCCTGGCGCAATGACAGTCCTATACGATCTGCACCAGCGTCGACCGGACCTGATGCAGAAAATGGACGTCTACATAGATGGAGGCATCCGGCGAGGCACCGATGTCCTGAAGGCACTTTGTCTGGGAGCCAAAGGTGTCGGCCTCGGGCGGCCAGTTCTGTACGGCAACGGCTGTTGGGGAGAACCGGGCGTGCGGCGGGTATTCCAGATTATGCGGGAGGAAATTGCCACTACCATGCGTCTGCTTGGAGTAACGCGCCTTGAGGATCTCCGGCCGGAGATAATTCGTTATGTTGATCGTGATCCTGTTCCTGTTTGCGCTGGAGAGGAGTCGTAAGAATGAAGGAATTGAACTGAAGGTGACGGGGTGGGTGGAGCGACCAACACTGATCGAACCAAGGTCTTGTATCATTTACCGGGTATCTTTATCATTTGCAATCCTGTTCACGAAGTGTATCTATTTTCTGGGGTTTGAGCGTAACGTCCCACTACTCGTAGAATGACATTCATTACCTGGCTGAGCGGAGTGCGTGGTCAGGTCGATTGAGACGATTTGCGTGGAAGTGAATTGCAATAGTGGCAGAATGAAGTGAGTGATGCGCTACTGGGGATGTCTGGCGTGGCTTCTTCTGGTCGTAACGTGGCATTAGGCCACAGGGATAGGATAAATTCTGCCACGATGGTGCGATAATGTCCGAGGTTTGTAATAGACTCCAGTTCCAGCGTGCGAAGCATCATCGCTGGTGGGCAGCCATGATTTCGATATTGGTCCACATCTCCTATGTATTCTGGGATGTTAAAGCTGATACGCATTGTGTTCAGTTCGCGACAGTGCCTTGCCAGAGGAAGAAGACCAAGAAGAGTGAACGGTGCAACAGAGATGTGCCTCATCCGCAGATCGAGGCTCTGAAGTGACGGCCACGCGATGGCGAACTGGGCGAGGTTATCATTGTCAAGCAGAAGCGACGGAAATGGGTGAAGCGTGTTGCGCAGGCCGAAATGTTGTAGTTGTCGTACCTGGAGCAGCAGGGCTCTGAAAACATCGCCTGATTTGCTCTGGATCTGGCTGCCAGTCACATGGGTCGGGGCTGACATATCAAAAGATGCCAAATGCGGAGATGACTGTGCAACGGCAGTGACAAGTTGTTCATAAGTCTCGATTCGTTCTCCTGGTCGAACCGCCGGGAAGTTGATTTTTCGCAGGACGGGCATATGTAGCTTTCCGAAGACTGAAACTAACGTTCGTGGCCAGCCACTGATCGAGAGAGAATGCAGATTGGGGAGGGCAATTGTCTCGGGCATGTAGGCATTTGGACCAGCCAGCTCCAAATTCACATGAAGTGTACGAAGATGGGTCCATGCCTGCATGACATTCAGGTTTTCGAGAGTCATTGGGATCTGCCAGCTGAATTCCGACAAGAGCGGGAGGCCTTCTACGAGCGACGGCAGATAACCATTGAGGGGTTCCGGTCGAATGCCGTGTACTTCGACAGCCAGGTTGGTCAGCTTCGAAGCACGTCCAGTGGTCACATGAAGAAATTGTATGATTGCCTCGGTGAAATTGCTATATTGGATGGAGATATAGGTTGGCCGGATGTCCACGACAAACCGTAATGATCGTAAGGAAGGCGAGATCACCTTTCGTATCTGCTGCATCACCCTTGTGTCGTTTGTTTCCACGTCGAGTTGCACTAAACTTGGAAGGGGTGACAGTGAGCCACTGGTATCCGATCGAGACATGTACCGCAATGAAGGAGAGGCGAGGTGCTTCTCCCAGGGACCCTCGAAATGACTCTTGATGTTCTTGACAAAGGATTGATATTTATCATAGGGAGAATAGGCAGAGATGTTCGCCGACAAGACCTTGATTCATTCAGTTAAAGTCAAGATTATCGACATAGGAGGCATACTGTGCTACTCAGAGGGTTCGTTCGCCCGATCTGGAATAGTTGCAACAGCGGTCTGACACCCGGGAGGTCCTTCCAGAGGATTGGAATGACAACATCTTGAAACAACCGACAAGTACGAGCAAGTGAACCCCAAGTTGGCACATCATCGAGGTATTCAAATATCAGCACCAGGATATCAGAAATCTCTAGAGCATGATGCATGTCGCGCCCAAAGAGAACTTAGATGAACGTTCGTGATAGAGATCTGAAGACCCTGAGCTACGGCAAAATATCGCGATATTATTATCCAACAACACAACAAACGGTCGACACGGCATTTAACGATCCTTGGAATTGTACATTTCCGACGGCGTGGGAATATGAAGGTAGTTGAAAAAAAAGTTAGATACCCCAAGAGAGACACATACCAATCGCATGCTGGATGATCCAAGTCTTCATAGTTCCAATTAGTATACGTGAACAACTGAGGGTACCACGTCTCGGGATACATGTGCTGGACGAATGTCAACTCAGAGGGCCTTGTTATGAGGAAGGAACGCACATAAGCCCCAAAGTCAATGTTGGAGAGTGCGATTACGTCATTGAAAGATTCTGCTACAAGTGAGACACCACTGCGTAATACCCAGGGTCCGTTAGCCAGCATCCTCTGGAAGAGCCGACCCCTACACATTCAACTCGTTTTCACTCAATACTCCCATCCAATGCACCTTTCTTATGGTGAAAAGCCAGGCATCCAAGTCAGGAGCCAAAGGCGTCGTGCAGGACTGGGAACGACGCAATGATGTCTGTAGGACGTTTACTGCAGCCGACTTCTCTGCTTCACCAGTGATCCACCCCCTCCTGCTCAACGGAACGCAGCTGAATGTCACGGTTTGGATATGGAAGCGGAGGGTGACATGGGGCATGTGCTTGGATCCGCAGGAGGCGACGTAACAGGCATGCCCAACATCGTTGGGGCAAGCCGCAGAGAATCGTCTATAACTAAGGTATGGGATATCGGTCGATGCAGTCAATCAGCGCTGATATGTTTTGAATTTGCATTCAGGATAGAGCGGGATATCGACGCTATAGTGGCCGTGTCCTTCGTTCCCATGCAAATCCCATTAAGCCACCGCCGCCTGAGCCTGACCCCGATTGGCTGACTGAACTTGAAACTGCCACGCATCGGATCACCACGCAATATAAACAGTTTTGCGTTGGTACCCTCCCATGCCACTTGTTTTCAGTACGTTATCATCGAGTCACATGCTTCTCAATTGAGAGCTTATACCCAGCTTATAGATCGAGATCAGAGATGTTCTGCCTGACAACCCTCTTGCAGGATGGCATTCCGAGGAACTTATTCGCAACACTCTAAGGCACAAGTCCGAGTTGTCCTTCAGCGATTCGGAGGACACTGGGCATGTTGCCCTTCGGCTTCCACTCTTCAAATGGATATTTGGGGATATTCTCCATCTGAAGGAGGTTGGTTCTCCATCTACTGGACGCTACAATGAGGCAACTGCACGAACACCGTTCGATTCACTGCTCAAAGTCATGTCGATTCCTCAAGCTGTAGGCAGTGTACAGACCTCCGCAGTGTAAGTGATGAAGCCAATAGGGGAGCTCGTCGCAATTTACTCATGCATTGCATGGCAGTGCTGAAGTGAAGGTAGCCATCTCGCGCCCGCGTGATGAGGATGGACCGATGCATCTGTTGGACAACAACGGCATCTTCAGTGACTTTTTCGAGGTCGCACAAAGCGATGCTTTGATGCTCCTTCACCCCTCACGTGAGGTGCAGATCCTATACCGCCTTGCAAAGTCCAAGCAGGTGCCACCTGCCCCCAAGGAAACCTCGTGGAAGAGTGTATTCAATTCCGAGGATCCTTTGTCATTCATTCTTAACGTGACGGAGTACAACCTTGAAGACTTGGAGGGCTGTATTGCCCAAGTGGAATTCGTGATGGTTGCAATGCAGCGTTTGCTGCAATCTTTTGGGTTAACGGACGTCGTTGTTTTCGGATCTGTCGTGGACCCGACCGCAGTACGCATATTTGGATGCTTTGGTGGAGATAAGTCCGATGTACGCAATAGTTAACTTCCCATTTTGCGTGGCAGCTAACGCTCTTTTGTCTTCTCTTGCATTTTCTTGACAGACCCTATATGTCCATCTATGCGAAACGTTATCCATATCCCACGCTCCTCATTTTTGGCGCTATGTCTTCTTTCTATCAAATCTCGAGAGATGGGGGCGTGTGGAGTTCCACCAAATGCTACGTGGCATCCTGAACACACCCCACTCCTTCTCGCCCAAGGCATGGCGTTGTGACACCTGGCTGTTTCAGAGAAAGAACGCTAGGCTTGCTGCGTTGGAGAGGACAAGAGAAGAATCGATGGAACCGACGGATGATGAAGGACACGATGGATATCACGAGAAAAGCCATAAACCCGGACCAGGAGGTGGTGGACCCGGACCCAGCAACCCCTCTGCAAACAAACGGAAGCGTAACCCTCACTCAGGTGGCAAGGCAAACCCGCCAAAGAAGGCCAAGGGATGCTCAATGCCACTGAACAAGCTGGATGGCAATGTATCTGCCCGAGCGAGGTCGCGATATGTCTGCCCTGTTGAAAAGACTATCCGAAACAGTACCACAGCGGCCCAAACCGCAGGATGGCCACGTGTGCTCAAAACATCTCTGCGGGATCACCGCTCGGCTGCCCATATACATCTGTCTGCAGAAGAAGTGCTTCGCAGAGCCGATATGGATAGCTCAGACGAGTCAGACGAGTTAGACGACGACGCAGAGAAACTGAAGGACAAGGCCAGTCTACTTGACAGAATAATGAGGTGGAAAGGGGATGTTTCCCCTACGGTTGTATGAGGCGACCTGGGGGTAGTATGTAATGTTTCTTTGCATAGCTGCCGGCGCTGCGCTCGAAGGTGTCATGTTCTCCTACGCATGGCCAAGAAGCAAGGCTTAGACAGGAAGATCATCAAGACGATGGCAGAGTCAGACCTGGGGTTCTGACTTCTCGGTCAAGATTCGAAAACAATGCAGCATCGGAGAAGAACATCGCAAATGGGTCGGTAAGACATGCCATTCGATGATGACAAGCATGATGGAATACTCTGTGGATGGTCCGGAAAAATGTCATGATATTATTATCCAACTCCGAACATCACCGCAAACGGCTGACACAAACGGCATTTAATGATCCCTAGAGTTGTACAGGGCCGCTGTCTCCCTGTGTTCCACAGTTCAATAACAAAGTTTACAACTATGATGGCAAGAAGGCTCACGAAAACAAACTCCACAGCATTGTCTCATTCTTGTAGAATGTATAGGTGTCGTTAGGTGAAGCCTTCGAAGGGTACAATCAGCGTCACACTTCTTCTTACCGTAGCAAAGACATGCGTACGCCGCGAAAGATCTGATCCTGATATTTGATCGTGCGATATCCACCGTCCTCGGTAAGCCCAAGTTGACCGAATTGCCAGGGCATTATTCCCGCGTGATTTGTGTTCACAGCCGTTTGCACCCAGGTCGGATACCAAGCAGTCTTGTTCGAGTTCTCTGGAGAGCCGAATTCCTCCAGGACAATTGGCTTCCCGACGGCGTGGGCAGCTGAAAGTGGTTGAAATAGAGTTCGATACCGCCAAGAGAGACACATACCAGTCGCATGCTGGGTGATCCAAGTCGCGCCCCAATCTTCGTAGCTCCAATTGGCATACGTGAAGAACTGCGGGTACCACGTCTCGGGATACATGTGCTGAACAAGTGTTAACTCAGGGGAATTTTTCATGAGGAAAGAACTTACATAAACCCCGAAGTCAATATTGGGAAGTGCGATTACGTCATCGAAAGATTCCCCAGCTGCAAGTGCACAGATTAGCATGTCTCAGACACAAATGACAGTATTTCCAAACCTTCCCCGTCGTAGTTGTAGTCGGGTACGTACTGCCCGTCATACCAATAATATTCTGGAGTGGACCAGTCGAACTGTCCCTCACCACCGGTAGACATCATATGATAAGGATCTAGACTGCGCACGTAATCGCTCTGCTGTTTGTACCATGAGGTCAATGTTGCTGGAGTGCAGCTGGCGCTCGCTGGAAGGCTGTCGCTAGAACAGCGAGCCTCGTTCATCAACTCCCAAGAGAAGATAGCAGGGGAATTCCTGTAGCGCTGAACCATGATGTTGACGTATTCTTGGTATGCAGCTATGATGGTTGGGTCGGTGTAGAAAGTATCATCTGTCATTCAACATTAGAGCTATCTTGCGGATGAAGGAGTACTCTACGTGGGCTGCTGGCGTCTGCCATCCATTGCACATACAGATCGGACCCGCCATATCCGACCCAGTTGTTGGTGATCAACTTAATTCCATACAGCTCAGCCTTGCTGACAATATTATCCAAACGCTCCAACCCTTGAGGTCCGTAGTTGACAGTGCTTTGGTAATGTCGAGGTCATTACGCAGGAGATCAAGGATACAAGACATACTAATTTGGGCCGTTCCAGAGTTGACAGTAGGTCAAAATGGATTCCATTGCACCAGCCAGTTCGGACTGGTTGATCGCGTTGAAACCCTACACAAGGTCATCGCTGTGCTGTGAAGGAAAACCTGCTGTAATACCCAGGTACGCAAAACCTAGTAGCATTTGTCAATGCTGTGGCTCCGAGGCGTGAGCTTTGAGAGCACCTTGTATCCACTGAGTGCCATATTGTGGAACGTGAGGTCAACGTCATATTACGTCAACAACAACGGCAACCAGTATTAGACAGTTCAGACAGACCGATATCAGGAGTGTGCAACCACATACGTAAGAGTTGGTGCCAACATAATTGAACGGCCGACCATCGACCTCGAAGGATTCACGATTTGTCGTAGCGAATCCAGCAGGCACCCAGCGCTTGGTAGGAGCCGCCGAGATCAGTGCTGCACAAGCGAGAAGACCAGAAAGTAAATAGATAGCGCGCATGTTGAGGTATGGTACCAGCGATGAGAACTGATCACTAGCTGGCCTCTTATAGCCCTTCAAGTTGATCATCGCATATGTGGATACGGCACTTTGGAAGGGTTTCCGACTTCTCGGACAACATTCGAATCAATCCAGCATCGAAGAAGAAGAACGAGGATGAAGAGTCCGGAGGGTCGGTAAGACATCCTATTCGACAATGGCCGGTCCTGTCCGTGAGAAGCACCAGAAGTCATATGCATAATTCCAAAAGGAAAGTGACTTTATCCGATATCGCATAGCGCGAGGCTGTACGCCAGCGAGGCATCTTCAATACAAACGATTGGTTTAGACAAAGTAATATTGTAGGCTTGTGCGTCGTCATTGTCAACAAGATACAATGAGTCGCAATGAGCGGAGGATGAAAGAACCCCGCGCGGGGTTTTCCTTTGGAATATCCTGGACACGTGGTTGTTAGGCCCAGATCTCTGCCATCGCCCATCGGTTTTTCTGACAGCTGCCATGTGCCCGATGCGCCAAGGTTAATGCTACCAAACTTGCGCCATTGTCCAGTCATAACTTGGTATCGAACCGCCATAAGCCGCTTCAAAGGCGCCATTTCATCGAATATACCATGCACCGCGCTTTGACTATACCCGAAGTCTGCTGTCTGATTTGCGAACACATTGATGAACTGGATACACTCCATGCTGTTGCTCTTACATGCGCGCGTTTTAGGGACGTCGTATTGCCCCGACTTTGGGAAGACCTGCCTTGCATAGAGCCTCTGGCCGAGTTGATCCTTCAGGATATTGTCTCTATACGAGATGCAACGGTATGTTTGCGCAGTTCGCCGGAGGTTTACCGTTGCTGATCAGCCATCTCAGCTTGGCACCACGCTGGCCTTGTCACGTTATGCGCACTACGTGAAGAAAATCACTAGCTATAATGAAGACTCAGATGTGCTACGCTCGGCATTCTTTCTGTTTCAAACCGAGCTGCAACTTAGCACCAGTCTGCGACCGCCAAATCTCCGAGAAATAACAATGACGACTAACGGCCCGCTTCTTGTCCAGTGGTTGATCGAACTCATCCCGCCCTGCCTTGAAAAGCTAAGCTTTGTGATACAATGGCAGGGAATGCGAGATACTTCTGGCGAACGAAATAATTCAGTGCATTACCTTTCGCAACTGCTGGAATATTTGCCGACGAAAGCCCCTGGCCTCAAATCTCTCACCCTCGATATTCCGGACGGTCTCCTCCAGTTTCTCCCAAAACACCTGCCAACGTATGTCCACCGACTGTCTTGCATAGAGGAGGTTGATCTTCGCTTTGCGGTTCCGCTCGACGCACTGTCACTAATGGGAAGTTGGGAACACCTCGAGCGACTTAAGGTCTGCGTTACCAGCACCGACGGGCTACCGACCAGTGATTTTACGGCTCGAATACCGTCCCTCAAATATCTCAATGTATCAGGCTCGGCAACGCTTCTTTTGCTAATACTTCAGACGGTTCATTTTCCTTCCCTTCGCGCCTTGGCACTCCCCCATATAACGATCGACGTACATCTGGATCAAATGAACGACATCTTGATGCTCATCGCTGAGCGGTTTTCGGGTCTCCAACATTTTGAAATGGAGGCACCACCTGCGCAGTCTGCCTGGTCTCCTGCTTTAATCAGCTTCGACCCGCTGTACATGTTGCTCAAGCTGCGTAACTTTCACCTGACCTGCGCGCGTGTAGCGATTGGATATATGCCTGCCCAACTGGATGACACGCATCTCCTGCGGTTTCCAGGGGCATGGGCGTCTCTGGAGTGTCTTGATATTCGGATGCGTACATTTGCATTCCAACGAGGCGTCCCTAATCCACATCGCCCCTCGTTTACCCTGCGGGGCCTCCTTCCCCTGGCAAAGAGCTGCAGGCAGCTTAAGAGCCTATTCATCGGCGTGGACCTCACGTTACCGTTTTCAACCTCAACCACACCAATTGGCGCCAGCAGCGCTTCCGATCCCAGCACCAGTACAGCGCCAGAAAACCTCGGATTTCTCCCGGCTCTTGTTATGAGATCTTTCGAGCTCGAGTGTATCTCTGTCGCCCCACCTAAAGGAAAAGCGCAAGAGCAGGCTTGCCACTTCATAGCATCCATGTGGCCTAATGTACACATGAAGACTGAGGGGGAAGAAAACGACAATTGCGACCCGGCATTGAAGAGATTCTGCGCACTGTTTAATCGGCGTATGGCTAATGGTTCCGGCTGGCCCCGGTCCGACGAACTGGGCGAGGCGGAAGAAGAAGATTATTGACGTGGCATGTGCGAAAGCAGCACTTCTGTCCCAAAGCGCTTTTTTCCCGCCCAAAGCGTCACATCACGCGGCCTTAGCGTGCGTCACCCACGAAACAGCACGAACAATGGACCCGCAACAATACACAGAAACAAAACGAGGAAAAAAAATCAAATAAAAAGAAAACAAGAAAAGAAAAAAGAAAAGAAAATAGCCACTCAAATCATTCTCTGAAGTCAGTCACCCTCGTCAAGTTTTTTTTCCTCGACCTGTAGTACACGAACAGGGATCGATCATCAACAATTTCATTTTCTCAACAACTATATTCACATGTCAATCACCTTTTCCTGGAGAAGCATTTGAAGTCTGGGAATTCTTCAAGCAGCTCATTCGGCAATGTGTGACTCACAAGTCCGGATTTCGATTTTCCTGGATCGGGTGGGTTAGGGTTAGGGTCAGAAACAGGGGTAGGGTTCTTGCATGGTGTAAACCCCACTTCATTTCTCTCAGACAAGCTGCCCATGGCACTACCTAAACCCTTTACTTCTTACTTTCTTTTGCCGACTGTTAGGGTGCAGAAGCACTCGTGTTCCATTTGCCATTTTACCACGTGACTCCCATTTGCCGTTTTACCACGTGACTCCCTTACTCACGAAAGTCACTAAAATGTATTATTTCCTAAGAATCACACTCCATGCCTTACTACAGAACACCAGTCTGCTTCAAGAGAATCAGGAACACACAAGTCTGCACAGACGGAGTGGGGTATACGCTGAGGCCCGGCTTGACTCTAAGGCCCGGCTGGACGCTGAGGCTGAGCTTGATACGGACCTGGGGAGGGAACGGGCCAAAGCTTAAGGGCAAGCAAACATGTGGTTCTGAGCGCGTCAAGAACGCACGCGTTCGGGCGACTCACCGGGGCACTTTCTCCCCCCCCTGACCGCGCGCACCCCCTTCACCCTATGCCAGCGCAAACTCAACCTCGCTCATCAAACCAAGGATTTTCCGCGGTACCGCTACGCCGGAAGCCACACGGGTCCAGCGTGAGCACTAAGCAGAATGGGCGGCAATCGGGCATGTCGGGTCAAATCTCGGATGATAGGTATATCAAGCACATCGGGCGTTGGGTTCAGGTCGGATAGTGGGCAAAGTGGGAGAACATCGGAAGCGTGCAGAGGATGCCGAGGGTTTGGAAGTGTAGCGTGCTGGAGGAGTGGCGTCGTGATATTGAGAAGTGTTTGGGCGTGAGACGCAATGTGGGGAATGACGATGATGTCGTCGTTCTAGGCGAGCGTATCCGTCCGCTTGTCAAGACGGTTTGCAGCCAACAAAGATGTCGCCTTCTAACTAACTTACGGAACCACCGCGACTGAAAGATATCATCTTGACGAAAGTGATGTTCTCGGATGAAGGGAATCCACGGACAAAGGCCATCGATCCTTCACAAGAACCTAGGTCGCACATGCACGTCGTCTTCCCCGAGAAATTACTCGACGGGCCAACAGACATGGATGTTCGTAGCAGACAAACCTCCCGCGTCGTTTTCGCCGACCTCATCTCCGCGGCGAGCCGACATGCGGGGACAAAGGTTCCCACGCCCGTCCAGGTGGTAAATCCCTTTTCGCGCAAAATGTCACCCAAGCGGGAAACGGCGAAAGTCGCTCTTGGCCGCTGCGATATTTACGTGGAGAGCCGAGGAGTCCTGCACCGAGGATCGGCCGTCCTGCCGGCAGGAGGATGTCTCGGGCTTGTTGGTGAGAACCAGTAGAGAGCGTTGAATTGTGATCGACAATAGGACGGATCGAAGATGCGGAATTATCGTTAGGAGCTGGGGGTCGTTAGTGGGTTGTTTAGTGGGTGGCATCGCACCTGGGCAAGGGAAAGAGGACGAAGCTCCTATTTTCCACGTCACTCGGCACCGACAAACAAGTCAGGCGGGTCTAGATCCAGTCATCGGCCTTCCCTTACGAGAGATAACAACCTGTCAGAGCACATGCTTCACGACAGAAAAAAGAACTTGTTGGCGTAGAGATTATCTGCAATTTGCGGGAATGAAGTGGTGTGTGCTGCGTGTGGCCAGAGGGGTTCGCTCGCCCCTATTTGGACACGTGCGACCCCGCACCACGCGTCCTCCCACTGAGACGGTCGTTACCGGGTGGGGGCGTCGCAAGGGGTTGTGCCGATCGCACGGGGTGGGATAACGTTTCCCTTTCGTATTACAACCCTGCACAATATGTTTGTGCAGGGATTGAACGGATGAGGACGGTCGGGAGATGCCGAGTGATGGTCAACCGCTGATGATTGTGCCTAAATGGGCTGTACTTGTTGGTGGAGGAATTAGACGTATGTATACCCGCTGGGAGAGTAGGGGACGGATGATTGGGTATATTGCGTGTCAGTGTGATCTTATCGACCCCTTTGCTGCAAGGGGCATGTATCTGTTGTGCAGAATAACAAGGCCAGAGTGATAGGAGGAGGCACTGCAGTACGGTGTGTATTGCCATCTCGGAGGGCGCGCGGTCTCCGCTGACTTTAGGGCGATGCCGATGTCAGGGATAGAATGTATTTCTTGAGGATGTACCTGAGTAATAAAAACACGGGAAGAAGGAGAGGAAGGGGCCAGTGCAGGCACATGCACTGATATATACTAGAATGTATGTTGATTATCAGGCAGAAAGTGCGGGAATAAGAAATATTGATCAATGTGATGGAACATGTGAGAGAACACTCCCGGTTAAATGCAGTGTTGTTGAAGTAAAAAAATATGGGAGAATGACAGCGGATTTTACCGGTCACTCGAGGAATGGATGGAAGAACGGACGGCTGTGGGATAATTACAGTTGAGGCTGAGAACACAGAAGTGCATATATCTCCTCCTCGACGTCCACATCCATACAAGCTTTCATCGAACAACGTCCACCCCCCGAGCAAGCTCAAGCTCAAGCTCGACTAGCGCAATTAACACCGCTCGACGCGTTCAACGTCTGGCCAATATTAGTGGCAGCCCCCGCGTTATTTCCGGCGGCGACGGGCAACCCCTATCACTGTGGCACCGCCGCCCTCATTGGCTAATCTCAATCGGGACCGCCGTCTCCAACCGCTTTTTTCGTCGCCTCGAGGCACCCACACGACGCAATAAAGAGAACGTACGACGCTGAGCCTGCATCAAATTCTGTCGCTGCAGTTCTCTTATCGCTCGGCTTTTGCCATTTGTATACACACAGGTGCAGGGCTCAACTCCGCTCAGAGCTTAACGCGCGCATATAGCCTGGCAGACGCAGCTCTGTCACAGCGTCAACGTTCGCAAGCCCCTTCGTAGCCTCAACAAACACGGAAGGCTGCATATAACACCCCTTCCATTCTACCTCTCTATCATAGCATCTCTCCACACAACCAACATCATGCCTGGCTCACCCGCACTCTTCCCAACTCCCCGCTCTCCCCCCATGCCCATGCCTACCCTTCCTCCAAGGTCTATAAACCTTAGTTCTCTGCCTCCCCTTCCTCCCCCTACCCTCGACCCGGAGCCCCTCTCCCCAACGGGCACAACGAGGAAGCGCAGAATATGCGTACTGGGGAGCAGGCAAGTCGGTACGTCTTTCCCTCGCGTCTCCCTTCCCGTCTGACGCGTCGCAGGCAAATCCGCCCTAGTGGTCCAATACGTCGAGCACCATTTCCTGCCCAAGTACTACCCCACCATCGAGTCCACCTTCCACGCACCCCTGCAGTATCACTCCCACCCTTATTTGCTGGAGATCGTCGACACTGCAGGGCAGGACGAGTACAGCATGCTCGCTTCGCGCTATGCGATTGGCGTGCACGGGTTTGTCCTCGTGTACAGCGTCGCGAGCCGCCCGAGCTTCGAAATGATACGCGGACTGCATGACAAGATCATGGCGTATTACGGCGAGAGGGCTGAGGTACCGTGCGTCATAGTCGGCCAGAAGCAGGACTTGGTCGAGCAGAAGTACGTCACACCCTCGTCAGTTCGAGCTCGCGACTGACCGTTTCCAGACTAGCCACACGTCAAGTGACACCCCAAGAAGGGCAAGCCCTAGCCAAAGAGATCCACGCATCGTGGATCGAGACCTCCGCCTGCTCGAACCTCAACGTCTCCAAAGTCTTCGACATGCTGCTCGAGGATGTCGAGCGCACATACACCCTGACTCCCGAGAAGGGGAAGGAGGGCGGGTGCTGGATCATGTAACCTCCGCATCCTCCCCCTCCTGGCATGCCATCTCCTGCAGTCTGAAGCCGGCGACACCCGCCTGCGATGTATCATATCCCACCAGCACGTACCCTACCCATCTGATACTACCGATCCCCGGCCTGTTGTGTCAATAGCTTCGTTTTCTCTTCCCTTTTCCTTTCCCTTTCCCTTTCCCTTTCCCCTTTTTCTCCTTCCTGTGTTTCCTTTCCCTCTTCTGCAGCACCTGGCTACCCACGTACCAGCTCGCGCGGTTCCTGTTGTATACTTCTCCTTTCTCGTTTACGTGGTCGATGTGCTCAAGCGCCCGTACTTTCCCGGACGCTGTCGTGTACTATGCATTAATCCTTTGTCTCCTGTCCGGTGCGAGCACCGGTTACGGTATAGCTCGTATAATGTCATCTCGTCGTCTAGTCATTCCCGTGCGCTGTCAGCCTGAGCCAGTATCCGGATCCAACAACCTGAGCGAGACTAATCGACCAAGGAACGTTTTTCCAGCTGAGGAGTCTAATTGTCTGATCATTGGACACTCGGGTTTGTTTACCTTCTGTCATTGTTTGATGTCAAATCCCGTTCGAAACAGTCCGATCTTACAGACTCCCGGCGGTAAGTCCTCTCGGTCCGATTCTGTTCCTAATCTTCAGATTGCTCATCCAGAACAGAACGAGAACCGCTGCTCCTGGTCTTCACAGTACTTTGGTCCAAGATCATGTTCATTTCTTTGAAAGCAGAGCTCTAGCAACAAAGTGTCTGATCCAGATAGCAAGAATGGCAACAAAGGTACATGATACGGTGATCAGATAGTCTTGACCCAGGGCACTAGATATCTGATTCTCCTATCCTCGCACCCCTCGTGCACGGCCCACCAACGTCTTCGTCGAATAGGAGCGATATCCCTTGCTCCCAAGGCCAATAGCGTTCAATTCGGATTTTGCGCTCGTCTGTGGACTGCCCCTCCGCCTCAAACGCTGGCGGTGAAGGCGAACAGCCCCGAAATTGCCTGATGTGGATTATTGTTTGATTATCGGGATCATACAACAATAGCATGATAAGAAGCTACACTTGTTGGCGGTTTCTGAAACACTGATTGTTGTGTTGACAGAAAACGACTGGCCTAACAGATTATTGTGGAGAGTAAGTTCCTTCCTTTCACAGCTATCACGCATCGCATTAGTGTTGGCCTCGGCGCCTCTGATACGGCATAATGATCTACACAATATCCATATCAGCTAGAGCGGAGCTGGCTCGGAATAGACGGTGGTCTGAAGCAAAGTCATGCAAATGAATGCTTCTCGTGACACCTTGGAGGCTTGAGCTCAAGACCTGTGATCGCGCCACTGAGTTTTCAGCCGCAGGTGTAGTAGATTCATACTGTGCTGAGGATGGCCTACAGCTAGGCGTATACATCGTATATGCGCATGTATTTGGGCATGCGCTAACGCTTTTGTAATTCTCAGGCAATCAAGCCCGAGGTATGCGGGAGGCATTTGCTCGGGCGACGGTTGAAATTGAAGCGACAGAAATGTCGGAAGTACGTTATGGAGAGGACGGAAAGGAAAACAGAGATCCTATAATGCACGTCAGTGGTACTGCGACATTCTGAGGAAGGGTTGGTGTATAATACCATGTTAAGACGTGGCAAAAGAGCAAACAACGCTTGGAGAGGATAATCCAAACCTCTATACAGGACGCATAAAGAAAGCAGAATGACCAGCTTGTGTGGCCGACTCGTTCTATCGTCGCTCGCAACGTGCGAAATACCTCGGGGGGAAATACGTCGATGCCAATGTCGGAAGATAAGCCGGTGAGATTAGCGATGATTCAGAAAATCTAACGAGGTTTGGTCAGCATATTGCCCCTGCCACACACCCAAACTAATGAAGACGCACATGAATCGCATTGCTGCGGGTGATATACCTGCCTGCAACGGAACCCATTACAAAACTCAACATCGAGGCAAGAGTAGATCACGATGATACTCACCTCTTTCTTGTCGTCCTACACGTCCAGAAGCGGGCTCGGGAGGACGGCCAGAAGGATCTGGAGCACGATGAAAGTCCCCATCTAGTTTCCTGTGAGAGGGTTCAGTGGATTGTGACAGAAGCGGGGCCAGCGACGTACGCAAGCAATGAGGGGCGACACCGAGCACGAGGACGAAATGCACAGAGGCAGGGGGGTCATGGTACCCTATAACATTCGTGGTGGATGTCTACCGAGATTGATTTAGTACCTCTGTATTCAATTCGGTACAAAGACACGCACCATCATATAACCCGCTAGGAGACGCCGCGCAGAAGGTGTTATGATCGCCGTACGTCTCCAGATTTTCCCCGGTGGAATGGTGCCTGAAGTCGTTTGGACTGTCTTACTCCCAGTTCTACCCCTTGCGGACGATGCCCTCCCCCCCCTTCACTTTCCGGAGTTCTTGTTCGTCGAACTTGAAGAGATTGGCGTCCTCTGGTGGGTAGAGATTTTGGCGAAGCAAGAGACCGGAAGCCAGGCAGGGGAATGAGGTAGCCTAGTGGGAGGAAACCCCGTTAAGTCGAGCCCGTTACGTATCGGATTAAACATCCCTTGTTGATGAAAACATCTAATACTGAGAGGAAGAGTTGAATGCTGGACAACGTTACGATCAGTACTCTGTTTTATGTGCTGAAGAATGACACACCTTTTGAATCCGAGAACTGATAATGATTTCGAGCCACTCCTTTCCTACACCGCATCAGAGTCACCGCAAAAACGCAAGGTAAGCCCAAGCAAACACACACCAAATGTATCCAATTGCCCCTTGTCCGTCCAGACACGCGATTTCTCTAGTGGACGCACACACGCTCGACAACAGTGTCCTCCTTGTTGTACAGACCTCTCCGCCTATGACGAATGCGGCTGAATAAAGGATTTCGGCATTTCCCGTAGCTTACAGTTCGTTCCTAAAGCACGGTCAGCGAAAGGGAATGGGAGAATGAGAGAGAAAATGGCGCACCCGAGTTGAGCTTAAAGACGATTTTGATATTCGGCCGGATGCCGGTTGGAACTGATGACGCCGAGCCCTTCTACTGCTACGTGACATCAGTATCAACCCGCCAACACAAGCACAAACATACACGCACTAAAAGTATCCAATTGACCTCCATCCATGCACCAAGCCCTCCGGTGTGCGCACACCCGTTCTAGTCAAGTGCGCCAAGTCAACACCTTGTTGTAGACTTCTGAGCATGAGGAATGGCGTGCCCGAGCCGAACTCGAGTGATCGTGATATTCGGTCGGACGAGGGTTGGTACAAGGCGCCGTTCGTCACTGTTGCCGATTCGGTCGATCTGGGCGTGCGAGAAAGAGTGAGCGCGGAAACCCTGGAATGGACCACGTACCTCATCATTCATTACCACAGCCCCATCCGGCGTACCTATACGTGGTGAGATGTCCCCGCGCTGCTCACTTTACACCACGGCTCGACCATAACAGGAGAGTTGACCAGGGCGTTGTCGATAGGCAGGAGAATATGCAATTTGTGAGGCGATGTATGGATACGAGGCGGAGGAGCGGGAAGGCCAGATGCGGCGAGCTGAGGGTCGACCAGTTTCATATCTCTGGACTGGTGAATCTGTTTGGGCATCCACCTTCCCACTCAGGGACGTTGAGAGCTCATCGAGCGAGGCGTAGTGTGTACGGAGTAATAGCTGTCCAATTCGACACAACGGGCGGCATCTGGGGTCGGAGGGTAGGTGGCAGAGACGATCGTGTTTGCTCTTGCCAGTGGTGTGCGAGTTACAGAGACGCCGGCGGTGCGAGAGGGGACTTCGATGGGGTCTCTGCAAACGAAAGTCAGTGTATGCACGAGAAGCGGAAATAGGAAGCAGGAAGGAGACGTACTGACAACCTTACGATAAACATCCCAGTAAGTGCGGCGGTGAGGTCATTCTTGATCGATTTACGCCTACATACCCTCCCGGCTGGTCGATGTGCGGCTTTCGGTATACTTTGGATTACCGCCATCATAGTACCGTGATGTTTGGCGACATGTATGACAAGTCACATGAAGACGTTCAGAGAGCACCTCAGGTGTGCTGGCGCTCGACCATTACTGACATGACCTTCATGATGGCGCAGGTTCGAGACATACGTCGTCTAAGTAGAGGTCATAATGCGCGGGGAAGACATTGTGGATATGGCGTGTGGGGATAATATCTTTGTCCAGAGAGAAAGAGATGTCGTAGTGCTCATAACAGTCGAAGGTGATCTGTCCTTGACCTGCTTGACCTGCTTGCTTAATCCAATCATCAGCTAGAAGGTGCAAGAAGCTGGAGAAGGAACTCACGGGGCTTCCAGGCTCTGTGTAGTTATGAATCTTGATAGATGATGTAGACTGTGTAGAGAGATCATGTTAGAGGGGGACGTTGGTGTAAACTCCCTTCCGCATTAGTCAAGATCCATTGCCTGTACCGCCGAATTATCCACCAAAACAGGAGAACCACTTGTAATATAAATGGATCGAAGTGGGCTCGAAGGGAGGGAAGAAGAAACCGAAGCACATCAAAAAGAATGTTTCGCATGACACCTTTGAGGCTCGAACTCAAGACCTTCTGTGGCCACTAGGGTGTTAGACAGATGCGCTAGCCAACTGCGCCAAGGTGCCTTATTACACCGCTGATGGCTTGTGACTACAAGACCAACTATCCCCGTATAGCATAGCATGACAAGAGGTGATTGCGACTGAATCGTCTCTTTTTAACTTCACAATCAGGATATGTGAATACTCAACATTGTGCAGTGGCATTTGCAGCATCCTTTGCTTGATAAGTTTGGTAAGGGGCGCGCGGTCAACGCCTCCCGCAGCGGCTCATTTTCTGTCCCGCGACTTCCATCTTCATACACCCTCCGCCTCTAGTTCAGCAAACAACAACGCCGCATACTCCCCTCTCAACCTCTCCCTCACCACCGGCTCTACCAGATCCCACACCCTACGCACCAGTTCCTCCGGCCAAGCGTCGACGTCCAGCTCGTATTCCTCGTTCGCGGTCTCACGGAGGGCGGCGAGCTGCGGTAGGTGGGATTCCACAAGCTGGACGATGGGGAGAAGAGAGTCGAGCGACAACCAGGGGATGAGACTTGGAAGCTCTTTCCGGAGTATATGATCATCATCTTGCGTGTCGCGTGATGGGACGTAAGGGTGGTCTACCCAAGTATCACTCGAGGACTCAGTACTCTGCTCAGCTCTGGGAAGTATGACCCTCGTCCACAATCGACGCACTACATGTCCTGGCAACTTCACTCCCTCGAGATTCACCCAGCCGGCCAGGGCAGAAGCGCGCGTCCAGTCCAGCGAGATATGCAGCGTCGCGAGCATCTCTGCGCGTTCGAAGGTGGTGAGGCGAGGTAGCGCGTGGACGATCTTGTCGTGCATCCATCGTGGCACGTCAGGCAAGGTACGAAGGTGCTTGTGGGAGGAGGGAGAGGGTGTGCCTGAGCTGGATGCGTCGGATTGGCAGAGTCGAGCTCGCTTGAAGGTCGTTCGTGGAGACGGAGTCCTGGATGTGGAGCTCTCGGATGATCGTGTACTCGACGTCTTGCGTGTTGACGATCTCCTTCGATGCATCATGCTTAATTGTTATTCGTTCTCCTACCCCGGACTATACATGTTATAACCCCACCGGTGCATACCTCACTTGCCGCTCAGGCCCTCAAGCTTGTTGACGACGTCGTCCGTACGCATACGCCTACAAGTACTTATGTGCGTCGTCATGGTCAGAACCTGGAGCTGAGCGCTCAGCACAGCTGTACAGCACGTACGTTGTGTAGGTGAAGGGGATCGAGCGGCGTTACGACACTAACGCGAGGGTATGCGTGTAGGCCTGGGCGCACGACCAACTGAGCACGTGATATTATGGCATTTGGCCTTTGTTTAGATCGGCAGAAGCGAGAAGCGTTCCATGAAAGCGCCTGTCGGGGGGTTCCTGAAACGCCGCGCGGCGGCGCTTTTTCGTAACACTGCGCTTCGCCCGATCCCATTGTCCCGAGTATGTGGTCGTCCGATGGTAGCCGCAGAGGAAGCCGTTGATCGTTTACGGACGACAACGGGGTGACTCACGGGAGAACAGGAGTAGCAGAGTTTTCCGGAGGAAACCCAGCAGCTGGTTTGGCTGTTCGATTGCACGATAGATAGACGTAGATTGCACGAAGACTCCCGTCGTTGTCACGTTCGATGGAAACTGCAGATGAGGTAGAGTGCGTGTATTACGCCCGGTTATACGCCAAGATGATGCACGAAAGCAGGTCGCAGGTGTTGCAGCGCAACAGAGTGCAATTACCCACAGCTTACCTCTCCTCTTCGCCAACTTGTGCAACCTCCAACAACTCGACAATGAAAAATGACGCCACATTCTGCTTCGATACGACGAAGTCGGAAAGGTAGACAACTGTGCGCGAGAAAACGACCTCAGTTTTATAAACATTCGCCGTCTGCGCTGCTTGTCCCGCGGTGTTGTCAGCCAGTCCGGAAGGGGAAGGAAGAGAGATGCTTACGCACCGGATATAGCACTCAGAGCAATGCCAGTTCATGACCAAGCGCCCGGCTCAATGGGCAGCTCTACAAGGACGAAGAGAGGGTGTTCAGCCCCACATACCAAAGCTGAGAGTGTTTGTGATGTAAATGGGTCACCGTGCCGGTCCGAAGGGGGCTCGACATGACTGGAATGGACCGTCTTTGCCGGTCTCATCACGGCGGTCTCGGGGACCATAGGACATCCGAGAGTGAACGGAGGAATGCGCCATTGTCAATTGAAAGCGCTTCCGTGCCATTGTCCTAATGTACTTTTCTATGGTGAGCTGGAGAGGACAATGGACAGAAGCCTCGTGAACGGAGGCAGGTGCACGTGCTTCTCCCAATGGCAAGCGCCTGAGAAGCGTCCCTGTGCGCCCTTGCTCACACCGTAATGTCCGCGTATCATACTCACTCTTGAATTTCTGCTTTCCCTCTCGAAATGAGTGTTGCTATTCCTCAAGAGGGTTCGTGCCATTGTACTGCGTCTGCTCAGAGGATACGTTCCCCAAATGGCTTGGTCAATAGATAGACTACCTTGTGCGGGCCCAGTTTCCGTATTCGAGAACCCGCTTGCTTGCTTGAGCTCTCTCCACCTCCCCCTGGCGTTGCCATCTGCAAAGTGTCTGGGCTTAGCCTTCGTTGTGAAAGAGTCTGCTAGAATGCCTGATCGCCTCACGAGGACATTCTATGGCGAAGCGTCTCTTCAACATCGTGCGACACATTGATCCGTGCTTCTCCTCCTGGCTCATGTACTTATATGCCCGTCCGTTTCCAGCTGGGACCATCACTGCTCTCCCCCCAGCCTCGCCTCCGCCTCGTGCTCCCCCCCTATTCCCCACACCCCTCCCAGGTATTTGGCCACCCGCCCTGAACAGCACTTGCAACAGACATGTCTGACGCTGCTACTACTGTCATCGACATTGGCCGGGCCTACCTGGTCGGCTCGCTCCTTGAAGCCATCCTCTATGGTAGGTCGCAGTGCTGAGAAATAAAGTATGCGAGCATGGCTCACCGTCTCTAGGCATGCTCTGCAACCTCCTCGCCCATGCCCTCCATGCCCTGACAGTAAGGCGGTCAACGCCCAATGTCAACTATATTATGATCGGCTCTGCCCTCATAATGTGGGCAGGATGTACGATTCACATAGGAATTGCTATACGGCGATGCGTACAGGCTTTCGTAGGTTGTTCTTCTTTGACCGAAACGCAGCTTCTCAATACCGCCTCCACAGGTTGACAACGGCGGCGCACCCGGTGGCTCGGACATGTTCCTGATGATGGAGAACGCCCCGCTATGGCTGGCCAGCGAGGGCTCTTTCATTTGCGTCAACGCTGCTGCAGATCTTCTTCTCGTAAGTGATTTGACTCAACATACCTTTCTCCGCTCACGTGATGCCAGGCATACCGCTGCTACCTCATCTGGGACCGCAACTTCTGGATCGTGATTCCTGCCCTTTTCTCCATCACCGGCTCCGTCGTCGCCGCCATCATCGCGCTCGTTAAGATGGCTGAGCTACAGCTACCTCAGACGATCGGCCTCGAGTTCATCCTCCAGTGCGGTAGTGCGCTCTTCAGCATGTCCTTGATCACCAACGTCACGACCACCGCGCTCATCACCTTCCGTATCTTCTGGCTGATGCACACCTCCCTCGCTGGTTTGCCTGAATCCAACAGCAGGAAATACGTCTCCGTGGTCGAAGTGGTCGTCGAGTCTGGTGCGCTCATGGCCATCACCCAGGCGGTCTTCCTCGGCCTCTGGCAGACGCAGAACAACGTCCTCTGGGCCTTGTACGGCATGCTCGCGCAGATTATGGCCATCTCTCCCATGCTCATCATCGTCCGCTCCGCAACGAAGCGGGAGCAACGCGATCGGGAACAGCAGATGCTCACCTCGGTCTTTGGTGGGAAGAAGTCGCCCGTGTTTAGCTTCAGCCGCAAGTCCCGCGCACGCACGCCCGCAGAGCCGCCGCACATCCTCACTCATATCGAGACCCACCGGGATATGATCGATGGCCGCTCGATCGAGGAGTACGGCAGTAAGAAGGGGTCTGAGTACTCGGTGGACGGCGAGTGGCAAGCATAAGCCGATCCGATCCGCTCATCGTCGTACCTCCCTTGTCTTCCCACCCGCCGGGCTCTCGACGAGCACTGCTCCGCGGTCGATCTGTGCGCATACGCGCGCACTTGTGACAGTATAATCTCCCTCGCTCTAGCGGGTTCTCTCGACTCTCCGCTCACGGCTACGCATACCGCATTCGTTAATACCGCTGCCTCTGCTGTTGATTTCTCTTGCCTGACTTCCTCTGTTGTTTTGTTGGCTTCGCAATTCTTTGTTATCATTCAAGCAAGTAAGTAGCAATTAGGACTAGGACTGGTGGACGCCGGGTTGGGTTGGTTAGGCTTGGGGGGGCGAGCCCGGTGTATGTAGAAAAGGCAGACAGATGTCTGCAGGATTCGAATGGCATTTGGTTCATGGACACCCATTGCGCTGTTCCCTTGGTGCACTGTGCACCATTCCTTGCCTTCCCGTACTCAGGACGTGGGGCATGAACTCCCTGACAGACTCTCGACTCTCTGTCCCATTCCACCGAACAAAAACCTCCCAGAAAGGCGAGTCCAACCCGATTAGTACAACGATCGTTCTCCCCACTTCCCCTTCCCTCATGCATCCCAGGACAATGGGCAGAACCCGAACTCTGGAACCCTGGAACAGGACGTCGACGCTGGCAGACTCGTACAATCCGGAATGGCCAAGCTCATGAACCTAAACCCTAACTCTCGGTGCACATGGTAAACGATCCGATCCGATACGGGAGCAGAACTTCGCAGATGTAGATCGATTACGTCCTTATCTAGCTTAGCTCGGGAACCCTTTTATTTCCTGTTATACGATATGCGATATGGTGTATGTATTTGTGTACATTACGCTTTTGTTATTGTTTGGGCCCGGTTGAGCTTCGGGAGCTTCGGGAGATAGGGGCTGGAGGGAATACACAACCGGACTTAGGAGTTTACGCGGGGTGCGGAGGAGTACGTACGTGTGTTTGGCTTAGGAACAGGATGACACGCTATACAATACCTCCAGTATGGACTGGGCGGTCGTGCTGTCCGGGAACACCGGGTGATAAGCCCAAGTGGTTGGGGTCTGGCAGGTAAATGCAAGAGGTACCAGCAACCCTGCCGCTTGGAGTTTAGCTTTGTCAGGTGAGGAGAGAGATCCGCGCGCTTGCCCTGCGTGCTTCAAAAGTCCTCGGTCGACTGTGCAGCCTTCGAGCTGACCGGCCCACGTAGACGACACATACCGGAAGAATGGCAGCGACAGCGGGAACGATGCTGGCAGGTGCGCTGAATTTCTCCAGGTGGGCTAAACTTCTTGCTGTATTGTTGGGACGAATATGATACGCCGGTGTTGAGTAGCGTATGTAACAACTCGGATTGACAGTGACTGAGGCGAATATGTTGTAGATGGGGTGCCTGACCCCTCTCTAAGCTGACAACAACCGACGGCAACCGAGGACGACCGCCGGGAGACGAGTTTGTTGCGTACATTATGATGCATTTATTGTCGAGTTGTTGACAGTTCATTGTTGGTGCTTGGTATTGGGCTTCGTCAGGTACCGCGCCTCCCGGTAGCCGAGGGACGAGCTTGTGTTGATCAGGCATGAATGGACAGTGAGAGCATATAGAGCGCATGCACAGACACAGAGACCGAGGTGGACAAAGGAGAGCAGACAATAGACAGGATGAATTCCGGATCAGATGTCGGTGTCTGCATGATTGAAGGAGTTAGTAGCGTAGCAGGGTAAGTAACCAAGGCCTCAGGTTCAACGATCGTTCGCAGAAGTGCAGATGCAGATGCAAGAGCGCGCCATTGTCCTGTCTTGCTGTATACTGGCCTGATGCTATCGAAACGAACGAGAGGCAAGGCGATCGCGAGGCCATAGTGCGCCTGGCATGAGCTTCGAACAGCGGTTTGCTGGTCTGGAGAAGATAGGGATGAACTCGGTAACCGAAAGGCCTTTGTGCACTGTATTCTGTGGTGAGCAAGGACTGAGCGTGTACAGAATGTAGATAGAAGGCATACAATGGCTCGAACCCTGTGCCCAGTGACCGGGCCATTGTCCTATGCATATGGTAACACGTGCACAGGGTTCTGTCGTGATGTTCTACTGTGTCTCACTGAATGAAGAAGCTGAATCAAAAGGCCAGCCTCTGTCACTTCCCTTCCACGTCCTGATATGGAAAGTGAGACAATGAAGGGTGTCTTGCTGGCGTGTCTTAGGGTATATTAGACGGCTAGTTGAGTGAGATGAGCATACCAGTCACTTAGCATCCCCTCGATCCCTCCCGATCAAATCTCGATCAACTCTCGATCGCCTGCCCTGGCTTGTCTGCCGTTCTATAAGTATCTGCGCATTCTTCTACCTCCACACAATCAAAAGGTTTCCCCTTCCCCTTCACCACCACCATCACCATCACCGTCTACAATGTTCGGCAAGTCTACCAAACGCACCTACCCAACCATCACCAAAACTTTCCCCTCTGCAGACGGCACTGTCATCTACGCAGAAGCAACCGGTGACGCACGCAAGCCAGCCATCGTCTTCGTCCCTGGCTTCGCACTGAGCGCAGCCGTCTTCGATCCCCTATTCACAAACGAGAAGCTGTTGGAGAAATACTATCTTGTCCGATACGACCCGCGCGGACATGCCCGTTCAGGCCAACCCGAGTCCCCAGCCGCGTACGAACCGAAGCAGTATGCAGCCGACTTCCTCTCCCTCTGCAGGACGTTCAACCTCCGCCGCCCGCTCTGGGCCGGGTGGTCAGTAGCAGGCACAATCTCGAGCGACATCATCGCCCACCTCGGGCCCTCCGCTGTCTCCGGGTTCGTCTACATCGCTGGCGTCCCAAGCATGGTCGGTTCCGAACCGATGCGGAGCGCCTTCCTGAACCAGTGTGTTGGTGGCCTTCTCGCTCCGGATGCAGCGACCCAGGCAAGGGCATCCCTCGACTTTGTCGACGGGTGCTTTGAACGCCCGGAGCTTGTCAGCTACCAGATGCGCATGTCTATGGTCGGAGCGACGTTTACCCAGTCACCGGCAGCGAGGCTGAACGTCCTCATGCGGAAGCAGGACCCGAGCTTGCTCTTCCGCGCCGGGGCAGAAGGACTCCCAGCGCTGTTCATCATCGGAGAGAAGGATAAGATCGTTGTCCAGGAGGAAGTGCTCAAGGTGCTAAGGCAACACTGGAAGAGGCTTATGGTGCGCGAGGTGAAAGGCGCTGGGCACGCGCCGTTCCTCGAGAACCAGCAGGAGTTTGTCGATAGGCTTGTGGAGTTTGCAGACCAGGTGTGCTAGGCGCACCCCGGGCGTACTCTTTGTTCTCTTTCGACTCGTACTGTCTATTGTCTACTTCCTACTGTCTATCGTCTGTGATCACTCGATCTCTCTGTACAAGCTTGTAAAGGCATAATGTCCCATCGTACATACCTGCATATACACGATTCCCATCCATTTCCCATTCGCCGGCGAGTAGTGGGGACAACCCCGTGGGGTATTGCACGGGCTGTCCAGTGCTAACAAAAAACCTCGCCGGAATCGAGGGCCGTTCTGGAATACTGCCCATGTGCTGGGACACATGGTGGAGAAGTCGGAGGATGGCAGAAGCTGAATCAGTACCACGAAAGAACTAACAAGAACCCTCTAATCATCATACCATCTCGCTTCGTATGACAGCTTCTGGACAAAACCCTACTTGACGTACACGACACAGTGGGATAGGCTGCACAGGATGCATGGCACATCGACCTCGAACTGGATATATACCGGCACAATAACCCAACAGGAGGACAAGACACAGTGCGTACGCTAGATTACCTCGTCTTCTTCGGCTCCTGCATCTCCCCTTCCCTCTCCACTTCCTCCTCTTTTTCCTTCTTCTCGGCAGCACGAAGCAGCTTTACATCCTCCGTCAGCTCTTTCTTGTCGTCTTGTACGCCTTCGACGGTCAGTTGACCATATTCGTTCGCTCGCTTAGGATCGACGCGGTAGATCCATCGCTAATTATCGTCATCGTCAGCCTCCGCCCGCATGCCACGATCAATAGAACAGAACGAGAAAAAGCAGGGAGCAAGACGGGAGAAAAGGGCGCGGGCACGGGCGCAGGCGCGGCATCGCTCACCTGGTACAAAAATACCAAAAACACCACATCGTCCCTAAAGCACGCCAACCGATGCAACCACGGCATCTTGATACAAAACGCGAAAAAGTCGTCCACGACCGTGCCTAGGGTCTTGTAGATCATCGCTTTCATCGGCATGTGCGCGACGGACTTGAGCTTGTAGTTTATGATCAGTTGGGGGATGAGTTGGACCTGTCCGCGTGAGTTAGCGGAGGGCTTTTGGGAGGGGAGGGGGAGGGGACGCACAAATCCAAACATGTAGACAAAGCTCGTCAGCGTGGTGATGACAAAGCTGTACCAGCCACGATGACTCTCGTACATCAGGCTATACGCCGCGTAGCCCACAAGCAAGGGAACTGCAAAGTAGGACACGTAGCGGAAGGCAAGGGCATCGTATTCCTGCGTTTTGCGCTCGTCTTCCGAGAGGACGTGCTTGTCTGTTATCTGCAGCTGGTAGGGGAGGAGCTTGCCTGCGGGAGAGGGGACGAGGGTGATGTCGACTGCTTTCGTTATCTGCCTAAGGGTGAGGAACGTTCCACAGCTCCATATGATCTGAGCGCACGCACCTTCCACGCCTCTATCAGCAGGCCGATGCCCTGACTGCCCAGGATCATCCAGCTCGTCTCGACAGAGTTGTCGACCAAGTATAGCAAGATGATGAGCTGCACTACACAGTTGGTGACGATCGTGCGAACAGAGACGCCCGTGAGCTCGTCCTTCTTCCTCCAATGGGAAATGTCGCTCTTAAATGCCAGGAACTCGAATAGCGTATGCAGGAGGGAGACGATAACGGTCGTGATGAGCAGGATGGGGTTGGTCTCGATCTGCTTAGCGTTAGCGGGTATGGGCGAGGAAGAACGAAGAACGGACCAGCATGCGCTTTATCTCCTCTATCTCTGCCCCGCCTGAACCGGCAGTCTTGCTCTGCTGGTCAAATCCAAACCCTACACTGGCATAAATCTGGAACTGCACCTTTGTCAGCCCTGCCGCTCCTGGAATAAGACGATCAACGGACCTTCATCCACCCCATCGGGTTGAGGGTAATCTTCAGCGGCAGCTCAGGAGTAGTACTATTCACCTCCGTCATATGCTCTTTCAGCAGCCAGAAGTCGTTCGGATAAACAATGGGGTAGAACAAACTGCGCACGTTCTTCTCCGGGTCGAGCGTCCAGGGCGCGAGGTTGACATACGGCGCCAGGGCGGGCGGGAGCCCTCGGGGTTGCACATCTGGGGTTTCGGAGATGAGGGCGAGGGTGAGGTTCGGGTGCCAGTAGGGAACGATGATCTGCGATTTGGGCTGCTGGGGTCAGCAAAGCGCCGTGGCATGGGCGTGGGGAGACTCACGTCGACTTCTTCTTCCTGCTCTGGCTCTTCTTTCTCTTCGTCGGCGTGCAGCAGATTATGCTCCTTTCGAACCTTGCGCTTCGGGTAGTAGCGCGTTAACACTGCGCCTGATCAGCTACGCTCGCACAAGGGACGAAAGCACCCACTCTTGCGGAAATGATACACTTTCTCCTTATCATACGCCGCTGAGCTAGGGTCGGGGGAAGCGTGCGCTTCAGTGGGAAGAACGTATATATCCAGGTACAGCGAGGCATTATGTTGCACGCTCTGCGTCCATCAGCGCTGCCCCATCCTCACGCAAACACACATACCTGGGGGATCCTGATCGTTCCCTCCCACTCCCGTTCCCACTTCCACTCACCCCACTTCACCTGCCAGTCCCAGGAAGGCAAGCCCGCATCAACCCCCGTATGGAGGTAAAAGTCCTCCGGGTCGGTGCTGAGCTGCATGTGTAGGTCGAGCTCTGTGCCGAGGGGCCAGAGAGGCTTGGCGGGGATTATACTGGCGTTTGCTGTCGGGGAGGGAGGGGCGCCGTCTGCTGGTGCTGGGGGTGTAGGGGGCTTGTTAAACCCCAGGAAGCCCATTACTACACCACTATGTTAGTAGATGATGGAGCAGTAAATGCATGCGGCGCACCAGCTTGGGAAGCAAAGTATACGAGAGCGGCGTTCATGATCATCCTCCACATGCTTGAACCGCCCTCTTCTTGCTGTCCCCCCGCCGGGGCTGCAGCAGGACGTGCAGCGGACATGGTGGATAAGACGAGAGTGAGGAGGAGGAGAAGGACGACGACGACGACGACGAGGAGATGTCGAAGGACGTGGAAGGAAATGTTCCTCAGGGATTGCGTACTCTGAAGATGGGATCACGTGGGACAGGCACGTGCGTGTGAGTATATGCAATTGAGTCGCGTTTGTTCCAAAGTGAACACTTCTGACACTCGACGATATGATAGAGACGATTTAGGACAGGGCGAAGTATAACTAGTCCATCAACTCAAACTATGACACATAACATCAACTCGTCCCAACACTCCACCATCTCAGCCCTCACCCCAGAACCAACGCATGAACCACGTCACTACCCCATCAATTCAGCATTCCCTCTTCCAAGAACCTCTGGGCTCACCTAACCACCCCACGAGGATGATGAGTACAAACTGCGCTACAATGCCCACGCTTTAGGTATACCACTGATTCTGTTCTTTTGGTCGTTTGGCTCTGGTACTGCCAGAGGGGTGGGACGGGGTGAGTTGATGTGCTTTGACGCTGAGGACGGAGGTGGGGTCGAGGGAGGAAAAGTGCTGAGGGGTGGATTGGTAGGAGGTTGGTTGGGCTCGGGAGGAGGTGGGTTGGAAGCGGGGCTTGCGTTGGACATGCCTGAGATGTGTAGTGGACCTGCGCCCTTGAGGTCGGCTGTGGACTTGGACGACGGTGCAGACATCCTTGTCTTGAGTGTATGATTATAGGGTGGCTAAGAGGGTGAGGGGCGTATATGAATATTCCAGTGAATGCGAATGTTTCAAATGCATGCCTTAACACGTTCAAATAAGCTCAGAAACACACCAGGAATGCATCATGTGACGTCATCCCCTTCCCCAAGTAGGCGCCCATTCCAGTCAAACCATCCGAGACATTCCGTCCAATAAACCAACCAAAAACTAATACAGATATCTCCACTTACTCCTATTAGCGCGCACAAGCTCGATGCTTACCCCTTCCAACTCTGCTGTCCTCCTCAGCTCCTCCTCTTCTTCCTGCGTCTCCATCGCCCCCGCTACCCTCTCCCCCCTATCCATCCTCTCGTTCTCTTTCTTCAAATACGTCCTCAACACTACGACCATAATGATGCTCGTCCCGAACATCGCTAGGCAGATAGCGAAGCTGTAGTCATATGTCGGCCCCCAATTACTGGGGAATACGTATGAGCCAGCAACGTTCCCCAGCTGGGAGAAGGCGTTGATGAACGCGAGCGAGACGGCGCGTTTTGCGGGTGGTCGGGGGAGGGTGTTCGATAGCCAAGCGAAGCAGACGATGTACCCTGCGTACGCCTGGGCCATGAGGAAGCTAGCCTTTGTCAGCCAACCTCGAAGACAACATATCACACGGTAGGAGAACGCACAAGCTTACATAGCGAGCAGCGGTGTTCGTCGTGCTCAGGGCAATGATAAACCCTATAATGCCTAGGAAGAGCGGGCCGCTGATGTGCACCGCCCGCTCGCCGGTCCAGTCCGCGTGTCGGGCGATGACGAACGCTACGATGACTGCGAATGCCCATGGGGGCGCTACAAGCAGGAGGGAAACGGTGGTGTTGTACCCGAGCGTGGCGGTCAGTGCTGCACTCCTCAGCTGCTGTCTCCCCTCCAAGTATTCTGGAAACACTCACTCGCTGGAAAACGTCAGCCGTGCTCCTGGAAGAGGAAAGAGCACCCACGAAAATAAGCGTTAAAGCTCAGTCCTACAACTTCAGCAGTCATCATACACGCCAAGAACCAGACTTTCCAATCCGTCAACGCGAGTACCAAACCCCTCAGCTGGCTCTCTCCCTTGCTCGCATCCTCGTCCGCCGAGCCACTAGCATCCTCCGCCATCCTCCATTCTGCCAGCTTCCTCTCTTCCTCCGAGAGCCAGCTGGTCGTAGCCGGAAAATCAGGAAGGATGAATATAGCGCATACAGCGACAAACATCGTTAGCGCTCCCTCGATATAGAATAGCCAGCGCCAGGCTGCGTGCCCTAGGGCACCCTGCATGCCGGAGAGGATCCCGGCGGCGATCAGCCCGCCAAAGGCGTTGGAGATGAGGTTGCCACAGTAGAGGATCGCGGTTCGGAAACCGAGTTCTTTGCGGGTGTACCATTTGGAGAGGAGGAAGAGGGCGCCGGCTGCACGAGCCCCAGGGGTTAGGAGTTGTTGATCCAGGAAGGGGAGGGGACGTACGGAAGAACGCGGCTTCGACGAACCCCAGGCTAGGACGATTAGTACTAGGGAGGAGCACAACGCAAGAGAACGCACAAGAACCGAGTCAAGAGCGCGCCCGTAAAGTTCGTCGTTATCCCCGTGAGCACTGAGATCATACCCCATATGATCATACAACACGGTAAGTAGATCGACGGTTTTCCCATCCAGTTCAGGATCATGTTCCTGCGCATAACCAAGCGTCAGCGGCCTAACCTGCGGAGAGGGAGGGATGGGAGGACGTACGACGGCACTTGCATGATGATGTACCCTACATAGAGGATTGATAGCAGCGTGGCGAATTGGTTGTCTACCAGGCCGAGGTCGGCTTCGAAACCTTTCAACCTTGCCGCTCTTTTACGAAGATCAACACCAACAAGCTCAACAGGGCAAGTACACGCACGCAGCGTTGTTCCTGTCGATCTAGCACAAGTCAGCAACGACCAATAAAAGTGTGGAAAGGCGCACATAGTTAAGGATATAGATGACGATCAGGATACTCATCCTCAAATCGATCTTCCACAGCAGCCCCTTCTCCAGATGGATCCTCTTCTCCCTCCCGCCAAACTCACGGTCCATACGCTCTTCGTCGCTCAGCTTGCTGTCGCCCCCCAAATCAGGGGAGAGCTCCCTCCCCGTAGGCTTTGTAGGCTCTTCCGCCGCCTCAAGAGCGGCCGGATGTGGGTCGACATGTTCGAACGAATGTTCCTGCGCATTCATGGTCGTATTACTCCCTGAAGGGTAGTCAAATTCAGGTCGGCGTTGTCGTCGTCGGGTTCGTAATCGCACTCGTTCGTCAAAGCACGTCCTTCAAGGCTTGAAGAAGAGATGAGTCTGTAAGCGTGGTCCGGTCCCAGGAGCCGACGAAACAAGTTCGGCCAGCGCATCTCTGCCCAAAGTCATTTATGGGAATCGGAATCGGGTTGCTCCGAATCCAGTACTGCCCCTTCCGAGCGTTCGGTACGGACCTGACACAAGGCACGCCTGACTCTGGAGCCGGGAATCTAAAGATTGTGGAACGTCACGGGATACCTGGGAAGATTGGAACGCTCTACGAAGCAGGGGGAGCCATGAGGTAGTCGAAGAAGAAGAGAGGCAAGCGCGCAAGACCCGGAGCAGGAGAAGCGCGCGTCATGCGGGGCGCTATTCAGTTGGCTCAGGGTGCGGAGAAATGCGGAGAAATGCAAATGCGGGGTTGTGAGGGGTGGGAGTTTGACGGGAGCAGGGGCTCTGAGTTGGGGATTGAGTGACAGGAGGACGTCACCGCCTGAGGAGAGATGGGATGGAGCACGCTTGGCGGGCGTCAGCGCCGTCAACAACAAACCAATTTTGACGTGGATGGAGAGAGAAAAACCCGCAGAAATCGCAGAAACCGGAATTGGAGCACGAGGCAAGTGGTTTACAGACGCCAGTCCGGTCAGAAGCACCGGGTTCGGCATATCGACATCCCGTCCCGCAGCGCACGGACACCTACGTGGGAGATCTTGATGCTGACTAGATGAAGTATACCGGACCGATTCGCCTAAACGTTCTTGAATTCCTTTGGGAGATTAGGGTACAGAGATGCGGAGAGGTAGATTATTTGATCTAACAAACAAATGAGGTGTGCGATTGTTCAGGAGCGATCTATTTGCTTTTCGATGCAGTGATCCCCGCGAGAGCCTAATAACCAGTCAGGGAAAATTCGGAAAAGATAAGCAAAGAACGGAAATCCACGCACCTCCTTAGTGAGCACATATATCCTCCTCTGGCCAACGAACAGTATCGCAGCTGTAAGCACGCTCTGGAGGAGCTTGCTCCCCATCCCCCTGTACAATCCCCGGACACCTTCGTCTTGCAAGATCTTGAGAAGGGCGTGGAGTGAGGATTTCTGGGTTGACGCCTGGGTGCCGGATTGTTGGCGGGATTTGAGCACGATCTGCGTTTGGTTAACGACCATCGCTCTCGATGAAGGGCATGCAAAGAGGACGCACATAAGGATAAGTAGCCGAAGTAGCGACTTCCCATTCTATCAGCCAGGCTCAACAAGCCGGAGAAGGCCAACTCACAGAGCTTGGAAACCGCCCCGAGCCAGAAGAAGTCCCAGTCTGTCAACCCTGCGGCCTGTGCGCTCCCCCGTGCACGAAGAATAACCTGCCTCCTCGCCACGATGAGATTCTTCAGCTGCTCAAAGGCGGTGTACTACAAGCCGCAACTCGTCAGCTCCAACTTATTGTGCCCACTCGGGACAGGAGAAGGACGACCAGGACGAACCTGCAAGATAGGGTTGATAACGAGCACCAAGGCAGGCCCTACACCTCTCCAAAACGCCTGCAAGCCGTCCTTGTTCGCTATCTCCATCGCGGTCTGGATCATCCCCGCCGTCTTCTTCTTCTCCTGCTTCTTCCCCTCCGAGCCTTCTGTCGCTGCGCCCGAAGGGGCGGAGGCCGTACGCACTGCTTGGGTCGTCTGGATCACCCATATCGGGTTGGAGATTATCGTTGTTGACGCGCCTTCCCAAATCTTAGTACTAGGAAGACATTTACGCATGGAGAGGACGTGCCGGCAACCAATCCCGTAAGCATTGACTCCAAGGTGGAGAGAGCCTTGCTCCCCCTGCCTTTGGTGATAGCGCTCTTCGTAAGCTCGTAATAGTAGTAGTATATCCTGCTCGTGTTAGCTGGGCTTCGAAAGAGTGGAAGTAAGAGCATACCCATTAGCGACGGCGATTCCCAGCAGTGAACTCGTAAGGCCCGAATAGATACCCGTGACGCCCTCTTCCCGCAGTACTTTCTTCAAGACCTCGAGTGTCGTCTACCGACAAACATCAACATCAACATCGCACCAGCGTCTTACACGGCCAGAATAAACGCACCCTATGCGAGTTCTTGGTCTCTACAGCAGCGCGGGTTGAGAAGAATATAAGAGGACTGCGACGGTCAGCAAGTTGAGCTGGACATGAGGCCGAAGGGCGCACTAGGTTAGTGACATGGCTACCACTCCTCCTGCGGCGCCGGCGACGGCATGGATCATTGAGTCGGACATCTTTCAGTAGTTGGTATTTCGTATGAGGGTGATGGTTGATAGAGCAGGACAGTGAGGACAGATGTCCTGAGCGTGTATGGGAGTTGACAGTTGGCAAGCAACACACGCCCGGTAACCGCGGGGTGTTCATAACCGGCATGTCATTACCATTTTGACACTGGCCGCCGGTGTCCAATCCCCTCCAACGTCCTCAACGCATATCTATCTATCATACAGTCTATGTCCACTCATCCCGGCCAGCTCTAATTACAGTTTCCCCTTCGCCCTGGCTCGGATCTCCGCACCCTTGAACCAGATCCATATGGGGAATGGCACGCCAATGACGAGCCCTATGCCGGCGAGCAAGCTGTTTCCCCCTCCCTCTCCCAGCGCTGCGAACATTTGTTCTGCACATATCAGCCAGGGACAGCAGTGCACCAGGAGTGGACGTACGACCAAACAAGGGGAACGCGGACCCGAATATGCTCCTGAACACCGTTGCGGCCGCCAGAGCGCTCGCGGCGTACTGGAAAGTATCGATGATGTACACTTGGATAGGGAAATACGTCAGCATCATCCCACAACAGAAGAGGCCGCTGCCGATGATGGGCAGGATCCAGTGGGCGTGGGCTTGTGCTGCCCAACCGTACCACACTGTCGGATGTTAGTGGTGAGCCGGGTGGGTGAGGGAGGGAACGTACGCAGGCCGATGGGCCCTAGGGCAGCGCCGATCCAGACGACGGGAATCCGGTACTCAGGCAGGCCGACACCGTTGTTCCTGTCACTCAGCTAGAGCACGTTAGTTGACTAGCCGTCGTGGTACTGGCTGCACTCACTGTGGAGTAGATACGGTCCATCAAGCCTGCTGCGAGCATCGTACATGCGAAGAAACCGATGCCGGGCCCGAGGTAAGCCAGCCCGGATACGCCCGGGCTCCAGCCGTAGACGTTTGAGTACAAGTCGGGGAAGGTGGTGAACAGCAGATAGAGAAAGCCGTATTGCCTGTTCCAGTGTGAGCTAGATCCCCGCATAAGAGTGGACTGGGCGTACACGGCCATGTACAGACTGAGGGAGAAGCATATCAAGCTCGTGAACAAGATCTTCATAGGCCGGACCATGCTCTCCCTCAAGAATTCCCATCTGTTCTTGGCGGCTCCCATCATGTGCACATGTGTATGCGCGAGCGACGGGTCTGCCTTGGCGCGTCGTTCGAACCTGCGTCGGAGGATCACAGGCGCATACGTCTCCCGTAGGAAGGGCAAGCCCAGTGCAGCCCCAACCCCGGCTGCGATAGCCAACAACCAGGAGATCCACTAGGCCACTCATCAGCACTCGTTCACGGGCAACGGGCAAACGCACCCGTAAGCCGATGCTCTGCACTACGAACCCTCCAGCGACGGGACCGAGCACTGGGCCGAGAACAGGCCCGAGCGTGTACAGTGCCATGGCGCTTGCTCGCTCCCGCTCATGGAACAGGTCTGCTATTACTCCACCGCCAATGGCGAGCGGGGCGCTGCCACCTAATCCCGCTGTCGGGGGATTAAATACGGGTTTCCGCCTTTCGGGACAAGAGCTCACCGAAGAAACGGAATACGATGAATGACGACATGCTCGGTGCCCAGGCACAAGCAAGCAGGAAGACAAGGAAGAACAGGTTAGACCCGTGCAACACCCATCGACGGCCGTACATCTCGCTCAAAGGTCTGAATTATCGTCAGCTGCCTGTCTGATGCCTCTTCCGGAAAACTCACGCGAGGAACAGCGGTCCGACTGCGAAGGCGAGCACGTAGATACTCAAGCTCAGCCCGATCAACGTCGGGCTGTCGTCGCCGTAGTCCTCTCCCAGAATGGGAAGCCCGGGAGCCTATTCATCCACATCAGAAGCTACCCCACACAACCTACAGCAGAAGCACAAACTCACCAGCATGCTACTCGCCAGCGGCGCAACGAACGTGTAGTAGGAAGTGATGCCTGCCGACATCCATTTCACGACGATCGTCCAGTTGCGCGGATTGTCCGGGTCTGTAGGCGAGTCCCAGTCTAATTTCTTAGGTACAGGAACATGTTGTTCCGCCTTCTCGAGGTCAACCTCCTTTACGGTACCGACCTCCTTTACCGCACCGACCTCCTTTACCGCACCGACCTCCTTTACCACACCGACCTCCTCGCCCTCGGCTCCCTCGACTCTCCCAGGAGCGCGACTAGGGACTGGGGTGGGAGAGGGCGAACGCGACGCTTCGAGCACTAGCTGCGAGCCATATTCTGAATGTGCGATCCCTTCTATGAGTGCGGCCCCCGTAGGATCGAAGGTATGCTCGGCGGTGCGCTCGTCTTCTGTGAGCTGGGGTGCTGGGTGCGTCGGATGCGTCGACATATTGTTCGTCTACCTTGCGTCTTGCGTCTATCTTGAACCCAGAGAATGTGAGATGGCTTTGAACGGACGCAGCCCAGAGAAAAAAAGAGATAAAACGAAGAGACAAGCACTATACGGGCCTTCATCCTCACATCTACCTTGCGATGCTCGTCCACGCCCCATGTTTGCCCCACTTCCTCCCATCCACGGTTGATTACCTAGGGTCTGATTATGTCAACGCGGACTTTGGAACCCGCGATGGTGCCCAGACGATGAAACGCCCGCAAAAGCCGGGGCCGGGACTCCGTTGGATAATTGAAGAAGCGGCCTTCAGGGACAAAGGAGACCGGGGCGAGCCCTGAGACACTGTTCGTTGCGGGGCCGGTTGATGCCGACCACACGCCAAGACATGTGTTGGACAACATAGTTGCATTTTGTTGTTAAAACAGAATGTAGGTATCGACATAGGACGCACAATGATGAGCTTCTGCAAGGATGATCATATCCACTTCCTCGATTGTTCGTACTCTGCCTGCTTGACTTCTTCAGCGAGTGTAAGGGGTCTGTGCATGCCACGCTCGTCCACGCCATACAGGTTCCCGTCGACTGATATGTATCGCATTTGTGCCAGCGTGTCATCCGGCGCCCATTTGACACTCCTTCCTGGGGTCAGCGTTAAATTTACCTGATAAGGATAATGTCAGATGCCTATTGAAGAAAACGAATAAAGCTCACGCACACGATCCGTGGACGGCTGGCGCAGGATTCCTCGAAGGGGCAGTACCTCGGAGCTCTCAGAAGAACATTCATCGAAGTCCTCTTCTTCAACTTGGATGTCGAGAGTCCAATCTGGCAGGTGAAGCTCGGGCAGGAGGGTTCTCGTCTGGACCATAATCAGCTCACAACAGGGTTTTCCTGAAACGACTGTACCTCCTGCGAACAAATATTTGTCATGCTTCGTAACGCATCGTGACAAACTGCCAAGGGTGTCAAATCTTCCGTTGAAGGAGCTATATCCATAGTGGCAGTCCAATCCTGCCCATGGTTTCGTCTGCGATTATGAGGATACGTTAAGGACTCGACTGATCTGTTCGCGATCGTATGCTATGCCGTCAGAATCCGTGGCGGGGAACTAGAGGAGATGTCTTACTTTGGTCAGGTGCGACAGCTGCGATGTGAGGGATGTATTTCGGCTTCGTGTGGTGCTTGGTGTTCCGAGATTATCAATCCACGCATTGCAAGTCCTCAGATCAAAGGTGCCGGGCGACGCGTTGGATCCAGGGACGAGGGGGAATGGATATATGCGCAGATTTGTACAAGGCAAGGAAATATGCGACTTACGTCGGATGAGGTGAGCAGAATACTGTGGCGTTTCGGGGGAATGGATAGATACAGAAGACGAATGAGCAATATCAGCGATCCGGGGAAAAATGAGGGATGCGGTATCGGAGGTGGGTGAAGACATAGTGTCTTCGCGATCGGATGGTGGGGCTTTGCCCTCAAAGAAAAGCACAGCTTCCGGTGCAGGAGTGAAGGGAGACGACAGTGTGCTAACTGGAAGAGGTGGTGAAGCTTTCTGTTGTGCTGGGGTATATGGAGGCGTAAGAGGCATGTCAATACCAATGGAAGGAGAGATCGCGAGGACAGAGCGACAAACGGCTTCCGAATTCTCGCAAGAAATGTCGGCTAAGGGAGGAGTAGTAGGCGCATTAGAAGCATCAGAATGAACAGGCTTTTCGAAGGGTTGTTGAGCTTGCGGCACAGTTAGGCATGGAGGAATGCGTGCAGCGACATCAATGACCTCAATAGGTGACAAGAGCAGAGGCGCAGAGTTTAACGGCTGAGGTTCTGGGAACATCCGATCGTAGACATCGGAGAGTCGCGAACTCGAACGCGTGAATTGAGGTCTCGAGAGTAGGTAAGATGGGTATTCAGCAGAAGTGAAACTGGGCGGAATGTCAGCTATTCGTCTTCTCGTACGCCCAGCGTACTGACAATTCAGGTCGAAAAGTCTGCAAGTTATATCCTCTCAGCACGGCGTCCACGTCGTCTAGCCTATTTACGGCCTTCTCGGCCTTCTCGCGTGTGGTCAAGAACGATGTTAGAGAGGACAGGCAATAACAAGACCGCGGCTTGGGAATACACAGCGCCAGATACTTGCCAGCCGCATGACAATTAGAGGCGCATATATCCGGCTCAGAGGCGACGACGCGCATGATATCTACCCGGAAAGTGATTTCGGTATTCCAAATTGTGCGTTAAGCTAGAAAATTTCGCAGAAAAGCCCTTTAGGTGCGTGTCCAGGTTTCAGCCCCCGGGGCTTGAAGATTAACAGAATCAGAACACACAATAGGCAGATTTGTTCGTTCACAGCAGACCAGAAATAATCGAAGTGGCGGGCCTTCGACCAGACCAAAGGGGATCACAGAGAGCAACGTGTTTACGGTTAGCAAAAGAAGTGGTGGTACGGAACAAAGTGCTCGAGTGGCCTTCCGGTGCTGGCGTCGGTACTGCCACCATAATCGCATCAAGACACGAGGCGCGCTGGGCCTTTGTGCTCCCTCTTACCTCAACTTCCTCTTGGTTCCATTGTACACCAACTGTAGCTTAAGATGGAGAGGGAAGTGGAGCAGTTAATGGAGATGGTAAGCTTGCAATGTCGTCCTCTCAGCTCGGTTCTTACCGAGGCATGGATGGACTTAGGGCGCGACGCGTGCCCAAGCCCGCGCTGCTCTACGCAAGTGTAAAGACGTCATGGACGCAGCAGAGAAGATATTCTCTGGTATGAGATGCGCATATGCGCCGAATTACGTTTGCTGAATCTGTGATAATAGGGGAGTTCGACGATGTCACAGATGCAGACGAGGTCGCCGCCGAAGAAGTGAAGAAGCCACAAAGTCGAAAAACCGCCGCCGCTCGGCCCCATGTGAGTATCATATCCTTTCTAGGGTACTCGTCATTGATTTTATGCAGACTCCAGAAGAAGAAGAAGGTCTATACGGTGAGGAAAGCGGAGATGAGGAGGTTGTAGCAGGGGAGGAAGACGAAGGTGCGTGTCACATGCGGCGACTTTGGGCTGTCGGTTCCTATATGCGCGATACTGACGTGTCTTCACTCCCATAACTTCAGATATGGATTACTACGACGATCTTGAGGAGATACTGAACTCTGACGTTCGAAGAACTGGCGAAGAGATCGATCCTTATGCAGGTGTGTGACTCCCCTTCAACGGTCACGTATCTGCCTAACAAACAACAGGCATCTTCTTCTCCAAGGATCGCAAGGAGGAAGTCATAGAAGTGGAGGAGACACCTGAACAGGTCACCCTGCATCCCTCACCCGACAATCCACAAACCCTTGTTCTGATGACTCAGGGGGAGTGGATGAAAGGATGTCCGGAAGGCGGCGAGCAAGGCTTGCTATTTGGCCTTTGGAATGATCTGCAAGCACCATCCGTCAAGTGCCCAAATAAATGTGACAACAACTTGTCACGAGAGAAGGGCATGTTCACAGCTATTTGGGTACGTTGGCTCCTTTGCATGTCGTTGACTCTGGATTCATGTTTGGCAGCCGGATTTCGAACACTATGTCTCTTATTTGAGGTCGCATGTTCAAGCAAAGTGCTCCTCCTGTTCCGCGGAAGTTTGTTTGGCATGTGGCGAATTGGCGACCTCATCGCGCCTAGACAAACCGAAACGGAGAGATGGCAACCCCCCCGATCCCCTATTCCATTGTGCGGAGCTGCAAGGTATGGTGCTTGGCATGGGCCTGTCGATGGTGGAGAAGATGTTTGAAGAGCAAGTCCGCGAAGCACAGCAGGAACAACAGGAAGATGATAACGAGGAAAACAAGAGTAGGAAGAAGCGGCGGGTGACAGGTGGGGCATCAGCGGTATCGCATATCATCGCTGGTGCCGAGTCAAGTACTGCAAGCACGGACGAGGATGGCGAAGAGGAGTATCTATTTGGCGTAGCGCAGGCTGGTCGAGGGAAAGGAAAGCGAGCACCGTCGGGAACCGGATACGGTGGCGGCAAGGAGGATGCGAGTTTCCATTTATTGTTAGCATGCATCGCTTCTCACATGACTTTTTTCAGCAAAGCGGTATTCTTGCTGCACTTGAAGCCCAGTGTGCAAGAGACACTAGAATCGGCACTCTCCTGTCCCAAGTTCGCGTTTTTCTCCCATCGCTGGCACGAAGTCCAGATGCTGAGACATCCGATTATCTTCCTCATCCTACTGTCCTAGTGCATGTCCGGCGTCGTTTCAATGCCGTCAGTAGTGCTCTGTTGCGAAATGACTCCCTCGCCGATATGAGTGATCGACAAGTGCTGTACTTTGAGCTTCTTGAATGGCTGGAGGTATGTCAGTTGTGTTCAGATCTTAACCCATATGTATCATTCCGCGACAGACCGTGTCGAACCACGAAGCACTTGCGTCCATTATGGGCATGCCGATCATGATGCCCCAGACTGTCACTTTCCTCCTAGCTCGTCCTGGCTCAACGCAGATCCGCGAGAGGAAGCTTGTCTATGAAGGCTCGGCTGGGCCACGAGAGTTACTGGAAGCCATTGCCATCCAGGCGCGGGCCGCAGTAAAAGGTTGGGAAAGCACAAAGAAGAAGGTACAGGTGAAGACGGAGATGACCGAAGCCGAGAAACGCAAGACAGGCGGTGCCCCTGTGGAAGAGCGTCTCCGAATAAACGTGAAGGGCAAGGAGAAGGAGAAAGCGGAAGAAGCTCGGCTGTTTACCTTTTGCAACCGAATCCTCGCAACCGCCGATGCTATCGACAAGGCGTTGCGCGACACGAAAGGTGCTGCATTCCTGCAACGGCTGCACGATTCCCTACCAAAGGCCCCCTGGGAAGCATCTTTGGACCAGGGCCAACTACGACTCTCCCCCAATGCTACTGATGCGGAGATACGCACGATGTACGAGGACTGGGCGAATCGTGTCAACTTCCAGTATTGCGACCTTACGATCGAGAACGAGGATACCGGCGAAACGCCGAACTTCAAGAGTGTGTTTAATAATGACGCGAGAGGACTGGCCGGTGCCGATATGCCGAGGCGGAGTCTTGCCATTGCGAAGGAGGTAGGTGCCGTGATCTGTCTTTGTGAGATACTGCTCATGTGAACGCAGCTGGCTGTCTTATCAACCAACCTGCCTGTAAACTGGAATTCTAGCATCTTCTTACGGGTCGATGAGAGTCGAGTCGATGTCATCAAGGCTCTGATTACCGGACCAGAAGGAACACCTTACGAGAACGGATGGTACGTACTTCCCCTGCCCCAGTCTAGCTGCTCATTCATGTATGCTACAGCTACGTGTTTGACATCTTCCTCGGTAGCAACTACAACATGGCTCCGCCTTCAGTGAAATACCTGACAACCAATGACGGAAAATTCCGATTCAATCCTAACCTATATGCTGTTAGTCCATTTCTTCCCCGTTTCTCCAGGTAGCCTGACAGACGATCAGGATGGGAAAGTCTGCTTGTCCTTGCTGGGCACATGGCAGGGACCGGGGTGGAATCCCGGCAAGTCAACCTTACTCCAAGTCCTCATCTCGATCCAGTCCATGATACTATGTGACGAGCCATACCTGAACGAGCCAGGCTGGGAAGCGCAGCGCGGCACCGCAGCGTCAGGCCGATGTGCGCGCATTCCCCATCTGCCATCTGCGTAAAGACTGACCCCGACATGTGTAGATTCTGCAAACGTCCGCCGCATGGTCGTCCACACGGCCATGATGGGGAATCTGAAGAACCCACCCGAGCCGTTCGGGGATGTCATCCGCACTCATTTCCGGCTCAAAGCGCGCAGTCTGCGCACACAGCTCAACAAATGGCTTGCTATGGACGACGGTGTACCGGTCAGCGAGGCAGCGGTGTTGGCTCCCACGAAGAAGGATGCTGCGAGCCCGACATGGGCGGAAGGTAGCCAGAGTGCGATGCGGGGATATGTGGATGCGTTCAAGATGATGCTTGATGAGCTGCAGAAGGAGGAAGTGGGAACTGATTCGTGATTCGTGATTCGACTCTTATATTGGAACCTGGATTACCCGAGACACTGTGTATATCACACCTGTATTCCTTTCAACAACCTCCACTGAGGCAATAATGAAATGCAAGCTACACACACTAACCAGAAGCAATGACGGTGTTACGTTACCACATTAGGGAATTCCTCAGTTGCTCCCGTTCGCCGCCGTGAATGCGTAACCGCCGAAATTTCCCTTCCCACTTCTTGCCTCTGCTCAGTGCACCTTCACCTCCAACAACAAAAGCAGCAAACATGGACCTCTCCTCCCTCTCCCCAGCCGAATCAGCCCAGATGCAGCGCATAATCGAGCGCAAGCAGATGCAGGACTTTATGCGACTGTACTCCGGCCTTGTGGAACGGTGTTTCACTGGCTGCGTGAATGATTTCACGAGCAGGGTGTTGACGAATAAGGAGGTGTGTGATGGGTCCTTTTGCTCTTTTTGTTTGTTTTTGGATCTGGAGGATCCGGGCACAACTCTGAGTGGTTGTTGTGGTGCAAGGAACTTGCGGAGTGCGGTGCTGTTGTTGCGGTTGCGGTTGCTGCACCGGCTGGGACTTGTCTGCGCCGAACTCATGATCGAACTTCGAACTCTGGATACAGGCCGGATGTTCGAGGCCCGAGCCCTCCTTGATTCAGGAGCAACTGGACTGTTCATTGATGTCGGATGCAGTGTGCAGTGTGCTAACCAAGATCGAACAGGAAACATGCGTCCAGAACTGCACCGACAAGTTTTTCAAGCACTCCGAGCGTGTGGGCGCTAGGTTCGCAGAGCATAACGCCGGTGCGTCTTCATCCTCCGCTCTTTGCATACATAGGCGAGGGACGGGTAAACTGTGCAGCGCTGATTGAGGGCAGATATGATGCAGCAGGCACAGCATGGTCGTTGAGCCTAGCCGTTTGCCTTTCCCCAATTTCCACGAGTCCTGGGGCGTTGGAAGCTCGAGCTCTCGGTACTATTACTGTACTCCACCAGCAGCGGGAAGGGAGCAGGTGGATCGGGGTCGGGAGAGGATCTTGAACTATCACTAGCTGGTTGGCGGGCGCACGAGTCCCTTGTCACTTGTGTACGGGAGTACGAGGTCCGTGCGTGTGGATATACGAGTATAATGCAGTGCTTTCTACTTGACTTGGTGTGCACTCAGATGACGGTACATCTCCGATGGCCCTGCTCATACGAAGGGAATACGACGTGACAGTCCTGATACTACTGTGGTGTCTGGCGCCTTTCCTCCTGCACTCGGAGCTCGATTACCATCCTCCCAGGGAAGTACCAAACTTGTGGACAGAGATGTCCGTTCTTGGTTTTGGCCGTGTTCCCGCCGGGTGATGGGTGAGGTGCAATGAAAGGGGGCGCACATACCTGTGATGCACAGTTGGGTGATGTTTGTGAAGTAATATGATAGGTAGATGAATCAGTGATCGAGGTATGCTGTCTTAGTCTTGTATTATTATTGTGTCACTATGAAAAGTACATTCCTCGGAAGTTGCCGGGACATCTCCCACTATACACAATCCAACCCGCCATTCACCGTTCACCGCTCTCCCTTCTACCGCCCATTCATTCCCTCCTTATCACCATGGCAGGAATGTACCGTTTCTCAGACGGAGAAGCAACACCAAGCCAGAAAGCAGCTCTCGTCCCCAGCACCATCTCCAACCTAGCAATAGAAGTCCATTCCCTCACCTACGCATTCCCCCACACCCCGCCTGCCTTGCGCGACCTCACCCTGCTCGTCCAGCCCGGACAGAGGATCATCCTCATCGGAGCGAACGGCGCGGGGAAGAGCACGCTTTTGCAGTTGCTTGCGGGGAAGAGGCTGACAAAGGAGAGCATACATGTTTTGGGAAAGGACGTCTTTCATCAAGGGAGTCAAGTGCGTTACCTGATGTCTTTATGTCACGTACTTGAACTGGATATATGCTTACATCTTGTGTTGCAGGGAGTCACCTTCCTCGGTACGGAATGGGCTTCCAACCCCGTTGTGAGATCCGACATCCTCGTATCTACATTCCTCGACTCCGTAGGTGGATGGAGACACAAAGAGCGTCGAGATCGTCTCCTAGACCTGTTAGACGTCGACCTAGACTGGTATGTTCCCATCCCGTCCCTCATCTCATTCCATCCCCGTATATGCCTAACCGTGGAATAGGCACATGCACGCCATCTCCGACGGCGAGCGAAGGCGTGTACAGCTCTGTATGGGTCTTATGGCTCCTTGGGAAATGTTGCTCCTGGACGAAGTGACGGTAGACCTGGACGTGCTGGTCCGACATCATCTACTCGGGTTCTTGAAAGAGGAGAGCGAGCAAAGAGGGGCTACTGTCATCTGTCCGTCCCGATCCTATTCTAGTCTTTCCCTCCATGCACTCATAGTTGCCCCTTTTCGGGGGGTGGACAGACGCGACACACATATTTGACGGACTGGGCAGTTTCCCGACGCATATCGCCCACCTACACCTAGGCACTCTGACAACCGCAGCGCCCATCCCCTGGCCTATCCCTCCCGGTCACCCTGGGCTGCCCCTCAAGCTGCGGAGCACTTCAGAGCCGTATGGACTGTGGGACCTCGCCCTTGCTTGGCTGGAAGAAGATCGGGAGAGGAGGATACGCGAGGGGGAGAGGGCGCGCAGTGGGAGTGGGCGTGGGGGGAGGGCGGGACAGAGGGGCGCGAGGAGGGAAGAGGTCGAGAGGGATAGCGAGGCGTTTTATAAGAAGTATGTCGTGCCTTTCTTCCTCAGTTTTGTGAGTCGGAGCGGGGCTAACGAATACTAGGTACGACTATTCGCATTGAACCAGTCATGCCGGGGAAGGATAGAAGTGAAGAGTAGGAGGATAGCGGGCCTTCAACGGCACCTTGGGGCACTCAACATGTCCCTGCTATCTGGTCATATCTTCAGGAGGCGAGGAGGCAAGGCTGACCCTGTACACTAAACGAGTACCTCATCTGTACTGTATGCATTCAACAACCGCATTAGATACCGTCAAGAATCGGAAACCAGTTGTTACTGAACGACCATATAGACCATTATTATTGGCTAAACGAAGGAATGTTCGTAAGACCATTCCCGCTGTCACTAGCAATAGCATGACTCCTGAGACATGTTCGACACTAATTTCGGAGGAAGTAGACGGTAGGAATAGGATGTCCGGGATAATTCATCATACAGAAAAATCGCCCAAATTGCTACGTCTTTTTCCGTATTCTCGTGGCGTCAATCACATCGTTTTCTAATTTGAGACATCAGTGAAAATAGGAAAGAAGACTAGGGTTGGGATCAGAAATTGCCCAGATTAAGGGGTATGTCAGAGGAGTCTGAAATTACTCCTTGATGGAAATGGACAGTTTATCAACGAAGCTAACGCAGTACTCGTCGTCATCGTAGCGCCCGCGGGAAACTCGCTAATATTCACAGCCCACGTGGTGCAAATCCGAGGACACAGCCTCCTAACACAAGTTGGGGTGTGCTTCTTTTCCGCACCGGCTGTCGGGAGATGTACGATAAAACGGCGACTTACGACTCCCGAACCGATCTCTCGCAATTTGAATCCCGGCGGCGCTGCTGCAGTACTCGGTACTCGGCGCTAATAATGCTCTCTAGATAAATATTGGCTCGATGTCTTTTAAAATGTCCTGTCAACCATCTGTTCGTCTGTTAGTCTGGTTTCCCATAACTTAAACTCAAGCACACACGACACATCATGAACTTTTCCACTATATTTAATCGGGCTCTATGTCGCTTAGGCAGATCCCGCACATGCAACCGCAATGACGGTCCACACAAGATGCTGCACATCGACGATATTATGCAATCGGTGTACGAGGAATGCGACGGCAAAACGCTATCTGCCATGGCTCAGACGGCAAAGATCTTCTACCCTTTGGCAATCCGTGTGCTCTGGGCCAGAGCTTACGAGATCGACAAACTTGTCGATGTCGCTGCGGAACCCTTGACTCGCTTATTACTCGGGGAGGAGATTGTATGCGAGGTGCCTTCTTGACTTTTTTCTGATCTCATCTGTAATCAGATTCCCGAAAACCATCGGTTCCAGGTCGAGCGGCTACGGTATTGCATCTCCTCGACTCGCGCACTGCGCATTATCTTCGAGCAGCAGACGGAGGCAGTACCCAAAGAATCCCCAATGTATGACCTAACCAATCGCGCGATTGATTCAGCCAAACGTCTGTTGCAGGCACTTTCCCGTCCCGGCGCATGGGAGTCGATCACCGACGTGGCCCCGCGGTCAACCACCCTTGGTCTTTTCCCGAAACTGAGGCTGCTTCGCCTTCAGTGCTACTCCGCAGCTCATTTCGAGCTCGGCAAACAGGTTCTGTGCGACTGTCTCATCAGTCTAGAAGTTACCCTGGAATGGGACATGTCTCCAGAGGAAGCCGAGGCCGCCATGGATACAATCGTGGAGCGATGCCCAAACCTTAGACATCTGGATGCGCGTCTCTGGCAGCTCCAATCCGTCAAGATGCTAAGACGCCTTAAGCTCTGGACTCTGGCTATATCATATCCATTTATAACAGAAGCGGAAATCGACGTTCTGGCCAGTCTAAAGACAGTACGACATCTGTCAGTCTTGGCCGAATCCGACGATCCGCAAATCACGTTCAAGACCGCTGAACACCCCATCGCCTCGGATCAAAACGGATCTTTAGACCATTTGGAATCACTCATAATCAGGACAGGAGACTCGTTGTATCTCTGTCTGATCATGATCCGCCGATTACAGGAGCACAAGCTCCGGAATTTGCATATTGACGCCGAGTGCATCGACGATCGCTGGGTGCGCGCATGTGTAGAGGCAATCCCTGAACATTGTCGTCGGCTGACGTCCTTATACTTGCACCTGAGGACGCAAAATTCCGAGCTGAAGCCCGGAGAACAGCGGAATTGGTACACTGTGGAGCCACTTGGACGATGCCGTGATATCACGTCATTCCAATTCACCTCATCCTCGAAAGAGGATTGCACTGCATTCACTTGGGACGACGCCGATTTGGCAGCTATCTCCCAAGCATGGCCACGACTGGATAAATTACGCCTAATCACCCTGCTCAACGAATACGAGTATGATGTGGAGCGTTACAAGCCTCGGATCACATGGCGAGGATTAGCCACTCTCTCGAAGAACTGCCCTCGTCTCAAATTGGTCCAATTGGAATTTGACGCCACGGAAAGCGGTTGGCCACAAGATGAAGTGCCGGTCCCCGCGGAAGACATGGAGATGTTTTGTCTCGCCTGGAGTCGGGTCGACGGAAGCGACTACGAAGCTGTGGCGAGGAGGATCAACTACATTTGGCCAAACGCGAGTGTCGGTTGGGGGTTATGGTATGGGGGACAGCTGGAGCTCCCCAATGACCATTCGGAAGACATCGTGAACAGATTCCCCCAGCTGGAAGATAAATCATACCAAGAAGCACTCAAAGTTGCATTCGCCATATCTCACTACTTGCACTATGTCAAACAAGAGAACGGTCCCCACCATCCAGTTCAGTTGGTTGACTGTGACGGCTCAAGTGACAACACCCTACAACCTCAAGCTCCAGAGAATATACCCGCCGACACTGAGCATATTTTTTCCCTGTCGACCACTGAGCAAAATGAAACCTCGACGCACGAAGACGCATTGGACGGGCTGACTCCCAGCCTGAGATCAGATGAACATGGATTCGAATTACGCAGGCCGGGAGATGCATTGAGCAAGTTGTGGAGTTGTATGGCGTTGCAGACAGCTGCCGCGATGGAGCATTTTGTTGTCCAGGTGTTGAGAAACACGCGAGCTTTATGAAACTAATGATTTAAGATATGACACAGGCACTCCAAAACCTTTCCCGATCTTGTTTCATTGGTGGGGTGCACATGAGAGTGGTTGGGGGGATTGTCACCACCACCAACGTCCTTTCAAAACCTCTGCTGTATAAGATAACCTCACCATCTCATTCATATTGCAGACATGAATGTACGCCATATCTTCTGCCACTTGGTCACTTTCGGGGGATAATCCGAGTTTTCATTGTGGTAATGGGGACTATTCTATTGCGGAGATCCGTCTGATACTCGAGTGAGGCGTCGCATAATCGCACATTCGTACGTGACCCTGCTAATGCTCTTTTGCAACCGATTGCAAGCCTAAAACCCCTTTCGCAATTCTTATCAGAGCTCCCCATGACTCTGCGACAGGATACACGACACAAATGCACATGCTGCACCACACCCAAATGAAAGAAACCACGCACCACCCCCTGAAAAAGGCTCGTGAGTAGATCTACTGAGTACCGAAGAGGGTGAATGGAACCACCTAAGGCACATTATTTGTCAGGTCTCGATCAAAAGAAGGAGCTCACGATGATGGCGATCGCGGCGTATAGCCCATTCGCCGCAAGAGCCAGTCGCTCGCCTTTCTTTGCAATAACAGGGTCCAACGGTTGGATATGAGAGGTCTCCAGATAATCGACCATTTCATTGCCGGTAGGCACGTACTCGATTGGTGCCGCAGAGACAATCACAGCTGGTCCCTTTTCAGCTTCATCAGAGTTCTGAGGCACATCCGGGGATGGCGGTATGTTGGAACCCGACGGTGACTTTTTCGGTGACGATAAACCATTGATTTTGTTGCTGCGAGCAATATCAATGGGGTCATCTGATTGGTGTTTGGCCGGGAACATCAAGGTTAGCAGAGTGGCAACGACGGCGCCGCCAGCACAGCTCGCAATGTTGCCGGCAGCAGCGTTCGTCGCATCACCAGTTGTCGTCACATGGATGTAGCCAGATCGTTTCATAGTAGTAACAAGCCAAGCAATCAAGCCAAAGGACAGTCCACTCCACGGGCTCGCTATAGGTGACAATGTTGACATGCGATCCCAGAGAAGTATGAGGCCGACCGGGACTGAAGCGCCGCCAACAATAACACCAAGCACAGTCAACAGCCAAGTAAGATTGATGTTGACAGCGCTGAGAATGGAGCAGAATGCGGCAAGAACGACGGCATAGATGATGATACCATAGTGCGAAATCCGCACAAGCTGCTGAGAGGTGGCATGAGGTCGAAGGTAAGTCTTGTAGACGTCGAACGTGAGTAAGGATGACACAGCAATGAGCTCAGCGGAAGTCGACGACGTGACGGCCATGAACAGCAACAACAGCATCAGCCCAGCACCACCTTTACCAAGCAGTGCAATTGCAGCAGCTTGGGATGAAAGGCCAGCGCCATTCTGTGCGGCAGACAGTGGATTTGGGTATGTCGGGAATGACGTGGTACTTGTCAATGCTGCGCAACCTAGACCCATGGCTGTGGCAAATCCGAAAGGTATCTGTCCAGCATCGAGTGATCAGCGTATGAGAGAGCGTGGTGGAACCACTGCCTCACCCCATACCAAGCGATACCTCCTAGAAGGTAGGCTTTGATACTTGTCTCCGGCTGGGAGGGAATGGCTCGTTGCCAGTACGCTTGGTCCAACCACACTGTCGAGAAACCCGCAACAAGTAAGTCTGAAAAGGGTGAGCAAGGAAGGCAGTCCGCAGTTTAGGAGGCCATACCGATAGCGAAGACCAAACCATTGACGGATTTGAACGTCAAGTATGATCCCTCATAATTTCCCGCAATCGGCATAGTCGCCGATGCTTCAACAAGGAGATCGTAAAATCGGTCGATGCTTCCAACCACCGCATTTGTTGCATACATCTCGAAGCCGAAAATGAAAATCGCGATGAAGAGAATTACAGTGTGCGTATAGTCGGCAATAAAAGTGCTCCGCAAGCCTCCTACAATGACGTACGCGGCCACGACCAGCGGTATGAGGAAACAGGCAGCATAAACGTTCATCCCTGATAGTGCGGCAACTACTTGAGAACCCCCAAGGACCAGACAAGCGCCTACAAGCATATTCGTAGCCAAGCCATTGAACAAATACGTGATGTGCGCTACTCTGCCATGCCGGGCAAGGATGATCTCGGGGAATGTGTGAGCGCCAGGTGCATTTGACTTGATCTTGATGGCGATCAACGCGAAAAGCAAGATCTGAAAGCTGCCCATCGCCCCATACCACATCGGTCCGCAAATGCCGTACGTATACGCAAAGGTGCTGGAGGTGAGCAGCGTTGCACTCCATGTCCAGCTGGAAACGATTCCCGCAGCTGTCCGCGAATCAGCGTGAGTCCTTTAACTGGACAGCTGACACACCTATAAGACCAGGCTCGACGTTTCGAGACGCTGTGCTAAATTCCTCGGCTTGATGAGTTGAGTACGACGTATACTTGTTTTGAAGATGAGTGCAGCCAAGCATCAGCAAAGCAAAGAACAATCCGATTCCAACGACAATGCCGTAGCCCACGCCCTGGCTAAGCACCTGGATTCCATCATTTGTGGACATCTCGTGCTTGATCCGGGACGTAATGATTCCAGTCCGGCTTAGCTAGTAGATTGCTGCGCTGTAGCCGTTTTTTGGAGGTTGAGGCGTCGTGGTCGCTTGCAAGCAACCTCCGAGAGTGCAAATATTATGGAGCCATACCTTCATGATAAGAGCAGGGGATAAGAGCAGAGAGCATATGCTAACATGCGTATCAGAGTCGTCGACTGCGGAGAGACAAACGCTTTCTTCCGGAAGACTCCAGAGAGCTCGGGTGCTGGCAAACCGTTATTCCGAGTTGGAGTAGGATACAAGCCACATTGGTTCTCATTTCCAACGGCATACGCAGATGGTACGTCTCGACAGATATTGAAGAGTCACAGCCTAATCGCAGGTGATAACGAACAAGAAGCATCTCAACCTCGTTAAGAACATAATATCCCAAAAGATATACGGCTCCGACAGATCGATCTGACCGGAAGGCTTGCGATAGACAAGAAGCAGCAAGTCTTCGATCGTCCATGGAGCTGGAGCACCCCATACATTCACGCTCGTCATGCACTGCCAATGCGGTTTGTGGTGTGATCGCAAACAATTCTGGGAAAGAAGCACCGAAGCAGGAGTAATGACCAAGTGTCCAATTCTTCCCTTCGGGATGGCGGGAACTGAACGGAAACTCTAATATGATTATATAATCGAACGGTGGGCGCTTAATACCTTGGGGATAAGCGCCGAGCTAGCAGATGGAATAACAGGGTCCGAAAACTCCTGTTTCCATAGCCTTGATTTCTGATGAAAAGTTGAGCTAAGGTACAAGCATCGCAGTTAACTTTACGTACGAAGTGCTAGTAACTTTGAGAAGAACCTAGCAGTCGGAAAGTTTCCTGAACCCGAATCAGCTCATGCCTCGAAAATCGGAATCGCGACAAGCGCCAATTTCACCATATGCAACGAAGAAACGCTCATGTCCAGAGTTGCGCCAAATCCCGTTGATTTCCCCCTCTGTATCAAAGTCCCAAAACTTCTCTTTTAGCGCCCCACGAACATCTTTACCAAATGTTTCTTCAATTGAAGTGTGCATGTGCCCATACCTGTGTTTCATTGTCAGATTCCGGAGAATGCCTTACAACGATGACATACCCAGTAGCGCATATGACAGCATCAGCCGGAAGAAACGAACCGTCAGCAAACTTGACGCCATCTGCAACAAACGAATGAATGGGAGAATCGTTCTTGAGCTTGATACGCCCGTCTATGATCATCTCGCTGGCCCCAACGTCTAGACTTCATTAAGCTCCATCCGCAGCTGATTCGTACCTGACATACTGATGTATGATCCTCCGAACCTTTCTAAGGCGAGCCGGTACAAGCCGGTGCCTTCGATACCCATGTTTGTCCTGAACCCAACGCGCTCTAGCCCTTCGAGCATCTCCCTGCCGGGAGTGAGGATATCTCACAGGGGGAGACAGAAATAACGCACTGATCCATTTCTGCCACCTTTGTGGTGAAGCGGACCGCCAAAGTCATTGCCACGAAATGGGGGAAAGAATAGTATAGGAGGTCAGCAACCTCCGTCGGTGGACTTCCCTTCCAGTAGAGATCTGGGGGAAATGAGCAAAAATGGGAAGATAGAATCGATTTTGCGTACCTTTCCACTGAATCGGTATGGCATTCTTCACCGACATGACATATGTACTCCCGCGCTGGATCATGGTAACATCAACGCCATCGAGTGACAGATCGCGGCAAATGTCGTGCCCTGAGCGAGACACTTCCATGAGTTCGTGTAATATGAGGTGGGATATACGCACCTGTGACTCCGCTCCCAATAACGACGACTTTCTTTCCTTTAAACTCGGAAGGGTGTCGCGTCTGCGTCGCATGCAGGATGGGTCCTTTGAAATTGTCCTACAACCCTAGTGAAAACGTGCTTTCAAAGGGTAATGGTATAACCCACCATGCCTTCGTAGTCTGGCATAACAGGATGTCCTCCTGCCAGACCCGTCGCCCAGACCACATACTTCGCCTTGACCGTAAGGAAACCTCCGTCCAGGTTGATAATGGTGATCATCCACTCTTTGGCCAGGGGATCGTATTTCGGGTCTCGAACGGTGCTGGAGGTACAGACGTTCAGATCGAGCAGCTTTGCGTACGCCTCAAACCAGTCTCCGATTCTGTTCCCACGACTTCAGAGGCAGTCTGGAGTTGGACAATCCGAACGTACTTGTTTCCTGGGGTGAAAACTGGCCAGAGTGGTGGTTCCGGCATTGAGAAGAGCGGTAGCTGGTCTCTCCCTAAATGAAAGGAATGCGGTCAGTTGAAGTTTGGCGATGTTTGTCACACCTACACATGGGATCGTGTACCCTCAGACTAGCATATCGCACGTTTCTCCATTGGTCTCCAACACGAGCGGTCTTCTCTACCAGCAAACTGCTCACGCCTAGGAGCTTGAGCCTAGCCGCCAAACCGAGACCGGACTGTCCAGCTCCAATAATCAACACTGTCGGATCTGCTTGACGGACGAGCTCCGCAGCCTTTTCAGCTGTAGCAGTATCTTGAGGCTCTGGGTAGTTGAAGTCGATGTCGAGTTCTGCACCGCTGAGACTGTCAAGAACAGTCTGTAGAGTGAAGATCCTCCACTCCTGCTCTGGAAGATAGACAAGCCGCACTACCGCCCACCCTTTTCCAACGCCAGTGTCGAAACGGAGCAAAGCTTGTACCCACCCCAGGTCGGGGTAAGGGGCTATCAGAGCGGGTGGGTGGGCGTGGGCATCATATAAGTCGAAGTTTGAAACCTGGCTGAGGCGTAGGCGGTCTTGAAGGAATTCGGTGATGCGATCGTGTCCTTGGAAGGTGCGAAAGTCCCATGTCAGGCTGAGCAGATCCCTCCACCACCCGTCGTCAAGGAAGAGCGAGGTGATCGCAGGGATGTCTTGCTGAGAGAGCGCGTTGTTGAAGCGAATAAGCCAAGTTTGCACGACTTTGCCCGGTAATGTGTCCGGGGGAGGCGCAGCACCGAGAACGGCAAACGTCGGCAGACTCATCGAATACAGACAGAAGCGATGGAGTGCTTGCCGGGGTCGGCGGAAGCGTTACGGGCCATTGATGTCGCCTTGAGGTACAAGAAGCACGTCGACAGCATGGTGTCCAACAAATGTATCGTTACGCGGTTGAGGGTGCGATAAGGACACAGCGCTGCGAGCTGGCATCAGGATTTGCGCACGAGTCGTTGGGCGATGCACGTGGGACATGCCCCCGTGGAGCAGCACACGGCGTTATGCATAAACATAGTAAAGAGCAATAAAGGCTGGGTGTTGTACAGCACTTGGGAAGCACCTGTTGAGATCTTTGGGATTAGACCGGAAGGACCATTCCGGTGCAAAAATGAATCCGTAGATCCCGTGACCTTTTCACGGCGCGTGTTATCTTACGCGGCACAACCCACCAGATCTAGTTTGACTCCGAAACCAGTTTCGAACCTGAATCGGGAACATCAGACAGAACTACTTGGAGCGGACTGTCAACCATACGATGCAGTACATTCCTGACTCCATTTTCTCGCTCATAGAATGGCGTTCGCACCAAAGAGAGCTGTCGGATACAAAGGGGTAACTACCTTTTTCAGCGTCATTGTCGGGGAAAGACAGGCTATCCAGACAACAGGCATGAATAAGGCTGCGTATGCGGCACAGTCCTGACAAAAGTACAGCACATACCGAGCGTGATACATAAAAGAGTCACCACTACCAGTGACACGGTACCGAGTGCGCCCCATCAAAGAATCACCACTGCTGACAAGAGGCACGTACCGAGTGCGACAAATACTAGTAAAAAAGTCACCACTACTGATGCGAGGCACGTAACGAGGGTGACACATAGAAGAGTCACCATGTAACGTCAGTCTCAGGGTGGAGAACACATATAAATGGCGTCCCACGCCAGCCTTTCTCCCGCAGCCTTGCAAATCTGCCCCTTCACACTCCCCAAGCACAAACTTACCTCTTCATCTGCGTGCGTCCTTCTTCCCTCTCTATCCTCCGGGATTATGTTCTGACTTTTTATTGGCTCTCCAGTTTTTCTTGCTCAAATGGAGGCTGCACGATCCCAAGGCATCCTGCCAAACAATGGTCTTCCAGAAGACAGGTTGCCACCACCGAACAACGATCACCTCGCCCCGGAGTTGGACGTAATTATGCCCGTCTATCTCTTTATTGGGAAAGGAGAACAACAGGAGCCAACATATCGGCACTGGTCCTTGGTGTGGGTCCTTCCTTGGCGCTTGCAGCGGCCACCGTCAGGTTACGCGGCCGTGCGCACTCTCGAGCTTACACAAGAATTCCCTGCTCTACATCTCACCAACTGGGGTCCACTCACCCGAACGAGATATGTGCAGTCTCTGCAGATGGGACTCATCCCACTTGGGAAACTGTCCTTTGCCGAACGGCAGTTACTGGAGCAGATCGCCAAGAACACTCCTGTGTATCGCCCGAACGGCATCTACAACTGTCAGCATTGGGTCATCGATGTCATCTCCAAAGGGATCCACGACGGTCTGCCATTTGACCGAACGCCCATCGAGGAAATTCTGAGGGTGAACGGCAGACCTGATCTGTTGTGGTAGTCAGAACAACAGTGGAGACCATGCCCATGTATGTTTGATGCACAGGGACTGCCAAGGCAACACCCAGCGACTTCCAAATTGAAGGAAATGAAATAACATGTTCTACTTTGTGTGCGACCTGCAGTGGGTACGTAAATGAATACACTAGCCAGCCTCGAAAGGGTCGCCAAGGGCAGCCTCGACGGTGAAAAGGGCATAAGTTGGGGGACTCCATTCTACAGAACCACGTCCCTCTTCATATGCGTCCATAAATTGATCGCACCACCCTCCAGGTGCCTTCAAGGTTACAAACTCGCTGCCTATGCGGTGTCTTAGCTGCGCGCCCTCGTACCATTGTGGAAATATCCCAAAATGTGCCCCAGTCCAAG